GCTAGCTCTTCTTGATTGTACTATGAGCTCAGGGATAGGAAGTTTTTAGATTTGAGGGAATTATGTCTTCAAACCCCAAACAGGACATGCATCATAAATAGTAGCAAGCACTTGTTGCCTCCTCCTTACACTTTCGGACTCGCAGCTTGAAATAATTGAAAGGAAGATTATACAAATTTCTCACTACAATGTTGTGTCCCATAGAGAGTTGTTTAGGTTTTTTTTTTTTTTTTTTTTAATTGAGGGGGGGGGGGGTTGTTTGTTTGTTTTTCTCAATTTAAAAGGCATCATCTGAACCAAGCTTTGTCAATGTGTCATTTCTTCTTTACTAGGGAGTGGCTGCTTAATTCACAGTACTTAAGAAATTTAGCAGTTATTGTTCTTGACGTGCGTGAGAAGAAGAAGTTCCTTTTTTCTTTTTCACAATATTAAATGTTACTGTTAAACCCAAGGAAGGCTTAATAAATTATATTTGCATTTCCTCTGAAGCCATGCATCATTGAAAAATAGTACAAATTTACCATTCATTTCATTTATTGTTCTACAAGCTTCTTGTAACACCAAAAAAAGGAGATTCGGTATGAAATCTGGGCAGTTAAATGTTCCTGGTGTATGGGGGAGAAGAGGGTTTAAGCAAACAGACCAAGAAGCCAGATGAATTTCCAATAAACCTGCACATGTATGTCATTTGTTTGTTGTTGCCACATATTATGCTATGGAGAGACCATACTCTGTTTTATTTAAGAGGGAACGCACCACTCTTTATTGATAATAAGATAAAATAAATACAAATATAAAAGCATCAAAGATCAACACAATTTCTATATTTGAATCTCCCTTGGTGAATGGATCTTACTATCACTGCATATGGTTCATGAGATTGAATGGGTTAATCAGGATATAAATCTTATTTTTGACTTGGTTTCTCTCGACGACGTGAGGACGGGGCATAGGCGGATATTGGTCTAAGACCACTGCTGATTGGCTGATTGAATTATACCAATTACAGACTGGAAATGAGACTAATAAAGAGAGGACATCATTGGTAAATTAATGATGGCAGGAGAATTGTGACAGAGGATCATACATGAATGTCAAAACACCAGCTTTAGTTTAGAACCCAAAAAAATTATATTTGTGTTTTTAGGTCATTATCATAGCTACGTGAAATAATTAGAACATTTCACTTAGGCCATCTTCCTTTAATATCTTCCTCATGGGACTGAAAACCACTATGATAAAAACAACTTGGCTTACATGCATGTGTTTTGATTTTGGTTGTAATTGGTCGAAAGTTATTTGCAGTTGATGTGAACATTGAACTATGTAGCCTATCAGCTTAGATATATCCTATCAAATGTTAATAGTGCAGTATTGATGAATACAACCGGCATGAACTCTAGATTTCTAGATTTGGAGTTGTTACTGAATGCCTTAAGGTGGTGGAGTGGTAAATGAATATTTATATAAAGATGATACCCCAGGCTGAAAATGATGAGGGCAAAACACGACAGGTTGAACACATTGGTTTCATTAGGAGCAGCATCCCGATCCATTTATCTGGTTCAACCATCACCAGAGTAACACATAAATCTTTGCTTCTGTATCTCCCTCTATATTCACATTGCACCCCCGAAACGATCTAAAATTAGGCGGTAACTGAATCTTTCCTGTGTTTTGAGTGAAGCACAGCAAAACAGTGGTTTTTCCACTCAGTTTTCTCTCCTTTTGTGCCCAAAAGTGCATCAATTTCCCCCTCCCGCTTGGCAGGAGCGAAAAATTGTTAATTAGGGTAAAGACGTAAAGGCAATGTTGCATGTCTTTCTGACTGCAGGCAATTAGAGCTCAAGGTTAGCTGTCATATAGCAAGTACAACAGGTGATGAATGCTGACCTCTTCTCTCTATCTATCTTTCTCTCTCTCCTTTCTCTATGCTTCATTCTATCTCTCTGTGCTTCATTCTATCTCTCTGTCTCTCGATCTTCTTTTCATCAATGCATGCATGTATCCTGCTTTAATTTATTGCCATACTTCATGCCTTAGAGTGAGTGCATGAGCTCCTGTCTGCATGAGCATGGGTGATTCTAAACATTTACTATTTCGGTTTTTTTCCTGCTTATTTTCTTTTTGGCTATTTCCTTGCTGTTCTGCCTTTGGACTTGGAAAATAAACCAGGGCTCCGCTACTTTACTTTGAATTTCTTTTTTATACAAAACATAGATATTTAGCACCAATTGATGGAAATTCGGTTGCTGCTATTTGTGTTGATCATTGTGGAAAGTACAAGTCTTGCCAGGGTTCGACTACTATATATATATTTTTTTAAATAAGCCTTTTTCCTTACCCTTCCTTTATGAATAATAACAACACAGAATGAAACTACAAAAAAAATGTGTGTAAGATATAGGAAACATACCACTAATTGAAATTTAATTTAACATTTGGTGGTCAGAACTACACCCCACAAATTCAGAAGTACATGTTAAGGCTCTATTTTCAAGTGTTATATGAAATGCACTAAATTTTACAGAAAGACAGAGAGAGAGAGAAATATATATTCCTTTTAACAAGTTGATATAGATTTGCTTACGTTTTCAGTTATGTTTTCTCAATGAATTCTGACTGAAAGGGAAAGTCCACCCCCAAAATAAGTTAGTTTTAATAGGAGTAGAAAAATGAGAGAAACAAGTCAGTGAAAGTTTGAGCAAATTCCAATTAAAAATAAGGAAGTTAGGATTTTTGAAGTTGTGATCAATCAAACACAAATTGGCAACTCTATGACGTATCATGCGAGCTCAACTTCCATTTGCTCAGTACTAAAAAAATCTAAAATTTTCATTTTCCCTCAAGAAAAATTTCAACCATACATGCACCCTAAATATAATAATTGCAAATATGTTTCTATACTCCCCCTGCAAGGAACAAATATATATTCTGTCATCAATAACGAAGAAAACATGATTTTATGGAATATTATGCACAAAGCAAATGAAGGAGAGCTCGTATGATAAGTCACAGAGTTGCCAATTTGTATTTGATTGATCACAACTTCAATAATTCATAACTTTCTTATTTTCATTCAGAATTTGCTCAAACTTTCACTCACCTGATTTTCTTATTATTCTGCCTCTATCGAAACAAACTTATTTTGGGGGTGGACTTTCCCTTGAAGTAAATACTGTACATAATTTACATACAAAAAAAAAAGTTCATAGTGAAATGTTTGATAATGCTATATGAACCATGTGAAGCTTTGTATTTCTTCAGCACTTTGGCTTTCCCCTAAATGTAAATTCAGTTGTTTATATTGTCAGTGATATTCACTTTGAAAGAGAAGGCAATTATCATACATGACATGAAACACCTGATAGATGAATACCAGTTCCCCCTAAATCTTTTACGTCAAAACAGGCTGGAAAGACTTAGGAAATATATGAACTCTGAGCTGAGCTGCTTTCCTTTTTGTTTTGCTGAGACATAAAATTGTCACTTAGAATTTCTTCATTTTTTTTAAATTGTTATTATTTTTTCCCTTCATTTTTTTTTATGGGGGGGGGGGGGGGAGGAGAGGGGGCTTTGCTTTGCTTTGCTCTGGGTTTGGTTAGGCTTGGTTTGGTTTGGTTTGGGGTTTTTTTTTGGTAAGCTCATCACTTCCTTTCTTCACTTTTGTCTTGGTATATCCTTTCTATCTCTCACACACACACTCTCTCTCTCTCTCTGTCTCCCTCTCCCTCCCTCACATAATATGGTGAGTCAAAAATAGCATACTATCAAAAAAGTAACCTTTTTCCTGTTCTAGTATGCAAGCTAAATGCACAATTGCCAATCATATCCTTTAGGCTGACATCATAAAACTCCCTGATGACTATGTTAATAGACGAGCAGCACTGGCCAGTCTCCATGGCTAACTTCTCTCTGCTGACCGGGAGCAGTTATTTGGTCATCACTATTTTCTTGGCAGATGATAAGATTTGACTTTTATTGAATACTGGAATGAATCAGAATTTGATGAAGGGTTGGTGATTAACACTCATATCCCCTTGTGTATTAAAAGGGTTTAGAAGGAAAGCAAGACCTCTAGGCCTGTCCATATCAGCTCGAGTTTGCCAAACAACCCGCTATTTCCAGACTTGGGATATTGTCCTGAAGCTCGAAATTGCGTCTTCAACAGACCGATACGCTCATCACAAACTAGCTCGGACGAGCGCAAATTATTGTGCTTTTTCCCAAATAGCAGGATATTTTGGAAACGACCAATATTTCTCAGAATATTTTTTTGACCAAATATCCCACTAAATGCAACTGCATGCTGAGATAACAGGTTATTTGGCAAATTCGAGCTGATGGAAACAGGCCTATTGAGACGGGGGGGGGGGGGGGGGGGGACTTTAGAAGAGTGAATGAGAAAGAGAGAGAAAGAGGGGGAGAGAGAGAGAGGGGGGGGGGGGGGGGTTAAAGGAAGAATTATGGGTAGGCGAACAAGAGAGAATAGTTGAAGATTCCAACTTCCATGAACCTCTTGATGATATGTTATCTTCAAGCTCCAAACGGACAATATTTCATAGGTTAGAATCTACATCTGTGGGGCTGGACAATGTATTTTCCTTTTGCTTCTCATCTGTTCAAAATTCCCTTGCCACTATCTACTATGTACATCCTAACATACCTTTTCTATCACCCCTTCCCTGCATCCTCATTCCTCTCCATCTCCCTTCCTCTCTTTCTCTCTCTGACTTGATTATAACATCTATCAGTCAATGCTCTCCATTTAGAAGTAATCATTATAGAGCATTTAGATTTCTCTCAGATGATAACAATTGCTCCAAGAATAAAGAAGGACTTTGTTCCTATATAATAGTTAAGGAATTACAAGAGAGCTCCTAAGACTATGACCTCTTGACTATACTATTTCTTGTTGCTATATTAATGGTGTTGATAGTGTGGATTGGAGCTCACTCCAACCCAAAGGTTCTCTGGCTCCAGGCTGGTATTATCAAGAGATGTGTGGTTTGCGGACATTCTTAGAACTCTCAGAGTTCAAGAACGGTTTGCATCTCTACTTCATGAGTGATTTCTTGGTATATGCAATGTTAGTATGTATTCTAATGTAAACAACTGTGTGGTAGAAAGTCCTGAGATATACTTTCAGCTCTATCCATAATGCTGCTCCATCTTCTAGTGCAAGTACGGTCCTCTGGGTAGATTCTATATCAAGGGGTTACAGACCAACTTCATCTAAATTTCTAGCAATTAGACTCTAACACATTTGACTTGATTTGATTTATTTAATTTCTATTCATATTTTTTTCCAAAATAATAAGCTAAATACAACATAATAAACAAATAATGATATAGATACATCAGCTGTTAGGAAGTAGTTGACATAAGGATTCATTTACTCTAACTGTAGTTAAGCTTCCAACTTTACTTTAACTCGGTGTAAACTAAATTGACTGTGGAATATTGGGGATAATCAAGTAAAATGTGTTTGCCTTTTGTATTGCTGGTGTAGTGGACTGATGTATATCCTGTATTTAAACTTATGCCCATTTGTAAGTGAAAATATTTGAGCAAGCAAAACACATTTTGATTTTTTTTTCTTCCAAACCTGACTGCTAAGAAAGCATTTGTATACTTGAAAGTATGCAACCAGGGGATCAGGGCAGCTTTAAGTCTTCTCTGAAGGACTTGGTAAGGAGGGGCATTACTAGTGTATCGACTTCGGTTTTGAACCTGGGACCTTCTGAATACAAGACACTGCTCTACCACTGAGCCATTGTACTTCATCTATGTGAATACAAGTCATCTTTTGATATCTTGCTACATACATCTCAAGATTGTTGTACCACATCCTATTTTTCAATAAAAGGGAAGGAGAAGTTGCAAATGACAAATGATTCCAAACCGAGGCTTGCGTGAGACTGGTAGATAAAGAGATCTCTTAAAAGCAGCTATCTTGAAAATGACCAGTCTGCATGCAATTAGGTCATTATATGATTGTGTATTTGTCATAGGCAGATAGATAAAGATAGATAAAAACAGAATGAAAGTGAAGCAATAAGGAGAGGAAACAGTATTGAATGAAGACCATGTGAATTGAGAGATGACTTGGTTTTCAAGATGGCCGCTTATGAGTCCACTGACATGAGATGACATTAAAGATGAAGTTGAGTTCTGGTCATGCGATTGCATTGTGAAAGAAACGGTGTGGAATCGATCAAGAAAAGGTTGATCATCTAGCATATAAGTATTTCTGTGTATTGCAAGGTTCTGGAATCATCAAAATGATAAGAAATTTGGCCAAGTCTTGGTAAAGTTAAAAGCACTGTACACAGAAAGATGTATATGGGACTACACGACCACGTGGCGTAAAAATCAGTCCTATGCCATATTTATAATATGAAGGCATTTAAAGAGCCATGCTTTTTTGAGGGAATATGTTTTATCTAATGTTCTTCCACACAATGATAATGCTCACAAATTATTTTTCACCTCTTCCCAGAACTCAACCTTCTCTTTAAGAGTTCTTGCAAGACTCATCTTTTCTTTGGTATTTTTAGGTATATTCTTCATTTCTTCTTTGTACATCCTCCCTTCATTAGATTCAAAGAAGTAGAGTCCTCAATTACTATCACCCTCACTACCCTTGTTTTTCCATTAATTGAATGGTCCTTTTTGTAAACAATTGTTTATTCTACACTCCAATTACTTTTCTTTACTTTTCAATACTTTGTCAACCTTCCAGTAACTATCTTGTGTAGTATTCTGTAATGTTGTTATGTTGTATGAGTTCACTAAATGTCAAACCTCCATTCTATATAAAGACAGCATGTTTATTGGTATATTTCAGTTCCTGATGATGAAATAAAGTATCAAAACTTTAAGAATTCTCAAACATGACTGTTACCAGAGTTTTCTGTTTGTTTATTCCAGTATCACTATGCAATAGTATCATTTTCTTTTAACAAAAGTTCCCCAAAAAGGTTTGTCTCATTTGTTCACCTGATGTTGTTGATATCATCTGCTATGACAATGGTGTATAGTGTGTGGATGATACTTGATTTGTGTATTTCTATGAAGTTCTGCAAGACATACTCTACTATCAAAACCATTACTTATCACTGCAAACATTTTGGAAGTGTGAAGTATATTAATATTTGATTTAGTTAGTTATTAAGTACTCTTAATTAAAAAAAATACTCCAGTACACATCCCCCACCCCTCTCTCTCTCTCTCTCTCTGTAAGATAATAATCACATTGGTTATTTTTATGGTGCACATATCTACCACAAGGCACTCCAACATAACCCGGTTCTGCTACAGTACCGTTTCCAGTGCTCATAGCATTCAAGGAATGCCTTCCTACCGGTACCCAGTTAGTACCTGGGAAGAGAGTGGCAAATATAGGTTAATGTCTTGTCAAAGGACATTAGTGCCACACAAGACCTGAACAGTGAATCATGTGATCCACAGTCCAACGACATATCAACTAGACCGTGAAAGTAAAGTTGACATGTTACCACAATGGGTACGAGGAAGGCTTATCTTGAGGATTGTGCAACCTGTATTGAAATCTACTTTCAAGTCATTTAAAGGAAATGTTGCAAATCAAATGGCATGTCAGTAAATATTTTTGTTGGTTTTGAATCTTTTAAATTAGAGCATAGTTTGACAAGAATGAATAGAAGATGTTGTTGATTCAGTATGATTGACAATCTATCGCAGCCAAATTAGGACTTGGGGCCATCTTTTCCTTAGACATTGTCCAGCTTAGACTGTGATGTCATTGTTTCATTGCTTAGAGGCTGTCACTTCTCATTTGAAATCAATTAACCTTTAATGATTCAGACTTCAAATGAACGGTATATCTTCCTTTTATGAATGTTCTTTCTTCTCTAGGGCTATGAAAACTGACTTGATATAGTGCAGGAAACTGATTAGGTTTAGTGTAGTGTGTCATAGTTGTCTTTCTTGGATAAGTTTCTGTGAGGCAATTGTTGCTAATCATTGTATCCTGATGGTCCATATCAGATCAAAGTTGCAATTAGGTGAAAGTAAGCTTCTTAATTGTTTCAAAATGCAACTTGAAGCTCTGTTTCCAATCTATGTGCATTTATGATTTCTTCTTTAAACTTTTTTAGTAGCTGACGTCTTTGACATCTATAAATAGACCTGTGCCTTTGTGGCCTTGGTTATAATATGTAGTTGTCATTTTTTTTTTAAAGTATATGTATATTCCTTTAAACAAGATTAGCGCTGTTACTACTTCAGTGAATGAATATACATTTAGAAGCAGGAAATTCTGATCATAACAGCACCCTTTTGCATCTTCTTACAGTCCTGTGATTAGATTTTAGTCCCCTGGTTGTTTTTTAATTTAAATGTATAAATATGTTTAATTACTTGCGTCTATAGAATCCCAGCTATTGAACTGTTGCTGTCATCTATTGAGCTGTAAATGTCAAATGGTAGCACTGGTTCTTCTGTCCTCTGTCTCCATTTGTGTGTTCCTTTCTCCTCGATCCTTAACATCTACAAACACATGGTGTCATTATGGTTTCCATTAGTTAGTCTCTTTCAAAGTTGAGTAAGAGACTAATTACCCACCTGACCCTAACCCTGTTACCAGCAGGCATCATCATAGAGGAAGATGGCTTGTAGCTAGAGAAGAGTTGATGAACTCTAGAGGTCATTGCCATGTCAGCAGAGACAGCAGGATCATATCCTCTAACAAGGTCAAAGGTCAATGGAAGCCCTGTCATCATTTTCAAGGAAAACCACTGCTGTTGGAAAACAAGGATCTTTCATAAACATAAACTTCTTGACAAGGAAATTCCATGACATTATTTTTTTCAGTCTGGCAAAATGATGAGGCATTTGGTGGAACATTTAGTTTAATATCCCCATTCAGCTAAACAAACACTTTTTTCTTAAATTTGAAGTAAATAGTTAGTAAAATAACCTTATAAAGGAAACTTTATTTAAGTTAAAATTTAAGGAGAATGAAGATAGTAAAGAATGAGAGCATGTATGGGTGTGTCAGGTAGTCTACTCATAAGTCGCTTGTACGTGAATTGAGAGCGTATTTATATTTGCAAAATCTCATTACAGTGGTAACATTTGAAGCTCATATTTTAGATAGTATTTTCACTTGGAACTTGGAACAAAAAACAATATTTAGTAAGAAAAAGGAACAAAAGTTAAAAATGGGTCAGGTCACACCTATCATTAGATAGACTAATGCTTTGGTTAACAACGATAACCCTTCACCTGTCAGTATGGAGCCCTCTCTGGGTCAGGTCACACCTATCGTTAGATAGACTAATGCTTTGGTTAACAACGATAACCCTTCACCTGTCAGTATGGAGCTCTCTCTGGGTCAGGTCACACCTATCGTTAGATAGACTAATGCTTTGGTTAACAGACGTTAACCCTTCACCTGTCACTATATGCCCCTCTCTGGGTCAGGTCACACCTATCATTAGATAGACTAATGCTTTGGTTAACAACGATAACCCTTCACCTGTCAGTATGGAGCCCTCTCTTGGTCAGGTCACACCTATCATTAGATAGACTAATGATTTGGTTAACAACGATAACCCTTCACCTGTCAGTATGGAGCCCTCTCTGGGTCAGGTCACACCTATCATTAGGTAGACTAATGGTAAGGGTCAGACAGTTCAAATGGAACCTCTAACGAGGCTGCGAGGTTTATCTCGCTGACATGGGGATCCCACTCTAATCATACATCACCATACGTACGTGATAGCTGTCATAACAGTGAATTCAGTGGCTTTATTAGAATTCTTTATACTGGAGGGGTACTGAGGTTAACTTGCTTGCACAGGGCAGGGTGATGCTGATGATGTATGTAGAGGCACTTTCAGAATGGCATAGTCAGATGTCCCACATTCCAAGCTTACTGTTGCCTAAATATAATCTATATTATTAATACGCAAAATCGCCGCGGGGGGTCCAACACGGGGCAAAACGGTTCCTCAAAAACGTCTTTCCCCGACCCCGCCCGCCTCCGCCGTGGCGCGGGGACGGCGGCACAATTCCACGAGGCCTGTCTCCCGTAACCCGCGTCCCACGTCGACCCCGCGATCGACGTCCATGCCGTTAAACGCGGTTTCGGGGCGGCCGGGGAGGACGGGCGGACGAGAGCACGGCGGGCGTCGCGGATTGCGAGGAGGCGACGAACCCGCGAGAGCGAGTCGGCAAGGCGTGCACCCGCCCTCTGTCTAATTATCAAAGAGAGACGAAGAGACACACGATGGACGAGAATCCACTCGCGTCAACGGGTGTAGCAAGTCTCATTGAAAAAGCTGCGACGTATCCCGAGTAAGGCCTCTTGCTATAGGATTCGCTTTGTAGCGTGTAAGAGAAATACACATCAACAGACGACTCACCCGGGTGATGGGATGTAGCCAATATGTACGCTCAACGGGTTGAGCTTACCCGTGCTATGCGTCTTTCTATAGGATATGCTTTGTAGGCCAGGCGGACCTGCTGTGTGTACGAACGTACGTGTATAATGTTTGCGATGATTCTACGCTCACCGTCACACGCACAGCTCAGTCGGTTCGACTCTGATTCTATGATGATTGCCGTGATTTGTATATAGTTTACGTGAATAGAGGTATGCAAGCAGGGCTACTTTGGTATTAATCTGTCCATGTTTACTGAATTTTGAAAATCATTCTTCAAAGTAGTTTTTTCACAAGAAATTCATCGTATCGTAACTGACAGTTCAGTTGCAAGCTAGCTGCCGTGAGGCACGGGCAGTGCAGTGCGCCACTGCTGTCGAGCACTGTCGGAACTGTGACTGTGTGTGAGGTGAGGTGAGCTGAGCTGAGCTGAGCTATAGAGTAGACTCGACAACATTTTGAAATTGCTCTTATTGCCCCTATTTCAATATAGTTTCGTGACTATAGTGGTATGAAACCTGAGCTTAGATTGTGATTATTCTGTCCATGTATAGTTGTATGCTGAATTTTGATAATCATTTTTCAAAGTAAAGTTTCCACAGTGTATTGCCACCGCAGCTGAGCGCTGCTGTCGGAGCTGAGTGTGTGAGCATGGAGTAGCGGTGACCTGAGTAGCCAGGCCTGTCCGTGGTGTGAGGAGAGTCTAAACAACACTTTGAAATTGCTATTATTGCCCCGATTTCAATATAGTTTCGTGAATAGATGTATGAAACCTGGGCTTAGATTGTGATTATTCTGGCCATGTATAGTTGTATACTGAATTTCGATAATCATTTTTCAAAGTAAAGTTTTCACAAGCAAAGTAAAGTTTTCACAAGAAAATCAGACGGTCGTCATGGTCGTTTAAATACATGATAATACTTTTAGTATGATACATTTCTTGCATCAAATCAATTTTTAAAGTATGGGGGGGGGGGTCAGGTAACTCAAAGCGATTTGAGTGCAGGCGTGGTGTCCACGGGTACAAAGGGCTGAACCCCTGAAAGCTCGGGGGTTTTGGGCATTTAATTACGGTCAGATTTTTGTGACACTTATTTGTGACACTGGCAGGTCGATCACTAATTGGCGTAGGGTCCATAGTAGAGTTGCGTACCAACTACGCTGAGCTGAGAGTACGCTGGCCTACGTTACCATACCCTGAGGAACGCAAAAAAGTACGCAAGATGGACGCAAACAATTTAATATGTTTAACAAAATTCGCGTACTTTCGGCGTAGAAACTTGACGCAGAAAGTACGCCTTTTTTTACGTAACACTACGCTACTAAACTAAACAAACTGCATCTTTAAATGAATTAATGAAAAATTAGCCCAAGAAAAATGAGCCCCCGAAAGATAAAAAAGTAGCCCCCCCCCCCAAATTTTCCCAAAATTTGATATAGATCGAGTCCCCGAAAAAAAAATCTTTCACTGGATTCTACGCTCACAGTCCCTCACACAGTCGAGTCAATTTGTGCACAAACCGTCCGATTTTTCGCGTAAAATCTTTACTTTGATAATAATTGTACACATTTTGTGAACAATGCCAACATAATCATAATCCAAGCCTCTGCATATGTAGTCTTTTCATGAAACTACATTGAAATCACAACATTAATAATGCAAATAAATCGTAATTATCGAGATCCAATCTGACATAGTTTGTTTTACGATGCGCCATTTATGGTCAAACAGCATATATTATAAAAATTCTCTATATAAAGATAATCTATTTTTTTTTGGATAGCACATAGGCCTCTATCTATCTATCTATTTGGCCCCCTCCCCTAGAATCCCGTGGATTTTCCACGGGTCCTGCTAGTCAAGTTATTAATGCATACTAAAAAAGCGACAGCAAATTCATATCCTTTTCCTGTGGTACTACTGCATTTCCATAGAATGTTATCTTGTATAAGATGATAATTTGTGGACATGACAAAAGAAGAAAAGAATGAAGGGAGGAGAATTTTTTCACCCCTCTGTTGACTGTAGCTCAGCTTCACACCAACATGGAGCACGGAGTATAGTCCATGGTAGTCTGCAAGCACAAGCCCTGGTCAGTCGTAAAAGAGTGTCTGCACAATAAGACTACCATAGGCCATGTACTACAGCTGCTCCTGGCACAGGACACAACCAGTAGGTAGCTGGGCTAGGCTTCTCTCAAGGCACAATGAGTTTTTGATAAAGTGTCAAATTAGGGTCTGTGCTTGCAGACTAGGTCCACGGCTCCAATTTAGTCTGGCAGAGCCAAAGAGGTACCACTCACACACACACACATACTCATGCACAGACCTACTGGATGCAATGTAATACCTACTACACACATTCAAGGTTCAGTGAACACACACAGCTTCTTTGTTCATGTAGACAGTGCAGACATCTGATTGGTCCAAAGTTCTGTGATGTCACAATGGGTTCCTTGTATTGCTGTATTCATTTTGCTTAGAAACAAGTGCAGCTGTTCTCTAAGTATTTTTCTTCAGTTTTATAGTGAAAAGTCATTTTATAAAGATAAGAAAGAAGATGTTTCAGAAGATGGATGAACAAAAAAAATAAGTTTCACAAGCAGAAATTGTGATACAAAGATACAGTGTAGCATTTAGATTTTTTTTAAATTCAACACATTTTTCATTTTCACTTTGCTTTAGTAAACAGGACTCCAGTAGTGACTGAAGATAGATAATATATATATATCTGTACAGTGCTTATACACATGGCTGTATCGATGTATTGGGCACTATATAAAAGCAGAATATTATTATAGACGAGAATTATATTAGGGTTCATAATTGTAGCATAGAGCTTTATTATTATACATTACATTACATTACGATGTCTACAGAAAAGGAGAGAATGACCCACCTGTTACGCCAAAAAAATGTACAAATACCTCATGGGGCTGCAGTGTCAAAAAGCTGTGATGAACTAGTTGGTCCTAATCCAATATTTGTTTGTACTGTCACAGTGATTGTGAACAGAGACAGGTTTGGAGAGTGGCTTACTAGTTGTGGTCTTTGTGGCGCCAAACCTTTACAAGTATTGTCTTACTTGGCACACATGTAGTACTCTGTCATAAATGACATCACACTGCTCTGCATTCATACAACATACTAAATGATCAGTTTGACAAGGCTCTGAGATTTCTATTTAATAGTTATTTTATTTAAGTTGTGATCTTATACAGACTCTGCCTTCATGAATACTCTCTTTATTAGTTCACAAGCCATGATTCATTCATCAATACCATTATTTAGATCATTGGTGTAGAAAAAGATTGCTGTATGACATTATTAACTTAATGCTCGTACTCTGGAATATTTTTTGTGATTCACAGTTTAACATCGTTCATCACATCTTTTTTTTCTTTTACTCTTTTACTCTCTCTCTCCACTCTTAGCCTAATCAGTTACTCCTCTCTTTAAAATGTCCAAAATGAATTTGATCAAATGAGATGTAATTGGCTTTAGTTATGATATAGAAAAAGGCATGAAACATTCAATATTGAGAAGAAAACAACATTTCCTCCCCTGAAGGTATAACAAGTAAACATTTTCTATCTATCAAGGTATCTTCTTCCAGCTAGTAGGTTGATTGCAATATTTATCCATATGTCTTTATTCATTTTGAAATATTTGATTGTTTTAAACTCAATACAGTATTTTTGACATGAAGTCAATTCAATTTTTTAAACATACATTTGGTCAGATGTTATCATTATCATCATCACGTCATCCCTCCTTTTCTTTCTTTGGCTCGATTCAGGATATTAAAATTGCTATGTGTTTGCTTTTTCCTGTCATCTTGCAGTCTTTCCCTAGAAACACCTGTCTGTCATGTTCTCTTGCAGATATACCGGTCTCATGACAGTGTAAGCTTCCATCATCTCATCACCTTACCTCCTGGTGATTACATAACAACCTGTGCTAGTAGTATAAACCATCATACCACAGTCTTCCTCTCCCAGTCTAATAACATCTACATTGCTAAGACAGGTAAGCAACCTTTTAACAAGCAGTGACTAACTTTACCACAGTTGCACATCCTTAGACTCTCTATACTTTCTTGATTATTTTTCCTGGGATGTGGCAGGGGGAGGGGCAGGGCTATGGAAAATTTATACATGTTTCATTACTTTTAAAAGATATTAGAGAGCTTTCCAGTGATGTAAAATTGGATGAAAATGGACACAAATTTGAGAAGTCTTTCCCCTTCATTTTTGTTGGTGGGAATGATACTATTTCTTTTTGTTTCTTTAAATTATTGTGACAAAAAATTGGAGAGGGCCTTCAAAATTACTGGAGGATGGGGGAAGTTTTTTTTCAGGATTACTTCTAATTCGGGGCATTTATCTCATCAACCCATTGGAAGATGTCAAAAAGTGACTCTCAAGTGATGCATGTTTTCTTTGCTCCAGATTTTTATAGTAAAAGAATTGAGGCATATTATTTTGTTAGTAACTGATATTCATGAATGCTTGGATGAAATAACACTTGATAGGCACGGTCACTTGTAATCCATCAGTCTGTCATCTTAGAAGTTTTTCATCTGAAATCTCCAAAACGTTACTGGCAGCTGCATTCAGATTAAGACTGTGTCTTGCTTGTTCTTTATAAGGTCATGGTCAATCGTAATATGAAAGTTTGAATAGAGACTTGTAAGATCAACCTTGGAGTCTCGGTTTAGACTGGTCTCGATCAGGCAAGAAATTTGAAAAGCTTTAACAATATCTTGACAAGTCTGGAAGACTGGGTAGGATTTTTCAGAGCTTGTTGTTTGGTGATAGATCAGAAGTACTTCAAACTATTGCATTTTCACCCTAGTCCATGGAAAATTTCATGTTGAAAATTTGATGAATCAAAAGAGGTTCATGTGAAGCCCTATTTCAATTGGGTTTAGCCCATGTGTATTATGATAAACAGCTCTCTCTGAATGTTTTAAGTCATCCAAATTAACAAAGGGTTAAACTAGCCAGGGTCAGTTTCTAGTCTGAAACAACAGGGCCCCATTTCACAAAACTTGTCATCAGTGACAAATTACAGTTTTTGTTTAAGCTACTGAAATCCTTGCTTCTGATTGGTTATCAGCAGATTTGTCACAGATTTTTGTTATTTGTCATTGAAAAAAGGCTTTGTGAAACAGGTCTAAAGTTTGTTCAATGCACTTTGAATGAGCTTCTCTTTCTCATCTCTTGTTATCCCTTACTTTAAACTATTCCCAATACTTTTTCAATTCTTTCCTTCTTTTTCCCCTTTTTGATCCAGTATTTTGTTCTTCCTCTTATTAACTCTTTAATATTTTCATCATCCTTTTCAAATAACATTTATATATTTGTCATTTCTATTTCATTGAATAATGAAAAATCTTCTCTTTCTTCCATAATAGACCCCCAATTAAAGTCCCATCTCATCTGAGCTTCATGTTATGAACTGAATCGACTGTTGATTTGTGCTGGACATTCAGCTGGTGGCTTGTAGCTATTCTCTTCTATCCTGCCCCTCCCCCTCTCCCCCCCCCCCCCCCCTCCCCCTGCTCCCCCCCCCTCTCTCTCTCTCTCTCTCTCTCTCTCTCTCTCTTCCTCTCTCTCATATCTTTTCTCCCTGTACTCCTCTGTCAGTCTTTCTAAAAAATGTTTTATGTTTTATAATCACAACTTAAACTTGTTATCTTCCTGTGGTATATTCCTACCTTTTCTCTATTTAGTCTCTTCCCCTTCTCCCTTCTCTCCCTCCCTCCCTCTTCCCCCTCCTCTCTTTCTCTTCCCTCTTTCTCTTTTCCCTCTTTCCCACCTCTCTGTATTTATCTCTCCCTCTCCTACTCTCTCCCTCTCCCACTATCTCCCTCTTAACCTGGCACTTTAGCTTAAATTTAACACATAAAGGTCACTTTTTATCCTGAGAAACCAATCCAAGGCAGTAAATATCATGCCTTGTGAACATACATGACATGTCATTGATGCCAGAATCAGTCCTGTATGATTCTGAAATGTCTTTCAATCAAACTTTCTGAAATTTGAACTTCCAAAAGGTCAATGAAGTACAAAAGACCCATATTAATTCTAGTTTTGTTTGCACTTGGCCCCTGTATTAAAGGAAAAATAGTTTATAATAATAATTTTGGTGCATTCCAAAATCATAAGGGGTAGATACGAATGATTGATAACTTGACCTTTTTAATACAATCTTAATCGTGATGATGTTTTTCATCTGAAGTGTATGCTTGACAAGTGCACTTTTGACATTTCTCACCTCATGTGATTGAGCTCTCACCCAATAATTGCAGCTAAATATGCATCAAAATGTGGAGCCGAATAAGAAATGTCTTTTTTTTCCTTCAGTCTGAACTAAATTAACAAACAGTTGTTTGCCATACCTAGAGTAAGGGTTATTGGCTTCTTAGGAGTATTTGTCATACTCGGTGAAAACATTGATACATTTTGCTGCTATTTCAAGCTTCAGACCTTTATATAGCCATCCTCATATTTTCTCCTTTTTTCTCTTCTATGATCAATGACCTTGTTAGACTAGTCCTTATAAAATGCAATCATGTTATTTTTCATGCTCAGTATTTACAACTTAAATTTGATCCTAAGCTCTCATAATGAAATGTGTTTTCTTTTAGTGTGTGTGCAATATCTGTGTTCATCACTAAGAGGAAAGCACAATCTTTTAGTAATTTCATGAGACAAGATGTTTGCAATGCTAAATAATTTATTCTCTTTATATATGAATAAAAAGTATAATATATTGTGAGTAATTCTACGTACATATGACACTGAAGTCTTCCAATAAATAATTAATTGTCTTTAAAATAGTCAATATCATGACAGCAAAATTATGAACTGACTCAGCATAGGTAACATCAGTCTCAGGGAAAGGACTGATTATCCATGCCATGTAAAATTAAAGCAGAAAAAAAATATAAATATAAATATATAATAGATTAGATAATTATGTTCTCCTGTTACCACCTGCATGGGACTGCCTTCCAAAGTGTAAATGTAATTATTTTAATCATGATTAACTTTCATTAATTACGATTAACTTTGATTAATTACAATTAACTTTCACCAATCAGGATTACCTTTCATTATGTATGAGACACAAAGCAGATCTATTACATTTAAATGCCTCCATCATCATTGGATTTCATCTCTGATGTCATCAATCATAAAACCATGTTATTTCCTACACAGAACATTCAACATGAATAACCAAGGAAATAAAAGGAAATGAAGCAAGTAATTGAATTGTCTGGCCGTCTGATTAAGACGTATTGATCGTGTTAATTAAATGGTAGCTTCCATATTCCTAGATATTGTGTGTTTGGAGCCAGAAGGGAATTATTTCATATCATTTTACACAGAGTTAATAATCTTTCTGCTCCAAACAGATGTTATGTACTCCAGTAGATGGATGTATCTTCAAGGTAACATTAAAATCATCTTGTCTTGGTCCCAGGTATGATACACAGCAAGAAAACATTTATGATATTTAAAATTAATTTTCATCATGTATGAGTTCAGTAAGTCACAGGTTATAGTTCTTTCCCTCTACTGTTTTCAATTTTAGTTCATTTTTTTATTCCATTCGTCATATATAACATACAAGATTATAACATTGGTATTTATAGATAAGTAAAGAACATATAAATAACATAACAAAAGATAAACATAAAATACAAATATATACGAATGAGGAAACCAGGAAAAAAGAACAATAAAGTCTTATGTGGTACTGGTCCGTTCCGACATAATAAAGAACATATCAATGGTATTTTCAGGTGTAAATGTTATTCTTTATTAGGTATTCCTGATCGTATCATCAAGGCAACAAGGAGTATTGATGTTCATCAGCCATGTATCCTGTTCATTGATCATCTTGGTGATGTCTATACTGGTGGTATTCATCAGCTCCAAACATTGGTTCAATCTATTGATATCAACACACATATCAAGGTTAGTAGGCACTGATAATATTATATAGATCTTTGATTTGAATGAATGGTGGTGGTTATTTTACCTGGCTGCTAAGAAAGCATAAATGCTTGTAAGTAAGCAACCAGACGGCCGACGGCTTTAGGTCCTCGATCTCCGAGGGACCTGATAATGAGGATTAATGCCTTACCAAAGGGCACAAGCGCATCGCCTTGGTTTCGAACCCGGGTCATCGGATGACAGGACTACTGCTCTACCGACTGAGCTATCGCGCCTCTTTGATAATATTACAAAGAACTTTGATCAAGGTGCAACATGTTTGTTTATGGTTACCTTGGTGTTTTTATTTCAGTGCTCCATTCTCATTATCTTTTATAATCAGAAGTTTTGAATTTATATATATATATCCTGATCCTTTGCTTTTGACCATGTTTGCTTGACCCAAGCTTGTAAATAATAATAATAATAATAGTGGGTTCTTGTATAGCGCTCATGTCAGTCAGATTTGACCCTCCTGGCGCTCCCGATTATTACCCTGGCTTTAGCACGGCTGCCATACGGCGCTCTAGCATTTCAAGGAATAAATTCCTACCAGGTACCCATTTACTTCACCTGGGTGGAGTGTGGCAAATGTAGATCAATGTCTTGCCAAAGGACATTAGTGCGGCGGCGGGACTCGAACCGCGAACCTTGTGATCGACAGTCCGGCGACGTATCCACTCGACCACAAATGGTTTCCTGTAAAAAAAAAAACCTGTTGAATGATTTTAGTTAGACATATTTAACTGCTCAGTTAGCAGTAGGGCTATATTCAAAGTGCATATATAGAGAATTATTATAATTCTAATTATTTGTAATGTATGCTTCAGATCTAGGAGGCATATCATCCCATAATGTAATTGTTTAATTCAAATTGATGCCATAACTTCTATTATCTATGAAGTTAAGTATTTTGAAGACAGATTTATACAATATTTATAATGCACATGAACACAGGAGCTTATGTTATAGGAGAAGAAAGTTTTCGATTAGATGTACTAAGTTGAATCAATCAAGCCTGAAATCAATGATTTTATATATCTCTTTGATAAAAGCTAGGTCACCATTATCAGTACTAACTATGTTAAATAAGAACAGTTTTATGAGCAATGAAATGTATTTCAACATTTCTACAGGCACCAAGATTTAATTCAAAGTATAATATTAGCCTGGGACTTTCTTACTAACTACTGCCCATTATGCCTCCTGGCACATAGGGAAGCGACAAAAGGCTTCCACTCTTTCCGATTCTGGGCCAGTTTTTGGATGGTATCCCATGTGTGGTTCAGGTCTTTAATCTCTCCTTCCACAGTTCTTCGCCAAGTGTTTTTAGGGCTTCCCCTCTTTCTTTTGCCCTCTGGTGTCCAGTGGAGGGCTGTTCGTGTGATGTCGTCTATGTTCTTTTTCATTATATGTCCGATCCATCTCCACCTTCTTCTCATGATGATCTGGGACTTTCTAGTATATACTTTATTGGTCAGGCGATACTTTCTATAAGACTTTCAAAATCTCTGCTGCCCCCTCCCCCTTTGCACTTGTCAAGCGCTGATTTCTGGCCCTGTTTTAATAGTTGAGTGATGGCGCTGCTATCCAGGCATGACAACAGGTGTGACGACCCTTCCCATCATACACCTGTAACCCATGGAGTGATGATAACCACCCACTTCCTCCTGATTGACACAGCCACACTGCCAATTACACATCATCTGATATAAACTCATTTTAGCCAACCTACGACCTAGCTAACATGTATTGTTTGAGTACACACAATTGGTCTCAGACATCAACAGTTATACCTTGTGTCAATTCATCATGCAACATAGGTTCAATTTTGACACTTTTAACAAAATTTATGACTAATCCTTAACACAAATGTCAGCAAGGTTGTTATTATATGCAGAATCTATAAACATTGCCAACACAGTTATAAACTGAATAGTGATTTATTATATCATTTTCCTTATATCTGGTAGGTTTGGACCTCAGGACCAGGATGTAAACCAGTCCTTTCTGATCGTGTTATCCTGATGAAATATGTTAAAATAAATAATAAATAAATAAATTTGATTGATTGTAAGGTATGGACAGACTAATCTTAGTTCATTTTGCAGAAACCAGAAATTAGTATTTAACTGCATGCAAAGGTTATAAATAAAATGTCTATTCACAAGATCATCATTCTGTGACAAAGTGTGACTGTATACATTGCCCACAGTCTCAATCAAGCTTTCATATTATAGGATGCCAAATGTTATAGGATTACTATCCAATTAAGAGACTCTGATCCCTTCTTTTCTTCTCTCTCTTAGACTTTCAGCCTTTTCACACACAAGTAAAATTCTTTAAAGCTGATTAGTTTAAAGCGCTTTAAACTTATCAGCTTTATACATATGACATCATTCACACACACAAATTTCGTTGCGATCGTTAATCATTTTGTGATTAACTACTGCTCTTAAATTGCGCAAGAGTGATTCAGAATCTCATTTGAATATACCTAATGTCAGTCAGACAAAATGCAATTCATATATTCAACAATTTCAGTATACTCAGCCCTGAAGAATGGTACTTATGCAGTCATAACATATTTCTGCCTCTATTTTTTGAAAAGATGAGATCAGTACAAATTGTGTCGGATGAATATGACTTTGAATTGAAGCACGAAAGTGCAGTCGCTTTTGAGTACCGGTACTTTAACTGTACTGATCAGTAAAGGAATTAGACTATTGTCTGACAGTGAACACAACATGTGTGAAGGACATGATGTATCGAGGTAGGAAGAAATTAAATACAAATGTGTCACATTGGCTAGCTGTCACATGTTCATGAGGTCCCATCGATGATAAATAATGCGATGTATTGCAGGGCAAAGTTATTATATTCATCCAACCTTCCCTAGCCTCTCACCAAGCTCTCTCCCCCATTACAAGTATGGAATCATCCTCCCAGAATGCATTGCTTGTACCTGGGGGTTTAATGAAAGACTAGAAAACGAAGGGGAACGTAACAAGCCACATCTGACGGACGGCTGTTGCCGATTCGGAAGTTATTACTCATTTCAAATTGGCCACCGACGACAGGCAGTGATTGAAAACTGATGCTCTGCAGAGCTTCAACTTGGCACAAATCCACAGACACCATGTTACAAGATGGCTTGCCATTATAGATCTAGTGACTTCCACAGACACCATATTACAAGATGGCTAACAAATATTAAAGGTCTAGTGATGTCCACCGACAACATATTACAAGATAGCTAACAATTAAAAAGGTCTAGTGACTTCCATAGATATCTTGTTCAAGATGGCTCACAATTAAAGGTCTAGTGACTTCCATAGATAACTTGTTTCAAGATGGCTAACAATTAAAGGTCTAGTGAATCCCACAGACACCAAGTTTCAAGATGGCTAACTATTAAAGGTCTAGTGAATCCCACAGACACTATGTTACAAGATAGCTAATAATTAAAGGTCTAGTGAATCCCACAGACACTATGTTACAAGATAGCTAATAATTAAAGGTCTAGTGACTCCTACAGACACCCTGTTACAAGATAGCTAACAATTAAAGGTCTAGTGAATCCCACAGACACCCTGTTACAAGATAGCTAACAATTAAAGGTCTAGTGAATCCCACAGACACTATGTTACAAGATAGCTAACAATTAAAGGTCTAGTGATTCCCACAGACACTATGTTACAAGATAGCTAATAATTAAAGGTCTAGTTAATCCCATGGACACCCTGTTACAAGATAGCTAACAATTAAAGGTCTATAGTGACTCGCACAGTAACCATGTTACGAGATAGCTAATAATTAAAGGTTTGGTGACTTCCACCGGCACAATGTTACATTTGAATCAAGCATATCTTTTCAAAATGCCTGATAACCCTCATTTTGTATTTCTTATTCTGATAGATCATGAAGAGTAGACGTGATTATTTTAATGAAAAAAAGACCTAAATTTGTTTGAATGGAAAACCTGCCCCTGCAAGGGAATTGGTATAAGCACCCCTGAATTGCCCGAATGTTCAACAAAATCCTATGTTTATATACTACAAAGGGGTGGGAGCTAGGTTCCTGATTGTGAAGCCCCTCCTTCCATCTGCTCAGGTGAGCGTAAAGACTGCTGACCTCTTGTTTCCATTTAAAGTATAGTATTAATGACTGCTTTGAGAGAAATAGTTGTTTTATTACGCTCAAGGGAAGGTTAGAATTGTGCTATTCCCCGAGGCTTGCCGAGGGGAATAGCCCAATTCTAACCTTCCCGAGAGCGTATGAAAACAACTATTTCTCGAATATTAAAGCAGTCATTAATACTTTTATATGCCGAAAAAAAATAGACTAAAAAATGAAAAATTAAAAATATTTATCATTTTTGTCGAAGACGGGATTCGAACTCTTGCGTACAACAAGAGGTGTACCGAAAACCAACGCTTAGACCACTCGGCTATGGCCCGCCGTTAACATGCTTGGCAGTTTTCTCCAATATATACATTAAAATGGATTGAAACCGGCTTCGCGTGTGATGAATGCTTCGCAAAAGCTCCATATACGGACTCTTCTTTTACTTTTGCAATGCATATTGGCACGAACTTAGATCAAGATCTATCGGCAGATGTTGTTTTTAATACTAGCAGTCATTAATACTTTTATATGCCGAAAAAAATAGACTAAAAAATGAAAAATGAAAAATATTTATCAATTTTGTCGAAGACGGGATTCGAACTCTTGCGTACAACAAAAGGTGTTCCGAAAACCAACGCTTAGACCACTCGGCTATGGCCCGCCGTTAACATGCTTGGCAGTTTTCTCCAATATATACATTAAAATGGATTGAAACCGGCTTCGCGTGTGATGAATGCTTCGCAAAAGCTCCATATACGGACTCTTCTTTTACTTTTGCAATGCATATTGGCACGAACTTAGATCAAGATCTATCGGCAGATGTTGTTTTTTTGTTTTTGGAAGTTTATTTTCGTCTTCATGTCAACAATGCAAGATAAAATTGTCGGTAAGATCGATCGAGATTCAATTGTATTGAAATTACCGACCAATCCTTCGCACACATACGGCATCCTCCATCGCTCAAACCATTTTTTAACATGTAAACCTATGGGGTAACCATGGACGCTGACCAACTTTTTTTAATAACCATGGTTATTAAAAATATTGAAATGTTTTATGCATGGTTACCGAGAATTTTACAGGAACAGTTGAAGTTTATGAATGCAATTCGACCAATCAGATGGCTGGATTTCTTAAGTGAGGTATATAATTGATATCATTGCCCTGATATGCCTTTGATATTGCAAACTGTTGAGGGAGGAATAAGAAGAAGGAGAAGAGGAGGAGAGGATGAGGAAGAAGGAGGGGAAGAAGAAGAAGAAGAAGAAGGAGGTGGAGGAGGAGGAGGAGGAGGGAGAGAGAGAGAGAGAGAGAGAGAGAGAGAGAGAGAGAGGGGAATAAGTTGTTTATATTGACCATAGATACATGTCCTTTAAATAACCCTAATCCATGAAGGACTTCATATGAGGAGGGGGAGGAGGAGGGGGAGGGGGGAGGAGGAGGAGGAGGAGGAGGAGGAGGAGGAGGAGTAGGAGGAGGAGGAGGAGGAGGAGGAGGAGGAGGAGGAGGAGGAGAGGGGGGGTATATTGACCATTGATACATGTCCTTTAAATAACCCTAATCCATGAGGGACTTCATATGAGGAGGGGGAGGCGGAGGAGGAGGGGGAGGGGGAGGGGAGGAGGAGGAGGAGGAGGAGGAGGAGGAGAGGGGGGGGGGTATATTGACCATAGATACATGTCCTTTAAATAACCCTAATCCATGAGGGACTTCATATGTACTTTTAATGCTAAAGATTGAAATCAAGAACAGCCGATATCTATTAACAACGAACTTCAAACAGCAGTCAAACATGTCCCATCTTTCCCAGAAATAGCCGTGAACTTTCTACAAAATGTGCCAATGATAATCACTATACATTGAATGGTTACAATTGTAATATCCCTTATCCAGTCAATGACCTTTGAGAAATGCTTCATGGTATTAATATCATTTGTTGCGTTTAAAGGTAATGACACTGCTTTTTACAATTTTTTAACATCAAGTTTGCCAGGTACTAGTAAAGTATCATAAGATTAAACTCTGCTCTGACAATATTCTATTCCTCAATGAAATGATGCCTAAATGATGTATTAAGCTCTTGTAATATCTTTAATTCTGTATGTTAATGTGCATCCCAATTTATCATAGTTATGTCACATTACAAATTTGGGTGCTTTTTTCTGTCACAAGCTCGAGTTTGCCAAATAACCTGCTTTTTTCAGACTTGGGATATTATCCCGAAGCTCGAAATTGCTTCTTCACCAGACCGATACGCTCATCACAAACTAGCTCAGATGGGTGCAAAATAGCGGGAATTTTTTTTTTTAACAAGTCCAAGATTTCTTGGGATATTTTCTTGACCAAATATCCTGCTAGTTGCAACTGCGGGCTGATGAAGACGCAAAGTTAATGGTTAATTTGCGATGAGGATAGTTAAAGTAGTGGGTTTTGGGGCAAACTCGAGCTGATGAAGACAGACCTAATGTGTAATCTTTGCATAACACTATCACAAACTCTATTCATTAATTGCCTCATGTTAATGCTATGGTTTCAGGAGGCATCTCACATCGTTCAAGCTCCTATCACCATCCAGCATATCACAGCTACTAGGTTTATGCTATGGCAAGATGGTAACCATGGTAACCAAACAGATACCGAGGATGAGGGAAAGAATGTTCTTAACAAGACTGCTGTAGGACAGGAGATAGTTGGAAGGTAAGAGTATATATTGGTGGATTGAGTGAATAAAATTTCCTAAACACTCACAATTTTAAAACTTTAACAAACAAAAAAACACCAGGATGAAATATATTGCTTGCACTGCATGATTTATATAGCCAATGAGCCTTGTCTGTTTGTAATAATGCTGTTCTTGATCAAGTCAACTTGAATTCATAACCTGTATCGATCCTGTTATAACCATGTATGCTAGTAATGTGACCAGAAAAAAAAATCACTTTTATTGTCTTCATTCTGTAAACTGATCATCTTTGCTGTTGTTTTATTTTGTTTCTAATTTTATCTTGCCCCTTTTTTTGTTGGAGGGTGCTTCGATCTTTGAGTTCACTAAATCCTCAGTCATCCTATCTTTCGTATGCTCCACACTTAAACAAATGTCATCAAACAAGAAGCTTGAAAATAAGTTGAATTGTGTATGATAACAATTAAAGTTACAGTTTTTTTACTAACTGTGCAATTTACTGATCGAATTTTTAAATTTCACAAGTTTGACTTAAAACGACCCCCACCCCCCCCCCTGTATTTTTAAAGCCATGAGGGGGCTCAAGATGTGGACCCAGCGCTGTATTTGAAGCCAGACATTGGGGTAGTAAGTTAACCTTGCAGCAAAGGTGAATTCATTCTCAGATGACAGAATAATGTCTGTTCAGAGCCAGAAGGGGGTTAACTCTGTGTTAAAGCACATGAGTTAACATCCTTTAGGCTCCTAACATACAATGTGATGTTTTCCATGCTGTGGATGTCTCTCATCAATGGATGTAACCCAATCCATTATGCACCAGGAAGATCAACAAACTGTTATGAGTAGCTGTACAAACCATTCTCTTGTATATCAACAAGAAGAAGAAGGAAACATTCGAGAGAAAGGGGATAGGTGGAGAATTGGGTCAAGAATGACTTGTTCCTAATCCCTTTCAAGCTTCACTAGAAAGATTCAACCTTGTCCTTGAAGATATCGGTAGGTGGATTTGACTGTCCTTCCGTAACCCAGTTAGGGTGAGGTTTCCAGCAACCCCTCGGAACAATTCTCTTTATTCAGACAATTCAGACTTGTTCCCCCAGTACATGGTGTGTTTGAAGTAGCACTAAGACCGCTGGAAGAAAATAGACAACATGAATTGGGAATAAACTAGCAAATTGAAAATTAACTGAATAAAAAAAATAAAAAAAATTCTTTGGCCTGATATTATAAATGAATTAAGATTAATTTGTCAGTGCAATACAACTAAGGTATAATTTTTATTAATATTATTATTTATTTGGCACTTTCAATACATGTCAAAAAGAACATTCAAGTGACTAAAACAAATTATATACCTCACTTAAGAAATCCAGCCATCTGATTGGTCGAATTGCATTCATAAACTTCAACTGTTCCTGTAAAATTCTCGGTAACCATGCTTAAAACATTTCAATATTTTTAATAACCATGGTTATTAAAAATAGTTGGTCAGCCTCCATGGTTACCCCATAGGTTTATACATGTTAAAAAATGGTTTGAGCGATGGAGGATACCGTATGTGTGCGAAGGATTAGTCGGTAATTTCAATACAATTGAATCTCGATCGATCTTACCGACAATTTTATCTTGCATTGTTGACATGAAGACGAAAATAAACTTCCAAAAAACAAAAAAACAACATCTGCCGATAGATCTTGATCTAAGTTCGTGCCAATATGCATTGCAAAAGTAAAAGAAGAGTCCGTATATGGAGCTTTTGCGAAGCATTCATCACACGCGAAGCCGGTTTCAATCCATCTAATGTATATATTGTATAAAGCTGCCAAGCATGTTAACATCGCGCGATGGCCGAGAGGTCTGAGGCGCTGACTTTAAATTCATCACCTTTTGTACGCAAGAGGTCGAATCTCATCTTCGACCAAAAAAAAAAGTATTTTTTATTTTTTATTTTTTAGTCTATTTTTTTTCGGCATATAAAAGTATTAATGACTGCTTTAATATTCGAGAAATAGTTGTTTTTATACGCTCTCGGGAAGTTACAATTGGGCTATTCCCCTCGGCACGCCTCGGGTAATAGCACAATTCTAACCTTCCCTTGAGCGTAATAAAACAACTATTTCTCTCAAAGCAGTCATTAATACTATAATATGGCAATAATTTCATTATTACTGGTACATCTGACCAGGTGGCCTAGTGGTCAACTAAATAATCATGGCACTCAGGCCCTCCACCCCACACCTGGTTGAGTGTACAAGTATTTAAACAAAAGTGTTTAAGGTACACATGTTCTCAGTATTGAGTCATTTGATTATTACTATTTAATGATCACATAATTAATAAACAATATTCACCAAAAATTATTACATTTCCAAAAAAGAAGATTTAAACTACTGATGCACTTTCAGAATCTCATTCTTGAGGACCTGAAGAACGTGTTCTTTACTACTACACAATTTTAACCCTGCATTCAGGAAACAAGCCTCCCCAGACTACTGGAAACATATGAACCGCAGTCTGATTATAAGTCTCTTTGTTCTTGCCTTCAAATTAACAAATCTTACGTCCTCTGAGTGCCGAATACAAATCTTGATATTATCTTCTGCTACTTCAATGGTATTGAAAGGGTTAAAGTGTCCAATAATTAGTGATTTAAAAATATTAATAAATTCAGTAATTTTGAGTGTTAAGGATGTTCAAAAGGAAGAAATTTAAATTTGTGTATAAAATATTAAACAAAGGAAGCTTCAGTGTTAAGAAAATCATACACTTATTTCCAGTTTAATTTTGAGGAGATTTTTATGCCTCTGCAACGAAGTAGCCGGAGGCATTATTTAGACCTGTCTGTTCTTTAAGTTGATGATGGTAAAAGCTAGCTCATACTTGTTTACTCATCAGTATGATTGACTTGGCTATTTGATATTGTGGTATTCTTGAATTGGAGAAGATTCTTCCGATGAGGTTCATAATAGGCCCATTTACCAAACATGATGAGCAAATGTTGGTTACACATGTGAAGTGCCTAGCCTTGGATTCAAACTCTCGACTGCACAATCGTGTTATAGGTGAGACTATGAAAGTGTTGTGTGTTGTGAGCAGCCTGTTAATATTGTTAGAATCATTGCAGCTATGTACTTGACTGTCAACGCAGTAGCTCTATGTGGCCTAAAATCCTTGCTTTATGGGTGGGAATCGATCCCACCGCTGCCACCATGCCTATAAAGAGGAATTGAGCCCATCAGATTCTGTTAGACAATTGAACACTTCTCATTTAACATAAACCTAGGCTGAACATCCCGCTGTGGCACTTTGGTAAGACAGTGATCTACATTTGCCACACTTGACCCAGGTGAGGTAACTAGGTACCTGGTAGGATTATTCCTTGAAATGCACTGTGCGCTGATTAAGGCTGCCGGAGCTAAAGCTAGGGTTATAATTTCCAAAGCTCTTTGGGAGCGCATAGAGATGTTATATCATATGATATTATTAACATTTTAACAACATATATAACTCACTGTAAAAGGGTAACCAACAACACACATATACAAGCATATGGGCAATGGGAATAGTTTATGGGTACTATGATGCCTCCACAATAGAACATTGACAAACTCTTTGCTTTGCACCTGCATGGTCCAGACATGTACATGCACATATAAACATAACCATAATCTAGAACTAGAGGCACGCTTTAAATGTTCAGTAATAGTGCTCTGCTGAGGACTTTCAGATATTTAAAGCTGTCCCTTTATTTAGAGGACAATATTGAGTGAAGAAAATCAGTGCATTGGTGCCATGTGAACGTATCCTTTGTATGAGTGGTATAGGTGTCTGTGACAGGGGCTGTCGGAAGGCTCGATCACGTCAATTACCCTCTTCCCTAAAGACTTTATCAAACGCTCTCAACCAAATCTCCGGAGGCGTAAATAAGCGCACCTTATCAAAGATCAACCATCATTGACAGACATTAGCTTCCATTCTCTACCATTTCTTACTCACCTCTCTCTGTCATTCTCTTTCTCTCTCTCTCTCTCTCTCTCTCTGTTCCCATGTTCCCTTGTCTGTCTGTCTCCTCACTTTTTTCGTCAGTGATTCTCTTTTTCTCCTGTAGTCCCTCTAATTCTATCCATCTCTCTCTGGCCCCTTTCATCCCCTTCTCTTTTCTCTTATTTCTTCTCCATCTTCTTTTTGTTTCTCTCTACCTTTCTATGTGCCATGGTTTCTCTGCCCTTCCCCAATTTGTCATCCAGTTTGAATCAGACTCTTCCATCTTCTTTCTGCAAAGTTTTCCAGCTTCTTCCTCTTTCTTTCTACCACTTTCTCACTCTGTGCCCTTGTCTCTCTGCTCCACCTCTTTTGTTGTTTACAGTTTAGCTCATAAATAAGGATACTAAAAGTCTTAGATTTCTTTTATATATGTAAGAGTTAGAATAAGACTCATTCCATAATTGTATTTTTTACAATTACTATTTGTTTCTCTTGTCTCTTCTCTCTATACATATCCATTTCACATAATTTGCTTATTCACTTACATTTACTCAATTATTTAACCAAATTCCTTCCTCCATTCATCTCCTCTACATACCAAGTCTTCCATCTCACCTAGTATGTTCCTTTGTTCTGTTCTCATTCTTTATTCATAAATCTTGTGTGAATGCTTTAGGTATTTACACTTCTTACTTATCGTTGGTTCTCTTCTCCTTTTTCTAACGAATATTCAGTCTTACTCCCAAATCATATTTTGCTATTGGTTAATGATGCATTCATTTGAATATACTTTGCTTGAAAATGTACAAATGAGCCTACAATAAAAGACAGACAGACCTGCACTGGACATCATCTGAGTCAGTTGTATTGATTTAGGGTTCTGCTACTTTTATCTTGGAGACTTAGGAGAGAGGATTTATTTGAGTTTGGCAGTGGTTTGTGGATGATAGGTGGTTTTAATTTATATTTGTGAGAGGTTATTTTTATTAGTTTATATATACATCAACTTAAACAAATAATTTAATGAATAATCACCTGTTATAATTCATGGTTGCCATTCACTTTTTTTCTATGCATCAGCCAAATGATATTCTTTTTGTTTGGCTCGAAGAAGCGATGCTTAGGAAACCCCGCTCAACTCTAACTTCCTTTTGTAATAAAGGTGAACAGTTCAACAAGACAATGGTTGACATTCACTTTCTAAAGTAGTCATGTTAGTCAGAAATAATTTGCAGTTTACTCTTACATCATAGATATTGAAAGGTGTATTCTACTTGTCTCTAGTATGATGCTTGTAATGTCATACATCTACAGTAAGTATGTATAAATATCAACTCTGGCTCTGTGAATCCAAAATCAGACAGGCAGCATTCTCTTGAACTTCTTGCACTTAAATCCTTCTTGCTTTGAAACCAGTGAGCAATGATTGTATCTCTCTTCCTTCCAACTCTTTAATATTCATATATTAAATCCTTCTTGCTTTCAGGCTAACACTCAATGGTTATAATAACTTTTTTCAAGTCCTTTTTCGTCTGTGATTCTCCTTTTCTCCCATAGTCCCTCTAATTCTATCCATCTCTGTCTCTGACCCCTTTCAGCCCCTTCTCTTTTCTCTATTTCTTCTCAATTTTCTTTCTGTTTCTCTCTACCTTTCTTTGTGCCATGATATCTCTGCCCTTCCCTCCATTTATCATCCAGTTTGAATCAGACTCTTCCATCTTCTTTCTCTTTCTCTTTCTCCCTTCCACTTTCTCTGCGCCCTTGTCTCTCCTCTCCACCTCTCCACCTCCTTTGTCGTTCACAGTTTAGCTCAAAAATAAGGTTATAACTTGCTCTCGAACATATAGCACTTAAAACCTTCTTGCTTTGAAGCCAACACTCAATGATCAGTGGACTGCTTCTGTATTTATTCAAGTCGTCAATAGTGTGAGTCTGCTGGGGGATGATGGGAAATGACTGGTAATATGGATAAACATAGAGCCTGTCAGCAAGCCGTCAATCACTCTGAAGTCTCATCATTTAATGAAAGATAGACCTCTACTTCTGATGCTATTTAAATGAATTGGTGAAGAATGCTTTCTCCCTAGGCGCATCTTCATCATCTCGAGATTGCCAAATAGCCCGCTATTTCTGATTTGGGAAATAATCCTGAAGTTACAAATCGTGTCTTCATCAGCTCGAGATTCGACCTCAAAACTTGAAACTCGACCTTGAGAAATTAGCTTGAGATATTTTGCTCAACGTTCGCGCATAGTGCGAGTCTTCGGTCTGGTGAAGAAGCACCGGACAAATAGCTGGATATTTTGCCAAATAGTGGGATATTTTGCAAACTATCCCAAGATATCTTGGGATGACAATCCCGACCAAATATCCCGCTAATTGCAACTTCGGGCGGATGAAGACGCAAATTAGCTGGATAGTTTGCGATCGGGATAGTTCAAATAGCTGGATAGTTGGCAATCTCAAGATAGTGCGGACAGGCCTATAGTGTCAATCCTTGTTTTTGCTGCATGTACAGTCATTAAGAGTACCCTAGCTGGGCCATTATCTAATTCAATACTTAAAGTGTACTAATCACCCAAAAGTATTTGTTTCTGTATATTAGCGATTTCATGATGCTATACTTTATTCAAATCATGGGCTTCAGATATTACTTCTATAAAGATATATGGGATTTTTTTAATATAACCATGTACTCTCGACGATCATATAAAGCAACTTGTCGTGAGTAATAAACTACTTGAGGTACCCATATAAAGCATAGGGCCCGCATGTTAAACCCATTTCTGACTTAGGTTCCATTCACTGGGTTTTATTTAATTTAATCCCAACATTTAAAAGGGAACAATCACCTACTGTATCAGACATTAAGATGGTTAAGATTGGAATAATAAAATTCATTTTTTTATAAATGTGTTTATATCGAGGCTTGTATGGAAATCAATTAAATGATAACTTCCCTCTTTGTTTGTGCGCAAGACTCATTTATCATTAGTTAATAGAGTAGTGTATATAAACTTGCAATATATCTTTACAGATGAAGAGTTCGACCGTGTCATCATATCTATGTAAAACTCCAAGCATACAGAGCACAAAATATTTGTATGTATGATTTGTTGCTGTTAAAGTACCTTCATAATATTTGTATGTATGATTTGTTGCTGTTAAAGTACCTTCATAATATTTGTATGTATGATTTGTTGCTGTTAAAGTACCTTCATAATATTTGTATGTATGATTTGTTGCTGTTAAAGTACCTTCATAATATTTGTATGTATGATTTGTTGCTGTTAAAGTACCTTCATAATGCACAATTGAACTGCAGAAGAAAGTGTTAATGCCTTTGTGCAATGGGACTATACCATTAATCATCCATCCTGTTCTGTCTGTCCTCTATTCAAAAACCTTTACAACACTCCAACAAAGAGGGCAGTGTGACATCAAAATTGTCAGAAATCCGAAGATATTCCTGCTTTGCCTAATAACATGAAAAAACACAATGGTTGTCTATTACCCTGTTTTTGTTTACCCTCTAGTCTCCTTTTTCTACACTTTCTGAACCCCCTCATTTGGCTAATAAGTTTCTGCTTCGTGGCTGAACTATTCCTCAATAAGTTTGTATGACTGAGTGTGTCATGTAAACCCTGTTTTCTATCACTTTTACTATTTGGACTACGCAGTGGCACAGGATATGAGATCATTGTATAAATGGAGAACCATATGGGAGATAATCTCTATTGTGCATGGATGAAGATCAAAGAGAAGAGATCGAGAAAGAAAATTTAGTTTATTTTCATGTAAATAGATTGTGGAATCTTCAAGTGCATTAAGTCCTGAAAGAGTAACTGACACAAAATATTTTGTTATATACCGGTAGCCTTTATTGGGCAAAAACACAGGGAAAGACAAAATATAAATAAATATTCATCATGACTGTTGATATTTTGAAGTAAACTGTTGCCAGAGAGGATACTTCATGGTATGTTTACATGCATTGCTGTTCTTTCCATGCACTCTGCCCTTGAATCTCCATGTTGTAGCAGGTCCCACCCAAGAAGTCAAATGTTGAATGTGTTTTGACTTTGAAGATCTACATTTTCTTCCAGAACCATATAAAGTGTCTCTATCCTGAACTTGATATCCATGTTAATTAAATGCCCAGTTTATCAAGTTTTAACAAAACAAGAGAAGCAGGGCTTGGCAAGTAACAGGCACCTGGAACACATGGACACCCATGATATCAGGATGGACCCCAATATTTATTTCTTTTTTTGTACATAGGGCTCATGTATACGCCTGCTTTATTTTTTAGCCTCATTCAAAAAGTAGTATGGAGCCCTAGCTGTAATACAAGTCAAATTCTCTTTCTTAAATGTTTATGACAACTGTCCAATCATGATGACTCTGGAGGATTTAAGTAGTGGGGGTGTCGTGGTCGAGTGGTTTAAGGCGCTTGATTGGAGATGCGAAGGTCGAGGGTTCAAATCCTGACACGGCACTAATATCCTTTGGCAAGATATTAACCTGCACTTGCTACTCTCCACCCAGCTGTTAAATGGGTACCTGGTAGGATATGACTGTCATTGCTGGTCAAACAGATTTTGAGCATCAAGTAACGCCTGGCTGGAATGCTCCCCGGGGAGTGGAGATTGTGCACACAGTGTGCACACGGGGTAATAGTATATTTGTAAATCGCTTTAATAGAGACATTGTATTAAGCGCTATATAAAAGCTAATATTATTATATTATATTACTTTTCCTATCTGCATCAGAACCGTGATTATAAATATGTTAATGTTTTTGTTGTATCATGACAGCGGTATGCGCCTATTAATAACTAACATGAGGTCATTGTCAGACGGGACTCTGGTTGCTATGGCAACATCTCAAGAACCTAGTCTCCATGCCAACATGAGAACACCTGATATAGCCGAGAATGTCAGTAAGTAGTACAGATATGAGTCCCTTTTCATTATTTGTGTTATTTTTTTATTCTTTATTATTGACAAAAAGGGGAAAATCAATTACAATTTGAATTATTTCTGTTGATGTCATTTATTTAAGAAAATGAAAGACAGCAGGAAGAAACAAATCTGAATTAATACAGCTTGCATATAATTTTGGGGGGCATCAGTTTGTTAGCTTGTACAGAACGTCAGGATTAAAAAAGAGAAAAGGCAAGTGGTCCTCTTATAAGAAATAATTATTTTTGAACTCCACAATTCGTCGCTGTTTTCACGAAGTGACGGTAGTGAAAAAAAATTGCATTCACTTTGCGTTACGTTTTTCCTCACTACCGTCACTTCGTGAAAACAAGGACGAATTGCAGAAATATTGAACTGAAATGTACAAAGATCAAGTACAGGTATTCCTTGTTTCTTATCCATATACACTTTACTTTTTCCCTGCCTACCTCTTATTTTGTGACTTAACATTTGTGTTTCAATATGAGATAAAAGAAATCAGGTGGAATTATAAATTGTTCTGAGATTCTGTAGTACAAAGACCAATGAAATTCTATGGAGAAAACTTGTGTTTAAATTGAACTCTAGAGTTTAAAATGTATGGTCAGGGTCAGATATCAAATTTCTGAGCCTCACCTTTTTTTCAAAATTTGGATGAGAAACTATACACCTAACCTGTCTCTAGCTATTGATTAAAGTGTTTGGTTTATAATATTGGAAGTCAATTTCTCATTGATTCTTACAATTTTCCCCAAAAGAGTAAAAAAAAAAAAAAAAGGCTTGACTTCCTTAAGTTAGTGAACTCTGGCAGTCACAAACTTTTATTGAAATATAAATCATTCATTAGAAACCACTAACTTGACAAATTGCCATATGGCCCATGGGGTAGATCTTAATATCGCCATAAAAACATCCACACTACTTGAAAGCTTCACAAGTGTAATATGTGAAAGCCGATTTAGGGCGCGTTCATGCTTGATTTTGAAGGCAGAATGAGCGATTTGTAACGCTCATCGTAAACGCTCATCGTAATCGCAGTTCCACGGTGCACTGTTCATGCTCACTTCTCCAGGCAATTCTCCTTGGGTGGCCTTCAGCTGGATTCGCAAACCTGTGTGCGCATGCTACGTAGACCCACTAGAGGTCAGTGCGTTGACCCCATTTAAACGCGTTTACAAATTGCAAACGCATCTTTTTGTGAGTTTACGATCAGCGATCGTGATCGCCGTTTTTCGGTGATTCTACAAAAGTGAGCATGAACGCAATCGTGTTTTAAACTAAACGCGTAACAGATGCCTGATTCTGGCCGTCAAAATCAAGCATGAACGCGCCCTTAGACTGTAGGAAATTTATACAAAGCTCATACAAAGAAACGTATGAAGAATCATTGTAAAAGTAAAAGAGGCTTGAGATATCTACATCGTAGGTGTATAAATCATAAAGTGTTTTTCAATCTCATCTTTTCTATTTGCTCAATGTTTTTTGTACACCAAGTACATTTTGACAAGTCTTTCAAGAAAGGTTTTTGTTCTCTTTGACTAAGGGCGCGTTCATGCTTGATTTTGAAGGCAGAATGAGCGATTTGTAACGCTCATCGTAAACGCTCATCGTAACGCAGTTCCACGGTGCACTGTGCTCACTTCTCCAGGCAATTCTCCTTGGGTGGCCTTCAGCTGGATTCGCAAACCTGTGTGCGCATGCTACGTAGACCCACTAGAGGTCAGTGCGTTGACCCCATTTAAACGCGTTTACAAATTGTAAACGCATCTTTTTGTGAGTTTACGATCAGCGATCGTGATCACCGTTTTTCGGTGATTCTACAAAAGTGAGCATGAACGCAATCGTGTTTTAAACTAAACGCGTAACAGATGCCTGATTCTGGCCGTCAAAATCAAGCATGAACGCGCCCTAAGTGAATTAATTTTATGTCTTGACTACATGAGAAAGCAACTTCAAATTATCAGCCTTTATATTACATAGTTAGGGTTGTGATTTACAAGGTTACAGACATAAATATGTCTTCCAAATCTACATCACAATGCAAGTTTACCACCCAAGATCCTAATTAGGAGCACTCTTGTCCTGCCTATATACCTCTCTCTCTTTCTCTCCCCCTTCTCTCTCTTTCTCTCTCTATCTCTCTCTTTGTCTCTCCCTCTCTTTTTCTCTCTCCCTCTCCCTCCCTCTCTCTTTCTCTTTCTCTCTCCCTCCCTCTCTTTCTCTTTCTATTTTTCATCCACGTTCAATCTCTCTGCTGACCCCTTGTTCTTCCCTGTATACTCTCGTTCTTTCTTACCTTCCTCTTTTATCTCTATAACTTTGCAGTCTTTCTCTGTCTATTTCTCTTTGTTATTCCTTGTTGTCATATTTTCTCTAAATATTCTTGTCTCTACATCTCCTGTCTACATCTCTTAATCAATACCTGATATTCATGTCTGTCCTTCATCAGGAGTTATCTTTCATCTTCCATATCTTAAGTACTTAAATGTTTGAAAGCAGACATTTGGAGCGTTTGGTATTAGTTAAGAACATATCAGTATACAAATAAGATATGCTCAATGCTATATAAAACAATCATATTTATAATCAGACATTGGAACTTGTGAGGTATAATGCTAGAAATATATAGCTTACATCTTTCCTCTTTAAATGATTCCATTACTTATCTCTATATGTATCCAATGATTATATACCTGCATGTATTCATACATGTATCTCTTTGTATCATACAGTTGACCTACTTCTGAAGGAGTCACCATGTCAGCATGTCATGACCCCTCATTCTAGTGTTGCTAAGCAACCAACCAGATACATGGATGTTGGAGATGCTTTTACCTTCCAGGTCTCTGCAAGTTACGTTGGACAGAGTAAGCTTACATTCAGTCTTGTCAATAGTTTAGAAGTCTCTATTTATCCCCCTCTTTATCAATCCTTTGAAATGGATTCAGTTTCTATTATATGCAGTCTAGATGGGTTTGAGTATTTTGAAACTTGGTCTCCAATAGGTTATTGAAATGCATGGGATGAAGGGATAATGTGAATGTGGCTCAGAAGAAAATCATCTCATACAAGAGATAAAGATAGAAATAAATTTACCAGTACATGGAGCTGGGGGGTGTTTCATAAAGCTGTTCGTAAAGTTACGCATAATTTTACGAACGACTTGTATATGAAGTGCCAGATAGGATGCCCAAACTTTTTCCTGATTTTTTAACAAAGTGTGACTATATTTCCAATAAACTCAATTAAATTATGGCAACAAAATAAACTTTGCATTAAAAATGTTTGTTATAATAAGAATGTTAATCTACATCTGCACAGTTCAGCTTTAGGTGATGCAGTTACTAATGATTGAGCATCCCATTTGGCTTTTCATATTGAAGTCATTCGTAAAGTCATGCGTAACTTTACGAACAGCTTTATGAAACACCTCCCAGGACAAGCAGGACAAGCATGAGAGAGAGAGAGAGAGAGAGAGAGAGATTGGGAGATGGAAAAGCATGGTGACAGATAGAAAAAGTGAAAGAGTAGTAAGAGAGTGGACAGTGAAAATGGGAAGAGATATGGAGATAGCTGTGGAGAAATTAGGTGTCAACTTGTAAAGGACAATCTTTATGAAATAAAAGTAAACTTAAACCATGCATAGATCTAATAGCGACATGACTTCATGATGTACATCTAGAAATTATAATATACCAACTACCTGCACTTCATAAACTGTCAATCAAAACTTCAATGGTTAAATTAATGTTTTCAAACTGCTATGGATATGTGGCTTGGATACACAAACTATCCAAAACAGGTACATGTTCTCATAGTGATAGATTTGGCAAAATACAATTGAAATAAAGTGATTATAAATGTCAGGAGAATCTCTTTGAGTTATCCTGTACATGGCTCTTTTTTTTTTATTCCATGCATCTCATTGGATCGTATATGTACTTTGTGTAGTTTGGGAATCTGACATGCCCGTTTGTCTGGATACACAGACAACTCAAGATGGCGCTGTTACACTCTTGCTGCAGATTTCTTTGAATTCACCGACCTATGTCATATTCCGTCTTCCTTGCACTACCTAAAACATACGAATCATCCAAATGCCCTATAAGCAAATTTACTACAATTATCAAATTATATCTAATGCCTTTTGCTAATGAAAAGCTTGACATTGCATTGATCATACTACTGCTAACATTAAACTGGCTTAATATTTTAAACATATTTGTGGCTTAATTACACCCAGTAAATAAGATCGATCTTATTTACTGGGTGTAAGCCACAAATATGTTTAAACTATTGAAATTTCTCCCAGGAAGCATTACATTTAAACTGGCTTGTTTGTTACTTTGATAGTTTGGCAGTCTGATAAAGCTATGCTATCAGTACGGGTGATCAATCCAGCTCTAATACATGTCCAGACGCGACGTTCATATAATAGATATGGAATGGAAACTGCTTTCATCACAGTTCGACACAGAGTATACAATAAAGTAAGTTTAATTAATACGCTTGCTATCATTAACAAAATTGCCACGTTATTTCAGAAGAAAACATCTACTTCCAGCTTCAGAAAATCAGATAAATGTAGGGCCTATAACCTTCAAATGGGAAAACATTATACCATTTTCTTGAAATATCTCTTTAACTGTTTTTGTTTTTTTTGGTTAAAACCCAGGGTGGCCTAGTTAGTGATTTACACAGTGTTATACTGTAGTTGTACATGTATATTTTACTGCTTCTGTGGAGTGGGCAGCAAATGGAGATGCCCCATTATAAATTCAGCCTAAATATATCTATTGTTGTTTGAGTGTTTGTTTTTGTAAAAAAAAGACACAACTGCTTACATTTTTAATGTTGTTCTCATGGAAGAAATATAGCCCAAAATTTGAATAATTGGATGTAGTTTCCAAGAAAAGAAATTTCTGTCATATTGCACCCCCCCCCCCTCTCTTACTCTCTCTCTCTCTCTGTCATTCTCACTCTCTTCCATTTTTTCTACCTCTGTTTCATGCGCTTTTATATAGCTAATAATGGTCTTGCAACAAGAGTTTTACCTCCCATACATAAAGGCTCACTTTCAAAAAAGTAAATAAGGCTTTCTGAACAATGGAAACATCTTGTGAACCATTTGATTAGATCAGTAACAGTTTTTATCTTTTGACAGGGTGTATCATCTATCTTGATAAGTATTCCATCGGCATCTCTTCGCTGTGATTCAGTCTCCTTCACTTTCACCATGCATTGTACGTGTCCACCTACTAAGAGACTACATTTCATCTATGATCCACCGGTCACATCTCAAGAATTTCTTTATGGTTCACCGAAGAACAGAAAGAACCAGTCGCTTCTATCTACTCTAGATGTAAGTGGGACTTTACTCTTCTTTGTTGCTTGAGAAATAAATAATACTTGCAGCCCTAAGATAAAGAATAGTCAGACCCAGTCTCTTCTAGATGTAAGTCAGTCATTTCTTCTCTTTGCTGCTTGAGAAATAAATAATACTCTACAGACCTCTAACAGAGGAAAGTCAGTATTCCAAAATGTTTTGAGAGAATAATTTTGACATCCCCTGCTCCGAAAGAAAGAAAGAGTATTCTCACAATCCTTTAGAAAAGATTGAACTCCTTCAGGCAGAAATAACTTATTCCTTAACAACCCCCCCCCCCCCCCAAAAAAAAAAAAAAATAATAAATATTGGTTTAAAATAAGTTTTAGTTTCTCCTTGCTTATAAATTACTACCTGGCTTTGGATGCTCAAGATAACAGGTGACTTTCACTTTCAAACTAGTTGCAAGCTAGAACCTAGAAGGCAAAGGTACAAAGAATGGTAGAAACATGTCTCAAAATTTGAATTATATATTTATAAAAAGATTAAATATATTTTATTTATTGATGCACTATTATCAACTTTTCCTCTACTTATATTCATGATACAAACCAGATTGATATAATAGCAGATGAATGTACTATTTCGTCAGGCTATTATAATGATTGCCTAAGTAATTTTTTGACCAAATTGAGATTTTTGCAAATGTTTTTTTTTAATGAGAGCCACCTTATGAGAGAGTCCATTATAAATCTCAAACTGTGTAATAACAAAAGTATTAACTGCCTAATTCAAGTGAAACAAACATGAAAGAATTGTCTTTTCTGATTTTTTATTTTACAGAAGTAGTAAAAATTATTTAGGCAATTATTTTATTAATGTGATGATTTGTAAAGTATATTATCATATTCAACATTGCCCCAGGTAAACTATAGGCCACCATCTAGACTGGGTATCTCGGTTCCACTCACCAATAATATCTACAATGCTGATCCAAGTCAACCTAGACTTAACGACCATTATGAAGTATCAAAGGTATGTGTTCTACCTCGCATAGTTTTAACCGTTTAATTGGATGTATGAAATCATTATGAAACAATTACACCGCATATTTCACATGAAGTTGTAAGGAGATTAGTACTAAATTCTTTCATACTCATTCACTTTATGCAGGGACTGCCTGGTTTCTGTAGGCAATGGATTTACACAAGACTTTTTTATCCAATATTCAAGGATAAACTTTAACCATAGAACCATACATTAATAAGAGATCTTCTCTCATTTCTATTTCAGTATGAATGACGGATATTTTTGTGCCTGATATAAGAGTGATGTTGAATCATGAATTCCATGTTTTAGCTATCATCATGTTCTCGATGCTCATTGTTGAAGCACATGTTTTTGTGTAAATTATATGCATACATGTATAAGTCTTTTAAACATACACATGCATGTATGCTTTTAATATGCAAAACATAAAATGAAATGTAAGTTTGAGACGAGCCTTTGAATGATCTTTGGTCTATCATTGGTCTTAATTTGTCCTCCATGTTTCTTTCATTTTGGTTTATTTTCTATTTAATGTAATTTAACTTGGTAATGTACTTTTCCCCCCATTGTTCAAACCCTTCTCTATTCTACATAATAATACATGTTTATTATTGTGATTGCTATGATTTTCTCAATCAGATATGCACATGAATAACTGAATACAATGCACTGTATCATTACAGGGAAGTGGTTATTACAAGCAGTGTGCGGGTAAGCAGTCTCGAGAGGATTGTCATTGTACTGATGAGATGAGATTGTCATCGTTAGAACTCTTTACAGACTGCAGAGAAAAGGTGATAATCACAACAGGGGGTAGTGTTTCATAAAGCTGTGCTTAAAGTTACGAATGAACTTACAATTGATTTGAATATGAAGAGCCAAATGGGATGCCCAAAGTTTTTCCTGACATTTTAACAAAGTGTGACTGTATATCCCATAATCTCAATTAAATTGTAGCCAAAAATACACTTTGCATTGAAATGTTTTATTAATAATGATGAGGTTAATCTACATGCACATCTGCATATTTCAACTTTAGCTTATTAAAAAGATTTGAGAATCCCATATATTCAAGTCATTCGTAAAGTCATGCGTAAATTTACACACAGCTTTATGAAACACCCCCCGGAGTTTGTTCACTCATAACATGGAAACCACCCTAAATGAATGCTGCTCTAAAATAATTACATATGTATATGAGAAAGAATGGCAAGTGGTCTAAATACAGTAAATGTGCTCAGTAATGGCCCCCAACATACTTCAATGCTATTCATTAGGATACATAATTATGAGGCTTGATACATTTTGTAATTTTTGTTGGTGCAAATTGCCATTTAATTTTTTTTCCAAAAGTAGTACATACGTGAATGATAATAGATTCATTTGTATGGAACCTATACTGCTAATCTTTCTTGTGGCTCTGATTTCTAGATACTTTGAGTATTATTATTACCCATGTCATTGAATTATATTGCAATTACATACATACAGCACATTCTAACCTGTTGCCTTGTGCAGTCCTACGCATACTATTTAAATGCAAATAACGTTCGCATTTAGCTAAATCATCCAGCATTGTTTGGGTTAATGGGTAAGAAGTGTGAAGATATAAAGGATAACATGAAAACTTTTTGCATGGATTCCATTATTGACTTGCAGGGTTCAGCTGTGCATTCTCTTTTCTAAATGCACTAATAATACCTAGAACTTTTGTTTATACAACGCCTTTTCAAATACGTAACTTATCGAAACACTTTTCTGTATATCATTACCTCGTTCATTGGATTCTACTACTATTCTGGAGAGCATTTCAGCCTAGCAACCAATTAACAGGTGCACGTATACAATGATTTTCGCATCCTACCAGGTACCCATTTAAAACCTGGGTGGAGAGGTAAATGTCTTGCTGAAAAAAAGTTTCGTACCAGGGTTTGAACCCATGACCTCAGCATTCTTACTTAAGTGATTACATCACTCTACTAAACACCTCCACCCACAGTCTATTTTATTTTATTTAATCCATGTCTTTATTTTACTCCTGTAGGTTTATCGTATCACATACACTGAGAATCTGTACCCACATCTAGTGATTGGTGAGAGGGGTAAAGATGATGAGGTCTTAGCTGCACCTTACATTCTTACCATCAAGGAAGTGAATGACAGGGAAGACTTTGTCATTGAAGGTCAGAAAAAGATTATACACTCACTCAATTTTACAGTTTATGGTTTTGATTGTAATATATCCCTTTTCTTGAGTTCTGATGATAGGTCAAGACAAACTTGCTTAAAGTAATTATCAATTGTTGATGGTACAGTTGATTCTTCTGTGGACCAGCAAACTTCAAACCTTTAAAACTGGGAATGGCATTTACTAAAGTCATATACTGTTTTGCTAAGCACACAGTGTAGACTGGGAAGATTCTTTATTTGCTCATTACACAGCTTTCACTCATTTTCTATCAAATTTGTTTATCAAATCATTTATTAAACAAAATAGTCTCTATTTCTGTCATTATTCTAACTCAGAATCTTGGAATCAATAACGAGGAATGTCTTTTACATGGAATTGGTTGTAATCAATACACAATATGCTAAACGTTGACATGTCTCTAAATTTATTGCAGTCTACAGCTTTTCATCTACATGATATGATGTATTATAATAGAGTGAAATTTGACTAATGAATTTTAAAATACATGTTCTATTAAGCTTGAAATTTACAATCATAATGACAATGGTTTAGGCAACACCTATAAGATTTCTATGTAATTAAAGACATTTTAAACTGTATTCAAAATTGGAAAGTGTGAAAATGTATTAAAGAAAAGTTGTTTTTTCTTTGTGTTTATTTTGTTTGCTTGATACAGCTGCGGATGTAGTATACATGTCTGAGATTGGGAAGGTTGTAGAAATCCCTGTCAACCAACTTCACAGTCCTAATCAACTTGTTATCAAATTCCGGGTAAGTACAAACCCTTTATTAAAATCTCTTGTTTAGTACCAGAGGATCACTTGTCAGTTTAACAATAATCTACAAAAGACAATGAAATAAGCCAATTTAAAAATACTATGTCTGCACATGGGCAGATAAGGACGTTTGTACAAAACTGTAAAACCCATCGAGACGACTGCTGTATTCGTGATCATGAAAGTTGAAAAGTTTCCATATAGATGCAACTATCCTGACCCTGTTCTACAATTCAATAATAAAGAGTGTCCTGCTTTTCAATATTATATGTTCATTTGGCAATCTCTCAAAACAGGACAAGAAGAAATTGGAAAGGCCACGTAAAATAGCACAATGCATAATTGGGGTAGAATTTGCTTCTGTTGAGTCTCATTGTACTGAGCAAATTGTTGATAAGGTCTGTGCAATCATAAAAGACAATACTCATCCACTTCATTTATTTTATTCATTTAATCATTCTGGTATCCGACTTCGCCCCACCTCAACCCGGCTTTCACAATTCAGATATTCATTTGTACCCGACTCTGTTCATAAATTCAACTCACAGGTTAAACGTTAAACTTCTGCGTCGGAAATTAATTGTATGATTTGAAATACCAATGACCAAGGCTTAATTCTGAAACTCATGATTTGAAGTACATGTACCAATGACCATTTTTGTCGCTTCATTATCTTTTGCATGTATTTGTTCCTTATTTCATCCATTTCATTCTATAAACGTGATGTATTTATCTTTTGTAATTATGTATTTTGTTGAATATAATAATAATAATAATATGGATATTTATATAGCGCCGGTATCCACCAGGCTCTGACGCTCATGGCGCTGTACATACATGTATTACTATCACAAAAAATATAACTTTCTTAACTAAAATAAAGTAAACTAAAACAATTACGAATACTAAGTGGCAGCTTATTCCAAAGGGACGGACCAGAATGAGAAAATGCTCTATCCCCCCAGGAACTGCGCGTCTTAGGGACAACTAATAAGGAGGATTGAGATGAACGAAGATGTCTTGTAGGCTTATACTTAACAATCAACTTGATATTGTAGGAAGGAGCAGAGTCATACAAAGAATGGAAAACTAGCAACAAGAGCTTAAAAATAATTCGGTCACATACCGGGAGCCAGTGAAGAGTTTTGAGAATGGGGGTGATGTGGGTTCTACGAGAAGAAAGTGTGACAATACGTGCAGCAGTATTTTGCAGTTTCTGGAGTCGAGAAAGTTGTGTGTTAGGGAGTAGATAGAGAATAGAATTACAGAAATCTAAGCGTGATGAAATAAGAGCATGTACAAGTTTCTCTGTGGTCGAACGACTTAAGTATTTCCTAATAAAACCTAGATTTCTTAGTTGATATCTGACTGACTTACAAATACTAGAAACATGAGTTGACAATGACATGCCAGTGGAAAACAATTTTCTATGTAACTTGTTTGCAAAGACCAAATAAAATATCTTGTATCTTGTATCTTGTATCTTGTTATGTAATACTTTTTAATTTTTTGTCATTGGAGGAACATTCTATGATGCACAGGTTGAAGTATTCTTTCCAAAAGGGCAAATGAAAGGTGTTTCATAAAGTACCACCATCATTTTGGCAGTGATTATTTGAAAGTGGGACTTTTCCATGATCTGTGGATATTTGGGGGTCATTTGGTCATGTACTGTCTCAAAACTGTCTACATGACATAAGCATTCCTATAAGTTTCCTGTACGTTGGAAGTGAAACTATTTATATACATGGCCATTCACATCATGGTTAAAACATATACCTTCAACATTGCTTCACAAAGTAGGCTATACAGGTGTCAAGTTAAGAGATAATATAGATCAATTTGGTCACTTCGTCATTAGTTCGGATATAAAACTGCATTACTGCTTTTCAATGTATGCCAGAGAGGTGCACCAGTTCATACTGATAATTAAGTTCAATGATACATTCATATCAGCATTAGATCACTCATTAATCTGTACTACTGCTTCAAATACTGCAGGCTACACAACTGTACCACTTCAGACTGACAGTCATTGACGGTTTCTCATACTGCAAACTGGAAGATGAGGTTCAGGTGAGCATTGCAATCTAACTCAACAGCATCCATTAATAAAAAGCACAGGCCCACACAAATATTCTTTTCACACTTGTTTTGCTTAGCCCCGTCCTTTGCTTTGCACCTTTCTATCCTTAGCCCAGGACTAAGTATTTTGGTCTTTCACACACGCTGGTTTAGTCCTTACTAAGCGCTAAAAAATTTGTGTCTAAAGAGAAAGTGGGCTAAGCTTAACCCCAGACTATAGGTGGGACTAAACCCCCCCCCCCCTTAAGCCCCAAATATAGTCCGGTTTAAGCAAAAATTTAAACAGTGTGAAACCATAAAAGTCACCTCAACCCACCTACACCTTCTAACACACAAAGCCACCCTTTGTCAACCCTATTACACACAAACCCACCCTCTTCCACCCTCTTACACATGCATCCACCCTTCTCACACCCACATACTACCCCTTACACACAGACCCACTCTCCCTCACATCATCATACAACCCTCTATGAGCCCAACTTCTTTCACATCCACCCCTCTTAACACTCACCCACCCTCTCTCACACCTACAAACTACCCCTAACTCACATCGACCCCTCTTACACAAAACCAACCTCCACCCTATTTCACACAGACCCACTCTCTCTTGCATTCACCCCTCTTGCACACAAAAACACCCTCTAACACTCTCACACACCAACATACTACCCGTTTCACACAAACACACCCTGTAACACACACCACTACAGGGAAATGCTGTCAACCGTGGACCAAGTTTAGTACTTGTGTGTGTGTGTGTGCGTAGGTAATCACCAGCAACCGCGGACCACTCCATAGAAAACTACATCAAACCGCGGACGTACCTCCTATGGGATGATCCAGGTAGCGAGCGCCTCTCCCGCGCAGTCAAAAGGGGGCGCTGTGACATTTCACGATACGCATCGGACTGATCCAGTCGATGTTGCCTACACGCTGTGACATCTAATATTCAAACGCCCCCTACGTCGTAAATTTGATACAGCAGAACCGGTATCGCAACCGTGGACGCTCCCCCATTGCAGGTACGTCCGCGGTTTGAGGTAGTTTTCTATGGAGTGGTCCGCGGTTGCTGGCGTTTTCCTACGCAAAAACACCCTCTAACACTCTCACACACCCACATATTACCCGTTTCACAGAAACCCACCCTCTAACACACATCCAACCCTTTTATACACAAACCCACTTTCACATCACCCCTTTACACACAAATCCACCCTCTAACCCACCCTCTCTCCACCCTATTTCACACAAACCCACTCTCTCTTACATCCTCTTTCACATCCACACACATACCCACCCTCTCCCACATCCACCCCTCTTACACACAAAAACACCCACATACTTCCTCTTTCACATCAACCCTCTCACATTCACCCCTCTTACACACAAACCCATTTTTACACCACCCTCTTACACACACATACCCACCCTCTCTCACATCCACCCCTCTTACACACAAATCCACCCTCTCTCACACCCACAAACTACCCATTACACACAAACCCACCCTTTAACACGCATCCATCCACTTTCACACACATACCCACCCCCCCCCCCCCTTACACACCACTACAGGGAAATAGCATCAACCGTGGACCAAGTTTAGTACTTGTGTGTGTGTGCGTTTGTAAATGGCCGCGAACGTGGACCTTTGTAGGAATACACACCTTCTAACCATGGACGCCCGGCGAAGGTGGACGTCCACGGTTCTCTTTTATCTTTAATATGACTTTTTACGGCTAAACAAGTACCATATCAAATAGGAGACTCGATTGGAGCTAGGTCCACGATAACCGTTAACAAATCTGATACACCGGTGTGCATATCATTACGACCGACTAGGATTAATGATCGGTGGGACAAAATTACTCGATCGGCGGATTTCATTTCCGTCTGCTGCCAGCTTTGGATCAGTTTAGGGGAGTCCCTGTTTTACCTTGTGATTTCAGATAACGCGCGTTAGCGAGGTCTTGACGGGGACGTCGGACTTCCGGGTACTCTGGCCTGAGCTGCACGGGACGCGCCCCGCGGCTTAACGGCGCGGTGCCCGTCTTCTACAAGTAACATTTCGAGTCGCTAGCTGCATGCTGATTGATGGCGATGCCGAAACGGATGGTCAACAAATATCTTTAATTAAAGTAAGTAAAATTATATATTTGATGGAAGAAAAGTATAGAGCTAGGTCTAAATCTGGGACAATACAGTACGTATTTAAAAAAACGTAACACTTTTGACAAATCTGTCAAAATTACTTTTCAAAATAGTCTAGGAAGGGCATTTTTAAACGTGCTCGAGACCTAGCCATAGAGTAAAACCTAGTTTTTTTCTATAAAATGCCACTAAAATAACAAATATTTCTTCTCGCTTGAATTAACATTGACCTTTTTTGTCCATAGTGCCAAAAATGGCTTGCGCCAAATTAAAAGAAGAGGGGAAATAAAATCAGCAATATGATTTTAAGTAGGCCTCTTTGCGAACGTGGACTTTTGCAGGAATACATACCTTCTAACCATGGACGCCCGGGAAAGGTGGACGTCCACGGTTTTCTTCTATCTTTTGTATGCATGCAAAAGAGCAATTGATTTGAATGGGAGTATAATCAGCCTTTTTTTTAAAATGCACTGTTACTGTATTAGAGAAACTGACTGAAAAATGAGTAAAAAAGGGTGTTCATATCTAAAGTAGATTGAGTCGAGATCTAGATCTATTTAGTCAGGAATTGATTTGAATGGGAGTAGACTATAATCGGCTTTTGTTTATATGCACTGTAACTGTATAAATTGGAGAAACTGACTGAAAAATGAGTAAAAAAGGGTGTTCATATCTAAAGTAGATTGAGTCGAGATCTACTTAGTCTGGAATTGATTTGAATGGGAGTATAATCGGCTTTTTTTTTAATATGCACTGTAACTGTATAAATTGGAGAAACTGACTGAAAAATAAGTAAAAAAGGTGTTCATAATCATATCTAAATTGGATTGAATCTAACTTTTCTTAGGCAATAACGTCTTGACACGTACCAGTACGTTAGTTAAAGTTAGACTAGACACATTTCTATCCGACTATGAATTGAACTGATAATGATCCAGTGAGATAAAAAAATAAACATGATCTAGATCGATCTAAACCTGTAATAATAGATCCCCCTCACCTCAGATATAGGCTCTTTATTTTTCATCTTTACCAGCTAGACCTCTACATTAATTTGAGGTGTCTTGGTCGAGTGAATATGTCACCGGGCTGTGGATCACAAGGTCCGCGGTTCAAGTCCTGCCGCGGCACTAATGTCCTTTGGCAAGACATTGATCTACATTTGCCACTCTCCACCCAGGTGTTAAATGAGTACCCAGTAGGATGCAAAAGTTAATGTGGTTTGATTAGCAAGTGGCGCTTGTAAAATGGCGACTGGCTGGAATGCTCCCCAGGGAGCGGAGAATATGCATACAAAGTGTGACCCGGGTATTAATATATATCTGTAAAGCACATTGAGAGAGCCTGTGGTCCTGAAATGCGCTATATAAGGACAAACTATTATTATTATTATTATTATTAATTTCTGCATTTGAATTGAAGTCTGTTTTCGCCATTAGCATTATTGACTACGTTGCACACCACTCTGATATCTGCAGTGTGTTTATCTTCAATCTGACAATGATGAAAAATGAACTTTTACAGATGTAAGAGCTTAGAAGGAACATTACTTATAGACCAGTAGAATCTAGATCCTTATTGAAGCGAAAGACTGCACGATATTTGATGCCCACCTAACAATCACTAGAAAAGGTTGAGATAGATCTCTAAACCTAGTCTAGTTTTTGTTGTTTAGAGTTTGTTTGGCTTAACTTAATACTAGTCTTAAGCATTTATTTAACTTTAGAATCAACCCTAAATCATAACAGTCAAATTTAGGTTTTTATTGTTTTTTTTTCAAATTTTCACCCTCTTTATTTTCCACAGCTAAAACAATGACTATGGATGATCTTCCTCCCCCTCCTCCTCCTCCTTCTCGTTCTTCTTCGTTGTCTTCTATTCCGTCTTTTACATCAAGCAGTTCAAAACCTTCCGATCCATCTCTTCATCAGTCTACTCAGTCACTGCCCTCACTTCTTGAACTTTCTATCTCTGATCTGCCTTCTTCTGCTCTCCCCAGCATTGGTCTTTGCCCTACTCCATCTTTTCATCCCTGTCATCCTCCATCTTTTCATCCCTGTCATCCTCCATCTTCTCTGCCCCTGCATGCTTCTTCTTCTGCAAATGATGATCCACTACATGGATTGTCTTGTCAGTGCTTTGTCTTCTTTTTTCTCCATCTCTTGATCATTCTTTGTTTTCTTTACATTATCATGGTCGTATCGTATCTTTTTCTTTAAATGTTTGTCTTCATCTTCTTTGTCTGTGTATGCATGTTCTGAACGTAATGTTTCTATCCCTGCTATACTAGCTATCCATTTTCTTCTCTCCAAAAGAAATATGTTGAGGTGAGCTATTAAGTTAATGAAGTTATCGTCATTTGGACAGTAATTGCAATATTACATACCTCATTAAGTTTCTGCATTCACATCATGTACACATTTTTATTGACTAGTTTGTGAAGAAGAATAGAGGACACTACAATGTGATTTAAGAACATTTCCTAGATTTATATGTACAAAATCATTACAAAATATTAATTTACAAATTAAAGCTTGTAAAATACTTCTTGTACATGTATTTTATGTTCCTTTTGTTGACAGTAACAAACTAAATTAAAGGTAATCCCAGTTAGGATTTGGATCTCATTCTGGTCATCAAAAGAGCATCTGAACTCTTTGCAAGGTCTGTCATAAGTCCATGCATGCAAGCTGGCTGGTTAGAATTAGCAGAGCAATCCTGCTTCCACAGTATAACTGTCACGGGCTAGATATATGACTTAGGCCTACATGCAAGAAAGAATATCAAGGAAAGATAGTCATGAAAATTGCGAATGGTCCTTAGACCAGACCCAACTTATGATTTACATGCATCACCTTCTCTTGTCTTCTTTTTATCATTAGATGACAACCAGACGCCGCCGTGTTGCACCGCATCAACAGGTAGAGAAATGGTGCAGGGCTGAAAAAGACCCAGATGGCTTTGAAATAAAGTTTGTGAATGAGACAATAGGTGGGTGAAATCAAAATATTTGATTGCATTAACTCCCAGAGACGATTTTATTTTTATTAGACATGCATATATACGTACATGTATTACAAGTGATCAACGAATTAACTGTAATTTGGAGCTGGGATAAAGTAGATTGGAACGATTTCTATAACAGTTTTAACTATTTGTGATACATGTACATGTACCTTAATTGCAATTAATTATAAGCCAGTACAATTATTAAATGCAAAGCTTTGATTTCACAAAATTATGGTTCATAAGTTAGTAGATTTAAACTTCAGAGCAGCAGAGTGAAGACAAATGTAGTGGATATAAGAGGGCATAGATGGCTTTATGTGGAATGCTTATGCCACCCAAATTACGCATTTAATTCATAAAACTTTGTTGAACCATTTTAACAGCTAATGCCTTACGAAGCCGAACTTTCCAGACTATTGTAAGGAATATTTTTGTAAGCTTTAGAATATAAAATATCATGTGTACTCCACTTCAGGTCATGGACTATTCACATGCAAACACTTCCAGAAAGGTGATTTTCTTCTAGAATACAGAGGGATTTTCAGTGAGACATTAGATGCAGATGAAGACAATGACTACACATTTCATTTTCTTCATACAGGTGTGAACTACAGGTTAGTAAAGGTTTCTTTAATTTCTGTTTCAAGAAAAATGAAAATAAAGAAAACTACAACTATGTTATTTCATCAATTTGTTACCATACTGTATGCTGCTATTTATATTTCAGATCAATTATAGTGACTTGAATTATTTGTGTTCATGATTTCTGCAATGATACCATAAACATTTGTAGAGTTTTTTTTAAGAAGATATGATGGAATAGGTGTGGCCTGTGTGCCTTATCAAAGTATTTAAAACCTTTTCTGCAATGATGAATATGAGCTAGACCATGCATGTGATCACGAAGGGTAATATGTAGCTATAATTTGGTGGAATAATGATTTACTTGCATTTTGTATGTTATTCTCAAGTCTTTTCAGAAGAGGGTTCAAATTTGGGCAAAAGAATCACCCTGGTACTGAAAATAGTGGGGGTCATAGTTTTGTATCGATCAACCAAAAATCTTTTCATTTCCCCCTCTCATCGTAAAATTCCGACGTTCTATTGATAAAATAGGTCACTTATAAATTTCATGCCATTCTTCATTAATTGTACTTGCCAATTAGGGCTGGAAATGCCAGGGCTTGCAAATATTTACAACAACAAAAATACTGGTATGTATTAGTTATAACTTTTATTTTGAAATATGAGCCTTAACTCTAACATTTGTACACAGGTCTATTTGAGCTGTATTTTGTTCAGTATAGTTTCATGCTACCTCTAAGCATGCAATCTTTTTTCATTTATCTTGCGACTGCAGCATTGATGCATCTGATCCAGAGGCGGGGTTAGGCCGTTGGATTAATGATGATCATAAGGCACCAAATTCTGTAATGAAGAAAATCATCCTGCATGACTCAAGTCCACACCTGTGTCTGTTTGCATGTGACGATATTCAGGTGGGGGAGGAAATACGATATGATTACGGCACTAAGGATTTGCCATGGCGGCAGGTACGATATTACACTTTGTTTTATTTTGTATTTACTGGTGAAATATGAACATTATACAGTTTTTGCAAAAGCTAATTTACCACCTCCATCATTATTGTTATTTCCATTTACTATCGCACAATGTTGGACATTAGTTTTCCTTGATGCCCTTATTCCACGCTGCCCTATACTCTATCAATCCTTGGGCCTTTTAAGGAGAGCACTTCAAAAACTTTCAAAAAAAGATGATGAAAAAGAATATTATATAATTACTTTGTACAAGTGGTATTCATATATTTATGTCAATAATATCATACAACTCTAGAGTCGATAATTTAAATGTACGCTTTAGGTGACTGTATATTCTCCAGCACTATAATTTTTCTTATACGATATTGAGATTTTGCAAATAATGATATAATGGAATATACAAACAACTATACAGAAAACGTCACATCGCTCTCATGATAAACATTTGCTTCATAGTGTATCCAAAATCAGACTCATGTATTGATTTAAATTGCAGCCTCCCACACCAAACGTCATGCCACACACTAACATCAACGTGCAGGAAACGCCTAGCAAGAAGCTGCCGACACCCCACAGCATGGACATTGTCACCTCTACTACCACCAATAAGCTGCCCTATATGCCAGATGCAACATCTAAGCCAGCATCACAACCAATCATGAACAACATCAGCAACCAAAGCTCTCACCAGTGTCCTATCCAAGGAACACCATCCACCAGTCAACTACTACCCCACTCTCAAGAGGGTGACACACCAACATCCGATGATAATGGGACAGCTAGGCAAGAGGTATACTCCCTGAGTAACAGCATGTCTTGCAGCCAGGTTGATGCCTGCTATAACCCGGACTTAGATTCCCCAGGTGTCATAGATGGAAGTGAAGAGGGACCAGAAGGCCTAGATGTATGTATTTCTAAAATGTTTTGTTAATTAAGAAGAATGTTTTTAATAAATTTCCTTGCATGTGGGCAATGATGTAAACATACTTAGGGCAAATATTTACTTGCCTATACACTACAAATACATTCTTTACCATAATGAGCAATATTGATACAGTAATAAATACCCAGGAATGTGAAAGTCCATGTTTGTTTACTTAAATTAGCAAGTCCATATTTGAAGATTTTAAATCACACTAATTGAAATTTAACAGTTTAGAATACATGTAAATGAGTCCATGTTTGTCGTATTAATTTAGCAAGTCCATACTTGAAGGTTTTTTTTTACCAGTACACAAACAAATGTGTTGTTTGAAATAAAATTAGGTGGACCATTGGAAATTTGTTAACTTTTCTGGGGCTATAAGGAAATAAAAAACTATTGTGCCAATTATTCTTGATGATTTTAGGCTTTCACCATACATGTACAAAATCTGGAGTACTGCAGGTATGCTGATGATATTGCGATATAGCCATTAATGCTTTTCATATGTTTCATATAGGTTTTCGGCATGCAGCAGCCTTAAGACAAAATGTTATATAGTTGTCACAATAAATGTTTTACTTCAGAGTGTATCAGAAACTCAACTCAAATATTAATTTAAATTTCAGACCCAATTGCACACACCAATTGTGGAGCACACCTCCAGTAACATGCAGGAAACGCCTATAAACAAGCTGCCGACACCCAACAGCATGGACATTGTCACCTCCACTACCACCAATAAGCTGCCCCATATGCCAGATGCAACATCCAAGCCAGCATCACAACCAATCATGAACAACATCAGCAACCAAAGCTCTCACCAGTGTCCTATCCAAGGAACACCATCCACCAGTCAACTACTACCCCACTCTCAAGAGGGTGGCACACCAACATCCGATGATAATGGGACAGCTAGGCAAGAGGTACACTCCCTGAGTAACAGCATGTCTTGCAGCCAGGTTGATGCCTGCTATAACCCGGACTTGGATTCCCCAGGTGTCATAGATGGAAGTGAAGAGGGACCAGAAGGCCTAGATGTATGTATTTCTAAAATGTTTTGTTAATTAAGAAGAATGTTTTTAATAAATTTCCTTGCATGTGGGCAATGATGTAAACATACTTAGGGCAAATATTTACTTGCCTATACACTACAAATACATTCTCTACCATAATTAGCAATTGTATACAGTAATAAATATTCAGTAATGTGAAAGTCCGTGTTTGTTTGCTTAAATTAGCAAGTCCACATTTGAAGGTTTTAAATCACACCAATTGAAATTTAACAGTTTTAAATAGCTAAGTCCATGTTTGTCGTATTAATTCAGCAAGTCCATACTTGGAGGTTTTTTTTCACCAGTACACCGGCCAACACATGTGTTGTTTGAGGAAAATCAAACCCCTTTATTTTGGGTGTGGTGATTAATAGGTTTATAGATCAATGCATTAATAACTGTTTTCGGAGGCGTTATGTTTTTGGGTTGTCCGTCTGTCCGCCCGTCTGTACGTCCGTTCTCATGATCGCGTTATCTCAAGAACCGATTGATGGATTTTCTCCAAACTTGGGTCATGTATGTATCTTGCAAAGCCAATTAACTGATTAGATTTTGGGGTCACAAGGTCACAGGTCACAGGGCTCATTATGTATGCATACAAAGCTTGTGATCGCATTATCTCGAGAACCGATTGATGGGTTCCCGCCAAACTTAATTCATGTATGTATCTTGCAAAATCAATGTATGTATCTCGCAAAATCAATAACTGATTATATTTTGGGGTCACAAGGTCAAAGGTCACAGGGCTCATTATGTATGCAAAAATAGCTTGTGATCACATTATCTCAAGAACCAGTTGATGATGCACCTATGGTATTATTGGTGTATAATATTGTACTCTTTTATCTAAGCTGGCAGAAAACAGTCACAATAGGCACAGTTTGATCTTGAGGATTTTGCAGGGTGGGACTTTAACAATTAGGGTCTAGAAAAATGCACACAAAAAATCTTTAAAAACATACATAATACACATTAAGATAAAACAGTTAATGGTTTGTTGATCTATCGTGCAGACCCAGCATAGAAGTAAACATGCATGTCAGGGGACCTATAAAACATAATTTGCCTTAATAGTGTACTTACATTTGACCAATTCAGCAGGAGATATTTGATGTTTGCTTTCTATATGGACTCTAATTTCAGTTTCTCTTACTGTTTTTTTTTCAGGCCATGTCAGAGGTGTCAGACCTGTCGGAAACTACTACAGATCTAACAGATGATTCTGACCCGGATTACATACCGGAATCTGATGATGATGTTGGGGAAAGGGAGATGAGTCCTGTCATTCCTATCCCTGGATCTTTTAATATTCATCGTGGTTGTCTACCCACTCATGAAGATGAAGCATCAACCAGTGAGAATCATGTAGACAGCACCTCAAAAGCAGTATTGCATGCCTGCAGTAGGTCTTCAGGGATACAAGTGAATGCCACAGCAAATGGAAGAAGCAAAAGCTGGGATAAAGTCCAATATTGTCCTTTCTGCATGGAACCTCAGAAGAAATTACCTCGCCATTTACAAACTCCCAAACACAGAAACGAACCACAGGTGCAGAAATGGCTTTCTAGTGAAGACCAAAAGGATAAAGTGAGGCAATTGACACTAATGCGCAATTATGGAAACTACCTACACAATATCTCTGTCCTGAAGAAGGGAGTTGGAGAACTCATTGTTGTTCATAGGCCAGCAGACAAGTCAGATCCATCAGATTACGTTCCCTGCTCAAACTGTTATGGTTTTATCACGAAGACAGAATTGTGGAAACACAAGTGCAGCCAGATACTTGATAGTATACCATCTGGGAAAACAAAGAAACGAGGAAAAGTGCGTGCTGCCAAAATGCTGCTACCAAATACTCCTGGGGTGGATACGAGAACCATTGAAATCCTGTCGAACATGATCGATGACAATATAGCCGCTGTGGTCAGGTCGGATGACCTAATAACTAAATTTGCTGAGAAGTTAACCATGAAACATGGACATAGCAGAGACCAAGAGAACTATATCAGGCAACGGTCAAGGGAGCTAGGAAGAATGGTCCTCGAGTACAGATCAATGACAGGGGAGACCAATGTCGATCTTGCAAGTCTCATACGTCCTGAGAAGTTTGTTGCAGTGACGTCTGCTACAAAACTGGCTGCAGGATTTTGTGCTGAAAACAATGTCTACAAAACCCCCAGTCTTGCATTAAAGATCGGACACGGTCTGAAGACTTGTTGCGAGATTCTACAAGGAAAAGCCATTATGACGCAGAACTCTGCCATCAAGAAAAGTTGCAAGGCATTCTTGACCCTGTATGACCTTCAATGGGGGAGCTATGTAACTCACCATGCACTAAGAAGTCTTCAAGAAGGAAGAAGAAATAACCCAAAGTTGTTGCCACTTACCGAAGATGTAGTCAAATTTGCGAAACATCTCAAGGGAGAAATGCATGCAAAATTGAATGGGCTTGAGAAAGAGAGCAACACCAACAGAATTGCACATGAATGGCATAATCTTTCTGAAGTACTGCTGGCACATATTGTTGTCTTTAACAGGAAAAGACCTGGAGAGGTCTCAAAAATGACCATGCAAGATTATGAAAATTGCTCGCAAGGAGAAGGTGGTATAATTGATGGTGCTCTCAGCAAGTGGGAGAGAGCACTTTGTCGAGTTCTATGGAGAGTCGAAATCGTTGGAAAACGTTTGAGGACGGTGCCTGTACTTTTGACAACGACAATGAAGAGGGCAATGGACTTGTTGAAAGAGAGGAGATGTGAGGCTGGCATCGAGGAGAGCAACACATATGTGTTTGCTGGATCAGGGGAAGGGCACCGGAGAGCATGCGATGCTATCCGTGTCCATTCCACCAAATGTAATGCTGAACATCCAGAACATCTCAGAGCAACACATCTGAGAAAGCAAATTGCCACTGTAGCCCAGATTATGAATTTAAAGGAAAATGAGCTAGATGTCTTAGCTAATTTCCTTGGGCATGACATCAGAACGCATCGGGAATACTATAGACTCCCAGATTCAACAGTGCAACTGGCGAAGGTTTCAAAAGTTCTTCTGAAGATGGAGAGGGGAGATCTTGAAGGTCTTGCCAATAAAGGACTAGAGGAAGTGCAGTTGGATCCCAGTGAAGGTAAAGTGCATAATATTTTCTTTTGAATTCTTCATGCAAACTGCAAAGAACGACTAGAGTAGAAAAACGTGCAGATTTTGTTTGCTTTTATTTTCATAAATCAATAATACATAATACATAGTGTAAATTGAATAAAAAATATGGCGGATGGCCCATTCCAGCTGTGTATCAATATAATACCGCTGTTCTTCCATGGTGTCCTTAATGAATACATGTACATAATAGAAGCAATCAAAGTAACACAAAAAACACAACAACAATGTATTGAACATAAACATGTATATTCCAGCAATTTCAAACTAATAAATTTGATTTTCTTTTTCATATTCAATATATCTTTATAAAAAGGGATACAGAACCGTAGGAACCTTAACAAAGAAAAAAAGTAGATGAATAATTAAGATTTTTTGTGGGGGGTGCATAATTGGCGATTTTGTGCAAGACTGTTTGATAGATGTCCAAAAGATTGAAAGAGAGAGAAATCTGCATGCATCTGGCGTGAACTAAGCATTGTAATCATGTCGAACCATGTTGTGTTCATAATGAATTAAAATGTTTATTACTGAAACTATAAATTAATTATATATAAGACATGCATGAATTTCATTCCTGTTGTTAGTTTGTCCTAAATAATTCTATGAGGCTAATTCCTTTCATGTAGAAAAATACTTTTTCAGAATATTTGTATACACATAAAAACACTGTTAAGGGCCTGATATAACATTACTTATGCTAATTATAAATATTTCTTTTGATTTTTTGTAGAGTACATCACTGATGCCGAGTCAGATTCTGAGGGTGAAGATGTGCAGTCTGATGATTCACCTTTGGTGACTGTGAGGACAGAAGGTATGTTAAACAAGAGAAAGTCAAATCCTAGTCAGTAGCTGAAAGCCAGTGGTGCATATAGTTTCTTTGAGTCAGGGCTGCTTTAATTGATTGAATTATGATTGTTAGAATGCAGTTGCACTATTTGAACGTTTCATTATTTGTCCTAACAAAAATAGAACACCCAGTACTTGATGAATCGACCGAAGCATATTTTCTTCACATATACTTCACACATATATATATATATATAGAGAGAGAGAGAGAGAGAGAGAGAGAGAGATTTCCTGTTAATACAACATGTAGGGTTATATTATTTTCCACCAAAAAATGGTACTGGGTATTTTCACTTGAATAATGTATACATGTAGTTCTAGTTTTATGTTTCAAGACAGTTTCACTCTATTCTATCTGGGAGCCAAAGGCATGGACGTAGGGCTATATGTGCTGTTTTGTCTCAAAATGAAATATATTTTCTGATTGAAGGTTTAAAAGATATATATTCTCCTTGGTAAACAGACTGTAGTGCCTACTCTGGGAAATCAAAAAGTCCTTCTGAGAATCATCCAATCAGGAAAGTCTGGACTTTGAAAGAGAAGACAACTGTCGCAGACCATTTGGGCTCATTTCTCCTAAGACGTACCCTACCAGGAAAGGCACATATTTTGAAACTCTTCAATGCAGAGCCACAAACCTTTCGGGATCGATCTTGGACCAACGTGAAAGATTTCGTTCGAAACCAGATTCGGAAGAAGGATGTAATGGGATTCTTGAAGATGTAAAGTACATTTATGAATGCTCATCATGATACATATTATATATACCTGTAGACATTGTGACATTTCTCCCAAAAGAGGAGGGGAAGGGGATGTGGCAATGGACTTATCGTGTCAGGCTGTTGCCAAATGATTTGTTATCATTGTGTGCTTGTACATATATGCAAAATAATTGGGGCACTTAAGTTAGACAGAAAAAAGATATGTTTGTTGCCTGACTTGAAATTCGGCAAGATCCCTTCTCCCTCCTCCCTTTTGGAATTGATTTGTTAAGTTCATACATGAAGGTTTAGGTTCAGAACTGATGATATACATGTACAGGAGAAATGTGTAATGTATTGTAATGCTGCTCATGTATGCATTATGAGATTTTATCAAACCCTAAAGACAAAATTTATTGTTGATTTTTTTTGGAGTAGATAATGCAGTCACTAGTTAAATGTGGGATACCCTCAGTTGATTTCATTGATTACTTTAGTTCATACGTGAAAGATTCATATTATGGAAGTAGTCTGTATGTCCTGTTTCTTTTGTGATTCTATTTAAAGTTGAGACTTTGAAAATGTGTAGTCACATTTAATTGGGTTTCGAGAAATGTTGCACCAACAAATAGATTTCCTTTTGTTTATGTAAAATATCTACAGTCGGTATGGAAGTTCATGTAGTGTAGCTCTATTGAAGTAAAAAGCTATCGAGTGAAAAACTGTTAATTCAGCAACTTGGTGACATGACTTTGCCCATTCATTATATGAAGGGTGATGGATGGAAACTTCATATAAGAGAAGCAATAATTATAGGTATATAGAATATTTCATGCTCTTCACTTGAAATCTAAATTTATATATTATGGTTTCATTTGTTCTAGATCAGTATGAAAGAAACAAATGTTCCCTAACAGTTTCATCATTTGGTTTTTAATGAAAGTTATATAAATCCTCTCCACATAATATATGTACGACTTCAACATTATTTTGTGTAGATAAATGCGTTTAATAGCAATTCACCTCATTTAATTGATGCAATTGATTTAAGCACTGTAGATTTCAAAGATGTAATATGGTATAAATGAAGACTGTATGTATACTGTGTATGAGCAAGGAATTTAAAGACATAAATTATGTCACAAGTATCGTTTTATATTACTTAAAGCACATGGATCATATTATGTTTAATTTCTTTTTAATCAGTAAACTAGTTTTCAGCTTTATCAGTATGCTGACCAGGATTTAGGGGCAAAGAATAAACATGTACAGTACCTGTATGTCAACGCATTATAACGTTTATATATATGAAAATAATCATCTTAAGTTTGTTAAAGAGGTCCTCATATGCACTGGGGCTTTTAGAAATATTACAACAAATATGGACGTCCTTTATACTACAGTTGTGGAGTGAGATAAAATGCTAACAACTTGATAGTAACAAAATTACTTCACTCTGATTGACAGATCTAATCTAGATCTCTTGGTAATTGGTATATTTAATGATAAAAAAGCCATAATTTTGAGTAAAAGAGATTATTTTATAAGTCTAGAATAACTTTAAAATTGTTAGAGATATGTTATCTTTCAGTTCAGTATGAAAGGAAACAGTTGGTTCCTTGAATTTTTAAGTGTGAATCCCACATTTATTTTGTAGTTCAATATATGCTCTATGACTCAAGTCATACAGTTTGTTATTGCACTTTCAACGTTAGAATTTTGGGCTAAAATTGTTATGTGTTATGTAGTTCTTTTTACTAAAAATATAATGGCAGTGACAGATTCAGACTGATTTACACGGAACAAATAAACTTGTTTCTGTCTGTATAGTCCTAACCCTGCTTAGCTAGGGTGGGGGTTGGGGGGGGGGGTTAACAATTTAATACAAAGGTTCTTACATTTTCAACAACAACAAGGGTGTAATTCAGGCTCACACAAAATATTCTTGTAACCACACACAGACAAGATTGAAAAACACAATTTTTTCTGAGGGGGGGGGGGGGGTGCCAAACCCACTCCTAAATCTGCCACTGTCAGTGTTATGTTTGTATTTACAAAAAAGGTTATGTGTTAACAGTATATTTTGAAAAATGGTTAGGCATATTTGTTATTTGTATTTATAAGTTTCTATTGATGGACAATTACTTTGAAGGCTTGTAGTCACAACCTATCTCGAGTCTAAAAAAACAGTATGAAATTCTTGAGGCCACCAAATGAAATATTTACTTGTTACGTACTAGCTATCCAATGAGCAGTTTAGCTAGTTATACCTGTGGTACATTGATGGGTAGTTTAAGTTCTTTTGTATAAGTACAACAATGTAAAAACTCCAGTTGTTCCTTAAAAGTGTTTTGTGAAGAAGAAAATTAGGAGTATGTGATTTGTAAGGTTTGTAATTTGTTGTCATTTAACCATACACCAGTCCACAAATGTATTCATATTGATGGCCTCTTCTCCCACCTAGTGATGAACTATTGTATTCACTTGTTATGAGTTAATGTATACTGGTCTACTACTATTGAACCTTGTCATTGGTATCATTAAGGTTCAGGGTGCACATCCGTAAATATAGGTACATTTTCATGAACTATTGGGATCGTGTTCATAGGATTTAACAAAAAGAAAAGAATCAAACCCTTCGAGTTTATAACCCATCACGGAGAACTATGTAAGCCTATATAGTGCAATAACTCAGGGCTGCAAGCGCCCAGCAAGACCATGCTTTTCATGGAGATATCTGAAATATAACTTTAAATTGAACCTTTCAGGGACAGACTGTTTTGGCTTGGGGGCAGAAAACAAATTTTCTTTGGTGAGTTTTATAGCTGCAAACGGTCAATCAGCCGCACAAAATCAGATCCATGCAGTTTGGCAAGAAAAAATAGAAATAGAAAATTAATACGAATTGTCCTAAATGCAAATTACAGCTTTAAACGGAGGTCACACTTAATTATTTCAGTTGTACCGATAGTTATATGCCTTTTATAGCCATTTGCTAGCGAGTTAGTGTTCAGCTTGAATCCTGTTAAAGATATTTTGCTCTTAAAGGAATTTCTTGTAATGCTAGATAAATTTCCATTCACACAGACCTTGAAGCCTGTGAAATATTATGAAGATGTACATGATTTATTGTATGTCACCTACAATTTTTTATATCTTTCATTGCACCTGTTAAACAGTCTTAATTGTGACAGCATATTTGTGACGTTGGCATCTATTACGCTACGTCAAAGGAACACTTTAATTGTGTTGAAATTCCATACATGTATTATGAGTTCTATATGTATGTTTGTTATGGAAGTCACTTTTTCTCTTACTAAAACATGTTTTTGTAATTTGTTTAAAATTTTTGAACTTGACATTTGGTTCCCTACTTGGATCATTGTGTTTGATAGCTTTATATCACGTACTCCAGCTTGTGACCATGTACTTCATACGATTATGTGTATGAAAACGTAAGCATATTTTGTTTGATTAAAAAATGGCATTTGCCATTATTGTTGCCTACCCTTAATCTTTCGTGTTGTCCATTATGTTGTAGAGTAGTATAACATGCAGAATATGATATGTTCGGAAATGGTTTCATGACAAACGTAGTAGAATGTATATACCAGTAATATATATTTTCACATCTATAACGCTCACATAGTTATTTCTGAATAATTTGCTTTTGTTCTGGTACCATGTACAATAAACAACAAGGAAATAGTAAGCAGTCCATAGTTGCTGGATTAATTAAAAAAATCCACATTTGACAGTACCGGTATGTTATCTAATGTCAAACGTCCACGTTCAATATGCTAGTTTACCAAGTCCACGTTCAATATGCTAGTTTACCAAGTCCACGTTCAATATGCTAGTTTACCAAGTCCACGTTCAATATGCTAGTTTACCAAGTCCACGTTTGAAGGTATGTATAAGAAGGAATGTCAAAGGTCCATGCTTGTACTGTTTATTTACTGAGTCCATTCTTGAAGGCGTTTAAAGCCCCATCGTACTACTTGTATCTACTTGCTCCCCATTTATAGAATACAATGCCTAATCGGTGACTATTGGTCCCCCATGATCCTCTTTTTCTTATGTTAATTGATCGAGAGCTGAGTTGATGAGATAGCCACCTGTCATGACCACCCTGGGTGGTCTAATTCCTCCTAGCCAAACTAGTACGTCCACATTCGGAGGTACATAAGTATGTGTATAAATAATAAATGTCAAAGGTCCATTTCATTGGGTTAAAGTTATCAAGTCCATTTTCAAAGGACTTTACAAGGGATTATTAATACGTTCATGTTAAAACGCCTAATTAACAAGGAATTTAACAAGTCCATGTTTGACGGCCTTATTCACGAGTCCATGTTTGAAGGCATTTACAAGGAATTTAAAAAGTCCATGTTTGCGAGAGTTATTTCATAGGTCCTCATTCGAGGGCATCTACAAGTATGTGTGTGTGTGCGTAGGTAATCACCAGCATCCGCGGACCACTCCATAGAAAACTACATCAAACCGTGGACGTACCTCCTATGGGATGATCCAGGTAGCGAGCGCCTCTCCCGCGCAGTCAAAAGGGGGCGCTGTGACATTTCGCGATACACATCGGACTGATCCAGTCGATGTTGCCTACACGCTGTGACATCTAATATTCAAACGCCCCCTACGTCGTAAATTTGATACGGCGGAACCGGTATCGCAACCGTGGACGGTCCCCCATTGCAGGTACGTCCGCGGTTTGAGGTAGTTTTCTATGGAGTGGTCCGCGGTTGCTGGCGTTTTCCTACGCACAAATCCACACACCAATCCACCATCTCTCACATCCACATACACCCCTCTCTCACATCAACCCTATTTCATACAAATCCACTTCTAACACACAAAACTCACCCTGTCACACATCCACATACCACCCCTTACACACAGACCCAACCTCTCTCACATCGACCCCTCTCACACACTAGCCGACATACTACCCCACCCACAAACACCCCTCTTAGAACCCAACCTCTCTCACATCGACCCCTCTTACACACTAGCCGACATACTACCCCACCCACAAACACCCCTCTTAGAACCCAACCTCTCTCACATTGACCCCTCTCACATACTAGCCGACATACTACCCCACCCACAAACACCCCTCTTAGAACCCAACCTCTCTCACATTGACCCCTCTCACACCCACCCTCTTACATAAAAACTCCCTCTCCCCCATTAATAGCTGTATATCACGCCTCCCATCTAGCTTTGCTACTCTCCATGTTGTAATTTGAGTTTGTTTCTTGTATTCTACTAGGTGTTTGTAGACAGAGCTCCTCTCCCTGGTCTGTCTCAGATGATTATCTTTGCTACAGTCAGTCTTCTTATGGGAGGAGTAGTCTTTGCCATCTACCTTAACTACGTCAGGAAGTCTCAGCTTCACCGCACTCGATCCAATATGGCGCTATTTCAATAGAACTATACCAAAAAACATCAATCGTAGAATTACCAGAAGAATTGACAATTCAAGCCTTTATAGTTCCTTGAATTAAACGATTGGATTGACATTTTAAGAAGCATTTAAATGTCTAATGTGTACCAAGTCGATTTACATTCATTATAATTATTAAATGTAACATTTGATAATGTGACTGTAAGTGTATGTCCATGCCACACACATTTTGATTGTTTATGTAAAGGTCTATTGTGTTGTATTATTCATTTATATTTAGACTCTGCATGGTAACTACAATCAATTACATTAAATAAAATTGTAGTTAATCAATATCACACTGATAATTTTTTTTGTTAGGATGCATTTTTTGCCCGAGGTATTAACTTCATACTTTAAGTGACAGTGTGTATCACCATAGGAAGACTATCTGATTATATTTTGGAGTATGTAGATCAAAGATCATAGTCGTTAACATGTAATTATAGGCTTTTTGTTTTCATCATTATATTTCAAGAATATTTCCATCCATTTCCTTAAGGCGAAGGAATATAGGAAACCCAGTCACACTTGTCTTTTTTTTTTTTTTTTTTTTTGGGGGGGGGGGGGTTCTCTCTCGCTCTCTCATTGTTGGCTTTTACTTGATTTTCATTCACTTTTGCTCCATTCCTTGTCCTTTTGTTTTGGGGGGGGGGGCAGTTTTGTCAAATTTAAAAGGAGTACTGTAAATGCCATTATTTTCGCGTGATGATTTTTTTTTCCCGCTAAGCGGCCCCGCAACATATTTGTGGGTTCTTTAATTTGCATTGCATGCAATTCAACCTGTTCAAAACATGCATGAGAAGTCGTGCTTATATTTTTGCAAGTTCTAAAATTTGTGCTTGCCGATCTTAGCGCAAAATCCGTGAAAATTAATGTACTGCGAATACTTCTACTTTTACAGTATACGATTTTTATTGATGTTATTTTTCAATCATTGATTGTAATATAATCCTATTTGTGTGATCATGGTCAAGATCTATAAACCATTTGTTTTCGTCTCTATGATATGTATTATTATAACATGGAAATGTGTATGATCATAGCTGGGGTACTTGAGAAAATCGTATTTTATTCTTTGCCATGATTGTACTGCTACTACTTGAGCCCATCTTGCCTTAAGTGCGACAATTAACCACATTGTGTGGTTCGCCGGAAGAACAACTATTGTATAAGATGTCTTAATTTTAATTTCTACTTTCTTACTATCGAAGACAATACATGTAAGTAAGTGTACAATAGCTTTGATACTGACTAGTATCTAAAATTACTTTTCAACAATGATTTTACATGTACATAGATTTGTATTCATTGATTAATCAAGAACATTGTTTAATCTTCATAATTTTTTTTCAAGTGAAAATCAATTAAATATTCTGTGGAGTTAACAATTGAATGTGAATGATGTAATCTCTTCATCTTTCCATTGGCAAGAAGCTAACAAGTGTCAATCATCAAATGATAAATACACATAAGAGTGCAAGGGATCCAAATGATATAATTGGATATTAAAAGAAAATGCACTTTAGTAATACAATGGTAATGACACGATATCGATTGCACAATGGAGGGTATACATTGGAATTATAACTAATCATTCTGACAGCTGCTAATCCCTTTAGTTTGATACAAATATCAAACTATGCAGTATCAGCACAAAACAAAATCTTAATTCTCTTGCCACTTAGAAATTTACACAGATACAACCCTTATAGGGCCCAGCAGTTTGAAAGATGAAATTTATCTTCTATTTTAACACACTGTAGCCTAAAAAGCATACATAGTTCAAGTATATGCCACATAACATACTTGCTTTCTTAAAAGTGTAGGCATATATATATATATATATATATTTAAATTCAAATCAGCTCATCAATAAAAACAATCATCAGATGCTAGATGTATATGTCACTGCCTCTATTCAGGCAATTTTCCACTGTATGATTATACTCTCTATTTAAAATTTTCATGGAGGGGGAGGAGCATCAGGTGGTGGTAGAAACAAGAACTACGTTTATTTCTAAAACTATCGAGTGGCTGATAACAAAAATGAACTGCAAAGAAAGACATAAATAAAGATTTTTAATAAAAAAGAAGGAAACCGTCAAACTTGGTATGATTTGAGAAGTAGTATATAACATCATTAATAATAGATATATCAGGTTTTCTCATTTTTCTTTAAAACTTCATTCATAGGTAATGATGTGCATTTAAGATATCAGATTTTGAATATTAATTTCAATTCTTTTATGTCATTAAAAGATTAATATAAGTAGTTAACTAGTATATATTCATATTAAAATATGGAAGATGGTAAAATTAGAAAAAATATGAAGGTTACACATGAATAAACCCAACAATACAATATTTGCCATGCAAATATGAAATATCTTACAGAAACTGTGGTATAATATTTATACAATGTATAAAGAATGGAAGAAATGAGCACCTATTAAATCTAAAATGAATATATTGTTCAATATTGCATTACAAACATGTGTTTGGGGTTGACAAAGTGATGTATATATCTATAAAAAATAAGAGTTTTGCTCATAGTACAATATAAAAGCAAAATAAGGTATCGGTTATGATATAGGACACTCAAAGCTCCCCCTTATCTTGGCTTGATCCCTACCAGACATTGGCTGATCATCACATAATTGGAAGAGAACTATCCCATCATTTTTTTTCTTTATATTAAAAAAACAATTTTGAAATTAGACAGCTTTATAGATACAGGGACGGGGTCTTGATCGAAATGTCTATTAAAAAATAAAGTATAAAAAAAAAATATAAAAAAAAATCAATTTTGGGGTAGATTTCGAATGAAAATTTAACTTTCAACATCTGGCAAATGCAGATAATGATTACTCCACAGTTCAGTGTAATACCCTTTATGATTTCCTGTAGCGTCGGGGTGGAGAGGCTGAAATTTTTTCAAAATATTTATTGAAAACAAATTCATAATAATAACAGTACATGATAATAATAATAGTAATAATAACATGTTCGTATAGACATAGGATATGTATAATAAAAATATAGTGTAATAGTTAACTCATCAGCAATAAAGAAAAAGTTAACAAAATATCTGCCATTTCTAATTATGAAGATCGAGACGGTGCTTCTTGAAAACAATTGTACGTTCCATATTTTCTAAATGTTTGAGAGCTCGTTGAAAAGAAGGAAATAGTGGAATAACGTTTTGCATTTTACAAGTGAATATAAAATATACCCCAAAAATATTCTTCATCTGTGAACAAAACATTTCGTATGTTCTTGTCTTTTAACCATGCACATATAACATTCCAGAAAGATCGTACTTTTTCACAATTTACAAATAAATGAGACAACGTCTGTTCATGATTTTCACAGAAAGTACACATTGAAGAAGTACTTATACCTATCTTATAAAGAAAACTTTGTGTTGCAATTTTTCTATGAATAGAGGCTTGAAATCTTAATACAGTCTCCTGAAACATTTTCAAGACCAAATCCATACATCTTTAAAAGCTATAAAAGTACAAAAATTGTTGGGGTTACAAGCATCCTCAAAATACAGGCTCTTCCATCATACAATGTATTAGAAAATCAGGAAATGAAATAAATTTATTTCTAACCCCTTCATAATTAAAAACACTGAGCATTATCTTCAAAATGCTTATGTTTGGGCCAACTGTCAGATCACAAATTTAATACATGTATGATAGGCCTATAAAATGATTTTTTAATTTATTTCAGTGATATGAATGAATGATGCATGAAGGGTAATATTTCCCAAAGAGACTCAACACCAAAGAAAGTAGAAAGCAACAAACAGCACTATTGCATAAATCATCCAACTGTTAAAAAAGCTGCCACTCTGAGTAGCTGGTATCTTTCTGGACTGCAGAGGTTTATTGATCCTATCCCAGATGTTAACAATAGCATCACGAGCACCACTCCATTGACCCGGTCCAACCAGACGATACTGATAGGGTGAGTATGGACCACAAACACACTTCACAGCTAGGATAGGATCAGAGAGTAACATCTTCCAGAAATCTGGCTTTGCCCCAAACTCTATAGCAACATCATCCATGTACTTAATGAAATCTACTTGGATGGTATGCCGTGGAGAGGAGACGTAACGCTTGGCCATGGCTTCTTGTTTACTCACCATGTCAGCTTTCATTTGATCTGCTGTAGGTAGCTTGGTAAGACCTTGGAACACTCTTGTAGCCCATCTAGCTTGGAGCTCAGATATAGGATTAATGGCACCTATAGGTTGGATGTACCCTAAGAAAGCAATGGTTGGATGTGGAAGATTTGTTGGGAAGACATACTTGTAGAGTGGTAGTTGGTTCTTTTCCACTGTAATTACTGAATCTTCAAGAAAGGGGAATTGAAAGACATACCCAGTTCCAAGGATGACAACGTCTAGGTCTTCAGTGGTTCCATCTTGGAACATGACACCAGTCGATGTGAAGTGCTTCACGTCTGGTTTGATAATTATTGATCCATTCACAATACAGTTAGAGAGAAAGTCATTAACTGTTGGATGTTGTGCCATTGGTGAGTGGTTAGGTTGGATGCCAAGAAACTTGTGATCAACTCTCTGTCTAAACACATCAAAAACAGTAGTTGCTGTACTTTTATGTTAACATCTTCAAGAATATAAAATAAAGTTCCAAAAATGTAATTAGACTATATCTTTATAACTCAACATAATTTATACCCTTATAAAAACTAATTTAGCCCGAAAACTATTTCTTTTATCTGGTTGCAATTTTAAAATAACTTAACTTAATAGGCTAACTTAGTTGGCGCTATGCATTTTAAAGTAATAAAAAATTAAAAATTATGAATTTCATGAATTTCATTCATGAAAATAGACAAATTTTCTTTGTTTAAATCCTGAATGAAGCATACAACCAATCATATTTAAGATTAATGTTTGCTTTTCATCTTTAGTCTGAATGAAAGTTATCTTCAGATAAACAATTGCATTCAACAACAAAAAATAATTCCTACTTACTCCAAGGCAGCCCTGAATCCCCTTTCCTTCACTGAATAAGGAAGAAGTTCAGATAGTCTCTGAGGGAAAAAGATATTTCCATTTCCCAAACGGTGTATGACCCACATTCCTCGGCGTGTACTCAGGTATACCTGAGAGAAAGTATAACAAAATCACTTATTGGTTCTGCAAATTCTTTTCTTGTTTGTGGCACTTCTTAGAAACTTCTTGTTTGACTTGGTATGTACCTCAAGTTCGTAATCCTTTCTGTGATGTGGGTGCCAATTCCTGGTCAGGAATATGAGTGATACTCTGCCTAACGTTAAGCTGTCTAGAACACTCGAGAGGGGACGTGACCCTTAACCTCTGAATATGTGACCATTTTAAAGGACTCGTTTTCATGAGTTGTTTCTCATATGAACTCGACTACTCATGAGAGGGAGGCCCTGATCTTTAAACTTTGATCTTAAGACCCTAATAAAGGATTGACCTGGGATGCACACCTACTGGGCTCCACACCAGAATCAGAGCCAGTATTACCCAACTCCAATTATCATGATGCATTTCTTTTCATGACTTTATGGTTTACTCAATTCATTAATAAGGACTTGACCTTTAACCTCTGACCTTGGACTCACCTGAGATGCACACCTGCTGAGCTCCACAGCAGCATCACAGCCAGAGTTACCCACTCCGATGATCATGATGCGTTTATTCTCAAATCCTTTAGGCGTCAGGTAATCATGTGTGTGGAGGACTCGACCTTTGAACTCTTTCCGTCCTAAAAATGATAACAGGACAACAAAATATGATGCAACGTCTTACTCTTGGAAATGCACGTATGTTGAAATCTAAGGCAGATGTGGAAGAATTGCTGCCTATCATGATCGTTCTAGAGTTCTGTGTGGCCCTGCGAACCACCTACTGTAAATCACCTGTTCATTAGTGGCAGCAGTGGGATATATCTCACCTCATGAAGAGTGACAGCGCCCCATCATTCATGACCAGGCACGTTATGAACTGTACATACAACAGAAAGCATAATCTGTGTATACACAAGAAAATCCTGGCGTATGAAATAAGTTCCTAGAAAGTCATCTCGTAATATATACAATAAGGCAGCACGTAAAGTTAGAATTTTTTTTTTGAACTGAGCATAAACATGTATAAGTGAGCTAGCATTGTTCCTAAATTGATTAAAACATGATTAAGAAGCAATCAGACTACAGGTAATACATTTTCCCCTTCACATCCTCACCTTCAAACTCTGGGATGTATGGTGTGCAGTGATGTCCTGTGCACACAAGAACGGCATCATAGATCTCAGTCACTGGCTTGCCAGTATCTTGACGAGTTGTTGTAACTTTCCATTTTCCTGTTTGCTTGTAGTCATCTGCAAAGACAGCAAAGTGCACTTTAGTGTGAAAGCGGATGTACTTCCGAAGATCAAAGCGGTCACAGAAGAGCTGGTAGTACTTCAGAACAAGTTTGTTGTGCATGAAGTTTGGAAAGTCTTCTGGAATGGGGAAGTCACTGGAAATGAAGATTCAGAAAGAGCAGACACTTTACAAACTAGACTGAAACCTCATTTTGTGTCTTATTAGCAAGTTAAAAAAAGAGCTCATACAAACACAAAAAGTAGTTTTTTTCACTGTCCTGCTATATATTAATTTGCAATGAATTCCACCATGGTACGGGTATATATTAAGCTTTGTTCAGACATGAAGTGGTTAACCATGGTAGGTTTTTTTTAATGACCAAGTAAGTGTAATCCTCTTTAAAATTGTATTCGGTATGCCTTCCACCACATTGTGACAAAGTTAATAACAACAAAAAGGGGGGCACATGGACCCTTTTTAAACTTTGTGGTCCGTTAGTATACCTTCCTCTACATTTCTGGCAAATTTAATGCAAATGACATTCATTTCAAGTTCTGAGGTCTATTTGTATCTAAATCCTGTTATGGTTTTATTCTACCAGACATCATACGGTCGCATTCTTAAACAGTGTCCCATGCCTGTTATGGTTTTATTCTACCAGACATCATAGGGTCGCATCCTTAAACAGTGTCCCATTCCTGTTATGGTTTTATTCTACCAGACATCACACGGTCGCATCCTTAAACAGTGTCCCATTCCTGTTATGGTTTTATTCTACCAGACATCACACGTCGCATCTTTAAACAGTGTCCCATTCCTGTTATGGTTTTATTCTACCAGACATCACACGGTCGTATCCTTAAACAGTGTCCCATAAGATTTTAAAAAAAACTAAAAATACAAGCACATGGACCCTTGGTTTTCTTTGTATACCCTGGCTTCTGACAGGCCAAAGCAACTGCATACTATAGTGTGGTGAAAATGACATAACTTTACTTGAAGTGGGGTTATCCTTGGCCTTGATCACCAAACAGTTCTCCTTGTACCTTGAGCCTCAATAAAGATTTGTATCTAGCTAATCAGAATTACCAAAGGTCAATTATGTGCAAACACACACCAAATATTGTTCAATTCTGTGTTATTTAATTCAATGCCCTTTTTATGAAATGTGCTGCTTGAAAAAAATTGGGGTTATAAATCGAACTGTCTGGTGGATGGTATGACTAACTTGTATACATGTACATTGAAATACAATGAACTTTCAAACAAATATGTTTATTGTTTATTCTACAACATGTAGCTTGGATTTATAGAACAGTTAGTAAACAGAAATTATTGTTAGCTTTTAGTTAGGGCAAAAACCTTAGGGATAATTTGTAATGCCAATGTCACTTGTTAATATAAGGAGCATCCCTTCCTACAATGTAAGAAGGCTGAACTTCAAATCTACTAATGACTATCATCCTAAATATTGTGTCGCATGTTGTGAGATCACAGTACATTGATGTCAAGAAATAACAATCTAATCTAAGACCCAGATATGCAGATCTATGTGTTGTGAACGTTTTTTTACAATTATTATTATTTGTACCGTGCTTTCTTTTAAGTGAATAATCCCCATGGAACACTTCGATTTGATCACAGCACACTGACAGACTTCATTGATATCAAAAGCCACTCTGTCACAAATGATGGTCTCACACTGCCCTGCATTGAAGCACCCTCACGAGCACTTCACGACTACTCCCACTTGCCTCATGATGCTTATTCTGCATTTTCTGCTAGCAACCAATGTTTTTGTTGTATTTGCAAGTTGGTTGCATGCCAAACTGTGGACCATGCTGGCGTAAACGGGTGTGCATTGACATATCATGGAGGCTTATACCTACATGCTTGAAGCAAATAGAAATGGCCATGGTCGATATCGCTACTGCCACATCCATGTCAATACATGTACATATAGAACAATTTTGACTGACTTTGTGACTGCATATTTACACAATTAAGGAATTAACAGCCTCTAAATACAAATATATCAAAACTATGTTGTTGTTGTTTTTTTTTTTGGGGGGGGGGGTTTCCTAATTTCTTTCATCAAGAAGTCTTGCGCTTATAATATTTTTTTATACTTCTGTTTCAATCAAATAGATACCAATTCACAGGTGTCTTGCAATTGTTTGCACATAGGACCAGAGGCGGTTCTCCCGGGGGGGCAGGGGGGCACAGTGCCCCCCCCACTTTTTCAGATACCCCAAAAGTGCCCCTTTTTACATAGGAAAAGTGCCCCTTTTATTTTGTAAGAAGTGCCCCTTTTACATAGGAAAGGTGCCCCTTTTACTTTGACAAGTGCCCCTATTACTTAGTAAAAGTGCCCCTTCCCCCTTTTCACCTCTGACGAGTGCCCTTTTTATTTTTGACACGTGCCCCTTTTCCTTCGACATGTTCCCATTTTCCTTTGCAATAAGTGTCCATTTTCCATTCTTGAAATCTTGAAATTATCTTGAATAAGTGCCCTTTTTAATCTTTAGTAAGTGCCTCTTTTCTGGTACGAGAAGTGTTCCGTTTCACTTTTAATAAGTGCCCCCTTCACCTCTGATAATTGCCCTATTCAAAACTGAGAGGTGCTCCTTTTACTTTGACAAATTCCCCTTTTTTCCTTTGTAAGAAGTGCCCCTTCTCCTTTTAATAACAACCCCTTTTTTAAACTCGGATGAGCACACCTTTCATTTTAACATGTGCCCCTCTTATTTTCTAATAAGTGCTCCTTTTCCTTATGATAAGTGCCCCCATTAAAAAGAGAGAGCTCCTTCCCTTTCTCATAACTACCCCTTTCCCTTTCTAATAAGTGCCCCTTTTCCTTACGATAAGTGCTCCCATTAAAAAGAAAGAGCTCCTTCCCCTTCTCATAACTACCCCTTTTAAAAATCTGAACGGTGCCTCCTTTTCATTCAAAAAATGCATATTTTCCTTTATTATAAGTGCCCCTTTTACATTTTCATAAGTGCCCCTTTTCATATCTGGTCAGTGCCCCTTTTCAACTCTGATAATTCCCCTTTTAATAATGATACGTGCCCCTTTTCCTTTCTAATAAGGGACCTATCCCCTTTTTACCTCTTATAAATGCCCCTATCAAAATCTGATGGGTGCCCCTTTTCCGTCAAAAAATGCCTATTTCCCATTTTCGTAAACCCCTCTTTTTCATCACTGGTGAGTGCCTCTTTTCAGGTGAAAAAATGCCTCATTTTCACCTCTTATAATTATTCTTTGTACTTTGACACGTGCTCCTTTTCTTTTCTAATAAGTGTCTTATCCCTTTCGATAATTGTCCCCTTTTCATGTAATCATTAAACGTGCCCCTTATGTAAAGCGACTAAGAGCAATTTCCCCAAAGTTCGCTCGCTGCGCTCGCTCGCATTTAAAGATGATATAATTATGTTACTTATCAAAGGTCTTTTCAGTCTTCCGTTATGAGAATGTGCTTATAACCCCATCACGATTGGCTTTTTTTTCCTCTTTATAAGATGTAATTTTTCGCACTGCGACCTCACAGATCTTTAAAAATGTTCTCGCTCGCTTCGCTCGCTCGTAAATGCATATTCAGACATCACACCCAACTGTAAAGTATGATGCTTAAGCGATATCTTGTATGATGTATGAAGAGAAACAAATATTGAAATCATCCCTGATAATTTAATCACAATGTAGGGGTATATACCAATGTCTATTTTTTAAAAATATTTTCGTTTGAGATTTTCCACTGTAGGTGCCCATTTTTTCCAGAAAGTGCCCTTTTTTTGGTGGTGCCCCCCCCCCCCCACTTTGGAAGTCGCTCGGCCGCCCCTGCATAGGACCTAGGCCTATATGTATGGCAGACCCACCTGAAGCACATGATCTCTTTGCTTGTGTTGATAACCGTTGACTCAAAGACACACCCTTGATCCTCCCGCTCCTCGCGATAGTACCATAGTCCTCCGATGTTATCTGCTTTCTCAAAGCACACTGGTTCCAGACCTTCATCTAGACAGCATTTAATGGCAGCCAGTCCACTAGCTCCAGCACCAATGATTGCAACCCTCTTACCCATCGTGACTGATCAATGATCTGTTTGGAATAAAAATCAGGAAAATCATGCTTGAAAACTCATTCATTTGTAGGTCTACATCTTGACAGAGCACCTAGGATTCAGGAAACAATGTCGATCACTAATCCAACTGGATTAATGACAATACTCGATCCCTCTTTTGGCACTAGATTACAATAAAAACCATCATAATATATATGAACCTGTCTAATCATTGCTCCCCTGTCCCCATCCTGAGGATCGTAAGAGTTCTAAACATATTTGGGCGATCATCTCATATTCTAGGAGAGAGATGTCCGATATATCCTCATGTTTAGGCAGCAAAGTCTGCAATACCATATTTGACCACTGATGTGCCCAAATATTGTCTAGACTGCTTCATGCACTTTTCATGTTTTTGACTTGGAAACAGAGGCGGCGCTCCCGGCGCCTCTGTTAAGTGCATATACATGTATTACGTAATGTTTGTCCTACCTAGCAACAACTCATGTAGGCAATTTTAATTCTGACTATTGAGATACATTTATTCGTAACAGGTGAATGAAACAATTCGTATCGAGGCGATTCACTAAGTCATAACTCGTATGCATACATTTGGTTACGTTACGATAATGGCCTACTTTGGGGGCTTCTAGTTCATGCTCTCATTGGCTATCCTTTGCAGAAGATGTAATCCGGCTTTCCACCGATTTATAATGTACAACGTATAATATCCTCATGCACCGCAATCAACAATGTATAATTATCTCATAAAACAGTGACTGTTCAGAGTGTTGTCTAAAGCATAGCCTTTAGCATCAGGCTCAGGCACTCACACACATACATGTACGCAGGCGCGTACGCAGGGGGGGGGGGGTGGGGTTACCCCCCCCCCTTCCTTCTTTTTTATGTGTGTGTTTTGGAGGGAACCCCCCCCCCTTCGTTTTTTTTTTTTTAAAAAAAAAGCTTATCGCTGACCTAAAAAAGGTGACCTTACCCCCCCCCCCCCCCCCCCCCCACGGAACGAAATGTTGATCGGTCAAATTTTCAAATTTCGGGACCCCCAAAAGAAAATATATATGTCCTCTTACCACCCCCCCCCCTTGCTTATTCAGTGGCTGGCTGAGTCGTTGCGAAATTTTCGGCCCGATTTGAAATTGTTAACCCCCCCCCCCCCTTGAAAAAATACTGCGTACGCGCCTGCATGTACGACTATGAGGCAATAGGGACTTTTAGATTTGCGTGGACTGATACGTGCAAGCACGTAGCCACGGAGGGGGGGGGGGGCACATGCCCCCCCCCCCCCCCACAATTTTCAAGATCGGTTGAACTTTGTAGACCCCCCTTTTTTTTTTTTTTTTTTTACTTCTATCGATTACATGTATGTGCCCCCCCCCCCCCAACATCATACTCTGGCTACGTGCCTGGATACGTGTGACGTCTATTCAAGGCAGTGCATTAAAAGGACGTCGATCGTAGCAATCCACGTTGTCGTTGTGCAAATCTAAAAGTCCCTAATATATCTCTCTCTTCACATCCCTTCAGCGGACTTTGCACTGGCTAGGCTACGTGCATATCCGTGACTTTGATATGCCTGCACCATTCCGAACAACGGCTATGAATACAGTGACTTCCCACAATACTCAAATTACTCGGCACTGTGTTTCTACGTTATAACTGACTGGATATTTTCAATGATAGCATTTAATTACATAAATACAGATCTATTATCTATCTAAAAGCGAGTAGAGTCTATATACGACAACCATGCGCTAAACTTATTTGACTGTTAACTGTAAAAGAATCCCCTGATATACGAACCTGCAAATCAGCATTTACAAATGACAAACAGCAAGACTGCAGTGATCGCGAATAATTTGACTAGATCTTTATATCTTCGCCTTTGAACTTGTAAATATGATTTGTTTACACTTTTTGACTGGCGGCTGGGGTTCCTGCTGACTGCCCTGGATCAGCAAAAAACTGGGCAAACATAAAGCTGACCATCTAGGCCATTTAATTGAGCAGGTCAATCATTACATCTATCTAGGACAAATACCACTGACGACACCAGTTGCGAGGCAGACATCGAAAAAAAGGATTGAAATCACACGGATTACATTCCTTGCAATTTCAGACTTATTTATAGCAAGAAAAGCGAAACTTGAACTTGGAATTAGAATGATAAATTGCTATGTCTGGTCTGTTCCATTGTATGGAGCAGAACCATGAACATTAACCAAGGTAATGGAAATAAAATCACATCGTTTGAAATTTGGGTGGACAGGAGAAAGATGAAAATATCACAAAATGTTTTTGTTTAAACTAACAGAGAAATATATTGCATATGTTAGGGCTGAAACAAAATATCCTCATAAGAATATAGGTAAAGAAAGAAAAGCGACATATTGGTCATATAAAAAGACAGTCTCTTGAAAGATTTGTTAGAAGGAAAAATGGGAGGTACTAGACCGAGAGGGAAGCCAATTAGCCATGAAAACCTGGAGTGGAATAACACTGCAAGAGTGTACTAGAATGGCAGATAACAGAGATGTGTGGAAAAACTTTGCAATCAACCTGCGAGTTGAGAGAAGGTACCAGGATAGATAGAAAGAACTACCCGTGTTATGAATAGTTGTAATATCTCAGTCACATCGTCACACCGACTTCAAACAGAACGATCCTTGTTCGGTCTGGAGTAATGCAAACGTTTGTTCGATCTGGTGTTGAGTCTCCTTGGTGTGTCTGGGGCATCACACCTCGAATGTGGATCATATGGACCACTCAACCATCCTGGCATTATTAGTGCAGTAAACCGTTACCCTCCGTTACATACGTCTTTGAGAAAGAAAGTGAACATGAAGAAGAAGGAAAAAAAGTATATATATATATATATATATATATATATATATATATATATAATTAAATAATAATATAATTTTTGTCGGTGCTCATGGGTGATTTTGCATAATAGGCATGTGCGTTCACATTTTCAAGAGGGGCGGGAGGGGGCATAACATGGAAACCTGATATCCACCCACTAAGCTAAGCGAACAATTTGAAAAAATCGCTTAAGCCATGCATTTTTATGCTTTCTCTGGTCATAATTCGTTTAATAATTGGTCAATTTTAGAAATAACAGAAATAACAAGTAAAAAAAGGAGTACTCGAAAGAAAACCACTGTCTTTTGTCTAAGTTCTCATATGTGATTTTACATAAGCGTTTCGGTCGTGGGGGGGGGGGGGGGGGGGGGACACCTCTTGCCTGAATATCAACCATCCCGCTCCTAAATATTATAAAAACTTAATTATATAAGTGAGCGAAACGGGAGGGGGGAGGCTGGAAAATGATACTTTCTTATATAGCACCAGAAATTGGTAAGATAAAATGTATGAATTTTAGTTCGGCACCTTGCCGCCGAATTTAAGAACACTTTGCCTTTTCATCACAAGAAGGGAAGGGGAGGGGGATATGGCAACCATTCCTCAAAATCAAGGTCCCCGATCCTAGGTATGAACTGTTTGTTTCCAAAATATTGCATTGGTGTGAAAGTGCATTTGATTGTGGGGTGTTATACCTTTTTCCCAACCAATGAAATATCAAGGAGGACAGTTGAAAATTCGAATTTTTATTATATTGCATGTATACGACGAGATATTATTTAATAATCCTCAAAGGACTATTTAAAGTTCACATGTTTCTTTTTTGATATATGTATAAATATGATTCAATTCAATCTATTCACTCATTAAAACCACATAAAATACAATACAAAAATATAAAATTACAAAACATCTTGACAATAAATACAAGTGAAGCTTGGTTTAAAATTGAGTTCGGACTAATGAAAGATTAAAATTCTTGTAAATTTCATCCCTACATTGAAAACAAGAACATCTCAAGTTACTTTACCTTCTAAACGTTGAAGACAAAACCTACATTACAACCCCAATATCAGGTGTTTGGCACAAAAGACAGCTTAGGCGGTACAGCGGCGATGATGGAATGAAAAGGTAAATAGAGAAGGGCAAGGAAGTGCAATAATGGAGAAAGAGAGAGAGAGAGGGAGAGAAAGAGAACATGGAAAATAGATGGGCAAGAGAATTTGATGGCTGAAGTTAAGGTATCAAGATAATAAATTATTGAGCGTTCGAAAGCACAACCCATGACTTCAAAAGTGCTCACATACGATGAGCCTACATGCAAAGGACGGATTGTCTTAATTTTGATCTCTAATTATGTATTCCATATGAAAATGAGGACGTTCTGATTGGAGACAGAGTTCGCAACAAGAAAACTAAAATAAAACTATCTAAGACATGATCTCACCAGTAGCACAGATTATTTGTGACGATAAGGAAGTCTTCACACCATCGCAGTAAAATTGAATTTCTGATCTCCCATAGGAACTCTCTCGTTTCGTGCCTCTCTGGTTTATTGATCTGATCCTTCCACGTGTATTACCTCTCACATGGTGTTATAATGGAGTGACGTCACGATAGGTTTGAACTGGATGAGAAATAGAGTAGAGAAAGAAAGCCACTCCATTTCACCTTTTGTTAATTCTTACTGGAAGCTTTAATTGGGCGGAGGGCAGAATTCGATTTCGTAACACCGGAAAGAAAAGGCGAATTCTTGGCATCTTGATCGGGTTTGTTGTTAATTTCTCGAATTTCTATCCATATTTTAGGCCTGTTATATTAAACAAATAATTTATGTTTTGAAGCTTGTGTATTAGTGATATGCGCTGCACTCGAATGAGTCCCAATGGGCCGGGTATTAAACTCGACAAGTCTCGTACATTATTCCACTGTGACTTAATATGCGTGCAGTGTATGGTCACTAATGTACTCCTAAACTTGGGTTATTTGTATAATAACTTTACTTCGTGTTTCTTTTTGTCTTTTTCCTCTATCTTCTTTTCTCCTCCTCTCGTAGGAGTTAGGGTGAGTTCCTTGAAGCTCTAGGACTGCAGTATTTTTTAATGTTACAAATAATGTAATGCGTTGTGATATATAGCCCCCCCCCCCCCACACACACACACACACACACACATTTACATAAAGGAGAAGAAAAAACTTTTTTTTAAATAAAGGTAATTATCTTTCACGAAGTTGATTGTTACGAAATCCCAACAAAAAAATATGTCTCAAAATGTTACATAATCATCCCTTTACATTTAGAATGGATTATTATTCACTTCCATTGGGAAAGAAACTCGACCAGAAATGTTCTGTCTTCATTATTTCATAATCTTTACATTTAGAATGGATTCTTCTCCATTTTAATTTGGAAAGGAATTTCAACCACAAATTTGACCCCTTGAAACTCATCCTCATTCTGAGACAGTAATCTATCATATGAAAAGTTTGTTCTTACAGGAGTGCAATGTCGTAAATGGTGGGGTGGCTTCCACTCCGTCCATATGTTTCAACTGTCAGGTTTTAAAGTTTATCGAGCGAGCCAAAAATTTTGGTGGTGAGCCATTCGCGATAGTTAAACAGTACCCATTTGAAGATTTTATATAATTGTTTGTCATCAAATTGCAGAAGAAGCGTTATGAAAAAAAGTTATACCGACTCGCTACCCGATATGGTTATCTTTCACAAACCCCCGCCCCCTACGGTTAAAAGTTGTGATTGTACTTCCGATTTCTGATGTTTTGTAAGGTTTTTCTGATCTTGAACAATAAATAATTTGTCTCCAAGTCCATATTTCTTATCTTTTCATATATCTGAATATCTCGTGCCTTGCATACATGTGTTAATAACTACGTAATAGAAGCAAGATATATAATGTAATGGCGTGCGCGTTTTAGCGCACCGTTGGTTGGCCGAGCAGGTTTAGCCAATCAGCAACGTGTATTCATGATAAGCTGCAAAGATAGATCAATGAATGTATAAATAGGCGCCATTTGCGGTGTTTGGAATCAGAGAAAGAGAGACAGAGGAGGAAATAGACAGGCATCCCTAGGTAGAGACAAAAATATCACCAGTTCAAGCTTGAAGACTACTCGAGTTACCTTAAAGAACAACAGAACTCACACTCAAAGAGGTCTTAACTTTCGATCAGTTTAGAATTTGTATTTCTTTCTCACGTCAAGTTTAGGCAGAGCAACGTAACAACAAAATCTTGTGTTTGTCATGGTAGACATTTAGAATGCTGCAAAACGAAGTTTTAGGCATATAAATTATTTTCATCATCTTCGAGATGTTTTATACTATTTGATAGTATAAAACTATCGCAGAGACCAAAAGACATTCATTCTTATTCTAAAGTTCATGGCTTTTAAGTCAACAATCGTGTAATTGCCTGGAAGCATAAAGAAAAAATTGTTTGCCTTCCAAAGACATTCACAATCTGACAACAATGGCATACTTCCTGCGTAGTATGATCTTCAATGTAATCATTACTAGCGTTTTGTTGGCTCTTTTCATCGGTACAGTGCCCTCTCAAACAGCCAATGCATACGACGAGGTCAAACAGTGGCACAATGAACTGTTAGATGACCCAGACACCACATACCAGCACATCGAATCCGCAGGTAAGAACGACGAGAAGAGAAATGCCTTTAACGATAAGCTTCGTGGATTGCGTCGACTGAGCAGGATCATCGACTCTCTCGGTTTTGAAAGCGATATCCGCCCCGCCAAGAAAAGCCCCGAGATCGTTGACAAGCTTGACAATGCAAATGGGAATGGTGGACGGCAGATCGTATCATCGGGCCATATTATCAACCAGAACTCTGGTGTTATCGATGACGCAATCCCCCTCGTTGGCGATGGTTTGAGGAACGTGGCGTCACCTCAGGATATGGATGGACGACAGACACCCAGTGATCAACAAGAAGGATGGAAGCTAAAGTCTCGGGTAACTACCAACGCAGACGAACCGAAGGAGACAGGTGTGCCGAAGAGGAGTGCGTTGGGACTTGAAGCATTCAGGCAGAAGAGCAGAGAAAGCAGGAGAAGGTGGGGTGGCAAGGCATCTCGTCCGCAACCATTCCGTATTGGGCTGTTTGGGAAGAGAGATGCCGCAGAAACTCTCGGAATGATTAACACGAGCGATCTCGCCGATATCATTGCTGGTAAGCGAAAGTATACTGATGATAATGATGATGATAAGGATAACAAATATGAGGATAATAACAACAACAATAACAAATGATGTGATTTCGTGCACATACTGTGTCTAGTGACAAGTGATATATTCATATATACACACAGTGAATACCAGAACTGTTGTTGTGCTTCATTCCTTCGTATATACATTAAAATCTTCATAAATAGTTCTGTCAACTGGGCAATTTTAAAATTTAGCCGCGGGGTAACAAACACCATCCTGTTACAAATTCATTATTTCAATTTTTCAATTTCATTTATTTGTTCAACCATCAAAATATATATACAATCAAAATAAGTTACATCAAGAATTTAGAAGTCAACACAATAATGTTTTGGTGACCAAGGAGAAAGCAGGGCTTATAAAAAGGGGCCACCAAATTGAAATACATAAAAAGATCAACAATACTTATACAAAAAACATCAACATCGAACATTAATATAAACAAGCAAAAAAAGGGAAGTACACTTCTTGCAGCAGCAGCAAAAAAATATATCTACATGTATATAAGAGGGCAGTAGAAAAGAAAGCGAAAAAGAATAGCGGTAACCGATAATCATTATCATGTACAGAAAATGGAATGTGCACTCAACACAATTAAAAAGACTGTTTTTAGGGGTTAGTGAATGATGTATTTGTGGAAAATCGTCTTAATACTGGGAAGTCACAGTTTTCAAAAAGATTTGCTTTGTTTACATATTTCTGTACATGATATCATAGGGACTTAAATTTATTTTTGTGTGTATGCTCTTTAAAAGAATGGTTCATTATTATTGTCATCAATAATAATAAGTCATGGTCATAATTATCTAACCCTTCTACATGATAGCTTTGCAGGGAATTCAATTTCAAGATTAAATGCTTTTTTCAATCTTCCTCACATATATGGGGAAACAGCTTGACTGTCCTGTTTTAAATGGAACATGGCGATTTTGGAGACATTTCCCCCCTCCTTTCATGAATATTTCCGTTTTTTTTAACTTTTATCTTCTAAACCCTGTCATATAAAAATGACCTACGGTTTATTTATTCTTTTCCTTTCTGATACATTTATTTTGTGCGTTTTTTTTTCTTCTTCTTAGAAATGCTTAACGGCGATCCTAACAAGAGCCAGACCGACTGAAAAGATTTGAAGATAAGATGAGATATGGAATGCATCGTCAGTATCCATGGAGACCAGTGTACATTGCTGCATGTTGGTATCCATGCTTTAACTCAATGGGACACTGTGGACATGTTGACTCCATGCTTACTGAGTAATGTTAGTGTTAATCACAGCATAAACACTGTACATATGTTTATCGTAATTTAGAAATTTGTCAGTAAAGTTAATTTTGAGCGATAAATATATCCTAATACAAAATGATATTGCTTATTGACTGCCTAAAGGCTACATTCAATGAGATGATGATTAAATGTAAAGATATCACTGTGATTAAAAGTAGTACCCGTAGCCGCATAATAGCACATTTATTGTTGTATACAGCTTTGGCGTTAACCCTTACTGTACTGGGCTATTTCGAGCACCCTCTGAATGGGGGGGGGGGGGGGGGGGCCTGGGAGGCCCCCCTCCCTATGATCTCGGCCGTCGAATGTCCGATGAACACGAAAATTTGCATATTTGTAGATATTTACGTAAGGAAAAAGATGGTATAATTAGTTTTTTTCCTAATATGCAAATTTTTGTCGTTATAGCCTAATTAATTATGCAAAATGCTAATTTTATGCATTTTACAGAAAACGCTACATATTTGTCCGTAGACTTGTGAAGAATCTTGAAAATGTATTGAATAAATGTTTCCTTCATCTCAAATTCATGAGGTTTCATTATTTTTATGATATTTGAAAATGCATAGGTTAATTTGCATAAATTATGAATATGCAAATTACGCATTCATGAATATCAAATCAGGAACTATATTTAGGGAACTAGAATCATTACAAAAATTGTCAGACTCCACTTTTTGAATGTTGAAACTCATTATTCATATGAAACTTCTTTTCTAACACAAAATAGTTATTTGACGTAATTAATAATGATAATTTATGCAAATTTAATGCGATTTTCAACTATTTATTTTCTTATGTATTTTATTGTTTTTTATTTCTTATTATATCTATTGTTTTATTTCTAATGTATTCTTTTGTTCTGGAATACATCAAGTTACTCTGAGAAACATATAAAAGCAATTTCATATCAATTCATATCTGCATATTTCTGCTTGTACATGAATATATGCAATTATAGCACTTTTTTGATTGACATGCGCATACTAATTGTTATGTAACACCTTACAGGTATATCCGATTTTGACGAAAATGGTATCAAAATGTGCGCAAGACTTGAGGGGAAAAAGTCATGAAACGACAATTCAAAATTCCAAGCGGTTGCGGTGCGATCTCCGAAAATGTCGAGGGGGGGGGGCCTCCCAGCCCCCCCCCCCCCCCAGTACAGTAAGGGTTAATAGACCTAATTTACTAATGTTTATGCTTGCTTCTTGAACAAACGTTTCTCTGGACAACTAGAACTTGCATTGGCTTGCCAGACATAGCAACAACTATTGTTTGAAACAGTTAGACATATAAAAGTAATATCAAAACAGGATCTGATCAGTTGTGTAATAGTCTTAAGTCCATCTGTACTAGTTTGGCCAGGGGGATTAGACCTCCCTGCAAGGTCACTGACAGGTGGTTATCTCATCAAATAAGCTCTCAATTAACAAAAGAAAAAGAGGATCATGTGGGACCAACAGGGACCGATTAGGCACTGTTTGCTATATATTGGGCGCAAGTAGTGCAGTGGGGCTTTAAGTAATGCTTACAACTTAAAGCAACTTTATGCACCACCCTGTGCATAAATTATATTGGCATAACATTAAACAATGCCATAATTATTCCCTTCCTTAGGGATGTGACGGCTTGACCGAAGGTCGGCGAGACCGAATATGAAAAAGGTTCCGCGAGACCGCACGTGAAAATAATATGCCGCAAGCTATCTATCTGGGCCTACTTTCGGATGCGTAAATGGTTGACATAAAATGCATCATTAATGTCCTGTTCACAAGACAATGAATAAATAAATATAAAGACCCTGTTGCGCACAAATTCATCATGAAACTTTTTTATGTACTGTATGCATCATTGCAGCTGTGGAAGTATATTGCTGTCATTAATTTCGCTGCTGTTAAAGGTGCCCTATAAAAGAATGCTATTGGTGATAAAGGTTTGTCTCATCAGACAAGCAATAACAATATGATTTACTAAATTTGCTAATGAAGTACTTACTCTTCATTTTCACAGGGCTGTTTTTCGTAGGACGATAGGCATGCGTGCATACTTCATTCTTTTAGAATTAATACAACAGGTTTTATGCTACTTTATCAAGTCGAATTTAATACATGTACAAGAAGTATTATTCGGTATTTGCAATACAGATAAGGTGTGTAGACAAATAAATATGCGTGTTGCAGTTGCTAGATTCATGCAACTAATTTTGTTCTTTTAGTAGCTTACATCAATAAAGAGTTTTTATACGAAATATGGAATTGTCGTTGTTTGTACTTTGTAATTTTTGGTTTAGATGTTTACATGGTTTGTAGGTCGTATAGTTATATCTCTGATTGAAGATTTTAATGAAATATGGAAATGGTAAGGGGTTGGCTAATCGTTTTTGCCAGAAAATGAAAATTTTCAATCCTTTCTGTTTTCTCATCATGATGGTCCCATCATGCCCTTAGAAAGGATTGAAATTTTTTATTTTCTGGCTAAAACGATGAGCTAACCCCTTGCCATTTTTTCCAAAAAGGGGCGGTTTTCGAATTTTTCTAATATTTGCCCTAACAACCTTTTGGGGAACACACGGGAGTCATAATACTTCTAAGGGCATGTTGGGACTATCATGGAAAGAAAACAGAAAGGATTGAAAAGCTTATTATTTTTGGCGAAAACGATGAGCTAACAACCCCTTTCTATTTTTTCCAATAAGGGGCGATTTTGGAATTTATCCAAATTTGCCTTAACTTCCCTTTTTGTGAACACATGAGAGTCGTAAGAATTCTAAGGGCATGTTGGAACTACACTGTCGCTCATAAAGGTGGAATATTTTTGTTTTATCACAATTTATGGAATTATTTTAAAAATTGTTTAAAAATAATAGATCTAGATAATAGTATACATTCTCAGATTTTATTGAATAATAATTTGCCAATGTGTGTTTTGCGTGACTGCTAGAGCATGTGTATGCTATTATGCTTATCAACTAGGGGACCTATGCCCTTAAGTCATAAATGACAGTAATAAGGATTAATGCCCCACAAAAGGGCACTTTATAGCACATCGACACGGTTTTGATCCTGGGGCCTCACAGTAACGAGGCTATTGCTTTGTCACTGAACCATGACTGTGCGCAGCGGGGGCTAGGGTAGGGGGCAGTTTCCATAAATTAAAAAAAACACAGAAAATGCAATAAATTTTCAATAATTTATTGCATTTTACCCCGGTTCCCAACATAAACAAATCTTTTGTGTGCCCATGCCTTGAGCCATAATGCATGGCCGTCTAGAGGATTTCTTTATGTTTGGGACCAGGGTAAAATACAATAAATTATTGAAGATTTATAACATTTTCTGTTTTTTATTTTATTTATGGAAACTGCCCCCTACCCTAGCCCCCGCTGCGTACAGTCATGGTTCAGTGACAAAACAATGGCCTCGTAACTGTGAGGCCCCAGGATCAAAACCGTGTCGATGTGATATATTAGTGCCCTTTTGTGGGGCATTAATCCTCATTGCTGTCATTTATGACTTGAGGGGGTAGGTCCCCTAGTTAATAAGCATAGTAGCATACACATGCCTTAGCAGTCCCGCAAAACAAACATTGACAAGTTATTATTCAATAACATCTGAGAATGTATACTATTATCTAGATCTATTATTTTTAAATAATTTTTAAAATAATTCCATGAATTGGGATAAAACTAAAATATTCCACCTTTATGAGCGACAGTGTATCATGATGATAAAATAGAAAGGATTGAAATATTTTATTTTTGGGGCAAAAACGATGAGCTAACCCCTTGCCATTTTCTACAAAAAGGGGCGGTTTTCGAATTTTCCAATATTTGCCCTTACATCCTTTTTAGGAACAAACGGGAGTCATAATAATTCTAAGGGCATGTTGGGACTACCATGAAGAGAAAACAAAAAGAATTGAAAATTTTAAACGACGAGCTCACCCTTTATAATGTTTGCAAAAAAGTGGTAATTTTTGCATGTGCCATTACTTGTCCTTACATCCTTTTGGGGAACAAACAGGAGTCATAATACTTCTAAGGGCACGATGGGACTATCGTGGAAAGAAAACAGAAAGAATTGAAAAGTTTAAACGACGAGCTAACCAGGCGCGTACGCGGGGGGGGGGGGGGGTCGGGGTTAAACCCCCCCCCCTTGAGTTTTTTTTATGTGTATGTTTTGTGTATGATTTTTGTCAAACCCCCCCCCCCCCTTTTGATATTTTTTTTTGTAATAAAAATAATAAAATAAATAAATAAATAAATTATGCCAATGGCTGACCTAAAAAAGGTGACCTTACCCCCCCCCCCCAACGGAACAAAATGTCAAATTTTCAAATTTCGAGACCAAAAAAAAAAAGTGTCCTCTTACCCTATTTTTGCATGTGCCATTATTTGTCCTTACATCCTTTTGGGGAACAAACGAGAGTCATATTACTTCTAAGGGCACGATGGGACTATCATGATGAGAAAACAGGAAGGATTAAAAAATTCATTTCCTCGCAAAAACGATGAGCTAACCCCTTGCCATTTTTTCCAAAAAGTGGCGGTTTTCGAATTTACCAATATTTGCCCTTACATCCTTTTTGGGAACAAACGGGAGTCATAATACTTCTAAGGGCATGTTGGGACTACCATGAAGAGAAAATAGAAAGGATTGAACATTTTTAATTTTTGGCAAAAACGATAAGCTTGTCATTTTCCCCAAAAATTAAGGATTAAGAATGAAAGACGGGAACGGTACAACGAATCGTCTTCTTTCTCCCTAATAATTTAATGAAACGTCAAAGCTTTCGCGCGAGGGGGGGGGGGAACTGAATTCAGACAAGGATTAAGAGTCGAGAACAGTACAACGAATCGTCTTCTTTCTCTAATAATTCATGAACCGTCGAGCCTTCCACGCTTCGCGCGGTAGGGGGGCAATTGAATTCAGACTAGGATCAAGAACGGCACAACGAATCGTCTACTTTTTGTAATAATTTAATAAAACGTGAAAGCTTCCGCGCTTCGCTCAGACAAGGATTAAGAGTAATAATTTAATAAAACGCCAAAGCTTCGCGCTGGAGGGGGTGGGGGAACTGAATTCAGACAAGGATTAAGAGTCGAAAACAGTACAACGAATCGTCTAAATTCTTTCTCTGATGATTTAATAAAACGTCAAAGGGGGGGGGGGGGGGTAGTGAGCACTCTGAAATTGAAAATTAAAAAGATCGTAACAAAAAATCGCAAACAAAAGGTAAAATTAACGTGTTTTGTGACACTGGCAAGTCACGAATTGGCGTGGGGTCCAGGGGGCGGAAGCTCCGGAAGCTCAGTGGTTTTGGGCAATAAATAACGGTCAGATGAGCAAATTTTTTACCTTATTTGTGACACTGGCAGGTCACGAATTGGCATGGGGTCCAGGGGGCGGAGCCCTCAGAAGCTCAGGGGATTTGGACAATAAATAACGGTCAGATAAGCATATTTTTATACCTTATTTGTGCCACTGGCAGGTCATGAATCGGCGTGGGGTCTAGGGGGCGGAAGCCCCGGAAGCTCAGGGGTTTTGGGCAATAAATAACGTACAGATGAGCATTTTTTTTAAACTTTATTTGTGACACTGGCAGGTCACGAAATGACATGGGGTCCAGGGGGCGGAGCCCTCAGAAGCTCAGGGGATTTGGGCAATAAATAACGGTCAGATAAGCATATTTTTATACCTTATTTGTGCCACTGGCAGGTCACGAATCGGCGTGGGGTCCAGGGGCGGAGCCCCCGGAAGCTCAGGGGTTTTGGGCAATAAATAATGGTCAGATGAGCATATTTTTATACCTAATTTGTGACATTGGCAGGTCACGGATTGGCGTGGGGTCCAGGGGGAGGAGCCCCGGAAGCTCAGGTGTTTTGGGCAATAAATAACGGTCAGATGAGCATATTTTTATACCTTATTTGTGACACTGGCAGGACACAAATTGGTGTTGGGTCCAGGAGCCCCAAGAAGCTCAGGGGTTTTAACATCTAAATTATCGTCAGATGAGCATATTTTATACCTTATTTGTGACACTGGCAGGTCACGAATTAGCGTGGGGTCCAGGGAGCGGAGCCCCCAGATGCTCAGGGGTTTTGGGCAATAAATAACGGTCAGATTAGCATATTTCTATACCTTATATGTGACACTGGCAGGTCACGAATTAGCATGGGGTCCCGGGGCGGAGCCCTCCGGAAGCTCAGGGGTTTTGGGCAATAAATAACGGTCAGATGAGCATATTTTTATACCTTATTTGTGACACTGGCAGGACACAAATTGGTGTTGGGTCCAGGAGCCCCAAGAAGCTCAGGGGTTTTAACATTTAAATTATCGTCAGATGAGCATATTTTATACCTTATTTGTGACACTGGCAGGTCACGAATTAGCGTGGGGTCCAGGGAGCGGAGCCCCCAGATGCTCAGGGGTTTTGGGCAATAAATAACGGTCAGATTAGCATATTTCTATACCTTATATGTGACACTGGCAGGTCACGAATTGGCATGGGGTCCCGGGGCGGAGCCCTCCGGAAGCTCAGGGGTTTTGGGCAATAAATAACGGTCAGATGAGCATATTTTTATACCTTATTTGTGACACTGGCAGGTAACTTATTGTCGTGGGGTCCAGGGGGCGGAGCCCCCAGAAGCTCAGGGGTTTTAGGAATTTCATAACGGTCAGACAAGCATGCAGGGGCCCGCCTTAGGACCCCTGGTGGGGTCGAGGGGGTGGAGCCCCGAAGTCAAGGGCTTTTAGGCATTTAATAACGGTCAGATGAGCATATTTTGATACCTTTGATATCTTTCCCATTTTATTTCCTTCTTTTTTTTTTCCTTCTTTTTTTTCTTTCTTTTTTTTCCCTTCTTTTTTTTTTTCTTCTTTTTTTCCCTTTCTTTTTCCTTCCTTTTTTTCCCCTCTTTTTTTTCTCCATTCTTTTTTTTGTCCCTCTTTTTTTTCTTCCCTTTTCCTTTCTATACACTTTTATTGTGGCACTTTTTCAAATTTTCCGGGGGAGACATATTATGTCCCCGTCCCCGTCCCCGTCCCCATCGTCCCGGGATCGCCGCCCCCGCTCCGGAACCATCCGTGTACTTGGTTGTTTCGAGTTAGAATTCTTACTTCACTTCGCAGCTTCGTAGGAGTGCGTGTATACACAAGTGGGGCTGTTTCAGTTGTTTTTATAACCAGGGTATAAACTCACATCTCCCTGGTATAACTGTTGTTTGCTACGCTGCACTGTAGAATGATCCTTTTTTCCATTTAATGACAATTGGATCTCTACCGCTTTTATCAAGTGAAATTTTCAAGCTGTTTTCTGCCGGCGATCTTGCTCCTTTGAGACTTCGCATGAGAGTATACCGGTAAGTATAGTACATAGTGTAATACCAGGGGGTAATACCACTGACCTGGGTAATACTCACTAGTCGTAAGCGCTATATGCGCGGTATAGGCGTTGTGTTGGTGCGTGAGGTTTATAACTTCACCTAAATTAGTGCGTACGGGGTGAGTGGTAGTTGGGAGTAATACGAGATCCCCAATATCAGCTGTGACGGATTTTAGCGCTTTTATGTGTTTCTTTCATTTTGTTTGGAAATAACTCACAATTGACGGCTATATCGTCATCCTCCGATCCGAGTCACTGGTTTAACAATTCAGCAATCTTTCTATAGGATCCACGGTTGGGAGGTTTTCAAAAGAAATCTATTCAATTCCACCCACACATATTACCTGGCTAGGACACTATTTCTAACAACATAATATTCTGTATTCTTTATAGTCTCTTTTCTATCATTCAATATGATAAATAATATGAATCAAAACACTAGTATAAAACTGTATATATTCCTTGCGGATCGAGTCCCCCTGATGTATATGTGTTAAGATCATCAAATTTCTCATAGAGGTGGACTCGGATCACGAGCCTCGGACGAGGAGTATATATTCCTTGTGGTGTGGGAAATTTGAAAATTTAACACTCGCACCACAAGGAATATACAGACAGTTTTATAGTGTTTTTCTTAATATGCCTACTAGATAACTTGGCTTGACTAAAGCAATAATATAATTTTTTTAAAATTATGAAACGAAGTAATATTTCGTCTTTATAACCGTCAGGGGACTATTTAAAGACATGTTGAAATGTGAAATGTATTTTGCTATATTTTTTCAGAGTATAAAATGTCCTTGGATCCAAGTCCCTGAGGACTTGGATCATGATAATGCCCAATTGACTATTTTTGCCACACACTATTTTATGAATTATTTATATATAGAAGTATATATGTACAATAACATGAATCAATTTTCAACTTCATGGATACTTGAACCAAAGCAGATCACTTGGCTGACATAATAGATGATACTCACTACCGTATGTAGTTTGATAGTTTATATGACAACAATGAAATCCTGTTCAGTGATTGGTCAACATTGCATCATTTGCTATGATGATACCAATAAGAAAAATACACTATACCATGGACGACGTCATAGATATGCGATCGATCAAGATCAATGTGATATCGGTGTCGGCCCGGTCTCAGTCGCTGCTCTCACTGCACTCTGCACTACTTCAGTGACAGTATACATTATTGGTATTATTAATTTTTTTTAATGAAGGTTGGTTTGAAAAATATATAAAAAAATATGGCATGCACTATTTCAAGCCACTAGTGAAATGGTAGTGCATGGTATATTTGTTAACCATGTAATATAATAGTTCACAGTATGTTATAGTGTGATCATTCAAACTGTGTTGTAGTGGGATCATTCATACTAAATATGTTGTAGTATTATAGACTTTTATAGTTCATACTTCATACTACCGGTATGTTGTAGTGGGATTGTTCATAGTCACTAAGTTATGTTGTAGTGTGATCATTTATACTATGTTGTATGATAGTATAGATTTATTGACTGCTATGAGAGGCATGGCTGTTTCCTTAGGCTCTGGTGGACGTTACATCCTGCTATGACCCTGCGGCGCGCTGAGGGGCCATAGCAGGATGTAACGTCCCCGAGAGCCAGTATAGGAACAGCTATGTCTCAAATATTAAAGCAGTCCATATATCTTTTATATGCCGTATACCAAATTCACAAACAACTTTACAAAGAATTCTTACCTTATCCTTTTCTTGAGTAAAGATTAGTTAAAACAAAAATTTGTGAGACTGTCTATTAATCAACGCTGGAATGCTGCCTAAATTTTACGATCATTCGGGAATCGCACACACACTGCACTGTATGGTATCCGCGCTCGCACAAAGAAACTATTTACACGTTAACCAATGGGGATTTCAGCAAAATTTATTTATGCAGCTCCTTACCCGGGGCAACGTGCATCTTTCTCATTAACTATTGAGCGTTAGGCGGGCATGGCTAAAATCACAACTCCAATTTCGACCAATCAGATGACTAGATTTATACTAAATTAAACATACTAAATTAGAGAGGTTTATAATTCATATTATGTTGTAGTGTGATCGTTCATACTATGTTGTAGTGTCAACAATATACTACAACATGAAAGATCACACTACAACATAGTATGAACGATCGCAGTACAAAAAATAGATGATTGGCAAGATTTCAACTCTATATCCCAAACAGATCATTGATCAGTCACCATGGGTAAAAAAGTTGCAATCATCGGTGCTGGAGCTAGTGGACTGGCTGCCATTAAATGCTGTCTAGATGAAGGTCTGGAACCTGTGTGCTTTGACAAAGCAGATAACATCGGAGGACTGTGGTACTATCGCGAGGAGCGGGAGGATCAAGGGTGTGTCTTTGAGTCAACGGTTATCAACACCAGCAAAGAGGTCATGTGCTTTAGGTGAGTATGTCATACATACATGTAGACCTAGGCCCTATGTGCAAAGTTTTTGCAAACGATTACGAGACACCTGAAATGGTGTCTATTTGATTGAAACAGAAGTAAAACCAAATTATAAGTGCAAAGATTTCATGATGAAGGAAATTAGGAAAACGAAGTGAAGTATACATAGTGTTTGACATATTTGTATTTAGAGGCTGTTAGTTCCTGAATTTGATAAACATACAGTCAACAAAGTCAGTCAAAATTGTTCTAAAGCACTGAGTGAAATTTTTTAGTCAAAACTCAAACAAATGAAATTCATAGTGGATGTATGCAATCACAGTAATTTGTGAATGTAGCAAAAAATTTATAGGGATTAACAGTTGTCCAAAGCACAAAAAAAGCTACCAACATTGACCATGACAAATTCTCATTTGTTTTAATCATAATGGTTTGGGTATATAAGCCTCCATGCATGTCAATACACAATGGTTTACGCCATGGCACACAATTTAGCATACCATAGGAGGCCTGTCTTCATCAGCCCGAGTTGGCCAAATAACCCATTATTTCTGATCCAGGGAAATAGCGGGGTATTTGGCAGGTAAAGACGCAAAAAGCAGGCTATTTGCTCAGGAAATCTCCCCAAGATATCTTGGGCTAGTTTGTAAAAGAGCCTGCTATTTGTCTGATCCGTCTTCACCAGCCAAAGACTCGCACTATACATGTATGTGCGAACACTGAGCAAATTTCTCAAGCTAATTCTCGAGCTAGAGTTTTGATTTATAACTTCGGGCTAATTTCCCGGATCATAAAATAGCAGGCTTTTTAGCCAACTCTGGCTGATGAGGACAGACCTTAAGAGACCATGAGGAAGGTATGATAGTGTTCATGAGGGTGCCTCAATGCAGGGCAGTGTGAGACCATCATTTGTGACAGTGTCTTATGATATCAATGAAGTCTGTTCGGCTGTGATCAAATCGTAGTGTTCCATGGGGATTATTCACTTAAAAGAAAGCACTGTACAAATTCAAACACCAAAAAACTAGACTACACACGTACACAATACATATATCTGTCAATCTAGGTCTTAGATTAGATTGTTATTTCTTGGCATCAATATACTGTGACCTTTGAACTGTTAATCTCACAACATGCGACAAGATATCAAAGATGATAATAGTCATTGGTAGGTTTGGAGTTCAGCCTTCTTACATTATTGGAAGAGGTGCTTCTTACATTCTCAAGTGACATCCATGGCATTGTCGTTACAAATTATCTCAAAGGTTTTTGCCCCAACTAAAAGTTTTAAATAATTTCTGTATTCTAAATATTATACATCCAAGCTCCTATGAACCATCAATGTTGTAGAATAAACAATATAAAGATATTAGTTTGAAAGTTCATAAATTATGGAATGATATACATGTATCAATGTGCATGTATACAATTTATTCATACCATCTACCAGCAAGTTGATCTATAAACCCATTTTTTTCAAGCAGCAAATTTAATGAAAGCGCACTAAACTGAATGGCAAAGAATTGAACAATATTTGGTGTGTGTTTGCACATAATTGAACCTTGGTAATTTGAAAGATATTACTGATTAACTAGATACAAATCTTTATTGAGGCCCCAAGTACAAGTAGAACTCTTTGGTAATTAAGGCCAAGGCCATTAAGGCCATTAAATTTGCCAGAAATGTAGAGGAAGGTATCAAAAGGGTCCATGTGCCTCCACTTTCGGGGTATTAACTTCGTCAAAATGTGGTGGAAGGCATACAGAATACAGAATTTTAAAGCGGATCATTAAAAAAACCTACCATGGTTTACCCCTTCATGTCTGAACAAAGCTTTAATATATACCCGTACCATGGTGGAATTCGTTGCAAATTAATATATAGCAGGAAAGTGAAAAAAATACTTTTTGTGTTTATAGGAGCTCTTTTTGAACTTGCTAATAAGACACAAAATGAGGTTTCAGTCTAGTTTGTAAAGTGTCTGCTCTTTCTTTATCTTCATTTCCAGTGACTTCCCCATTCCAGAAGACTTTCCAAACTTCATGCACAACAAACTTGTATTGAAGTACTACCAGCTCTTCTGTGACCGCTTTGATCTTCAGAAGTACATCCGCTTTCACACTAAAGTGGACTCGGCTGTCTTTGCAGATGACTACAAGGAAACCGGAAAATGGAAAGTTACAACAACTCGTCAAGATACTGGCAAGCCAGTGACTGAGATCTATGATGCCGTTCTTGTGTGCACAGGACATCACTGCACACCATACATCCCAGAGTTTAAAGGTGAGGGTGAGGTATTTTCCTCTCAAGAATGAAGTCATGTTTTATGGCTAAAATTGTATTATGTAGTTGAAAAGCTTGAGAATTCAATTCTGTGCAATGAGAGATATATACTCATTTTGTTATGTTGTTATGCCGGGACTGTTAAATGTTCAAGTCTTTGTGCAAGGCATATTCTCCAGAACATGTTTCCATCAGAGTTAAATTGTAGAGTACAAGCACAGTTGTAGAAGATTATTATAACTGAATTTCAAAACAAAACAAAAGCATAAGAAGAGAGAGAGAGAGGTTTGAGGCAACTTTTAACAGAGCCGCATACAGTATGTGTAGTCAGTTATAAATGCCAGTAGGTATTCTGTTAGTATGCTATAGTACAAAGCTACATAGCACAGTTGTTTCTTTATCTCTCAGTGTGACCCCAATAATATAGTACATGTAGGCACATGTATGTGATACCTCTCTGTCTGTTTTGTTTCTTTCTTGTCACTTTTAGGACTGAAAGAGTTCAAAGGTCAAATCCTACATACGCATGATTACTTGACGTCTAAAGGATTTGAGAATAAACGCATCATGATCATTGGAGTGGGCAACTCTGGCTGTGATGCTGCTGTGGAGCTCAGCAGGGGTGCATCCCAGGTCAGTCCAAGGTCAGATGTTAAAGGTCAAGTCCTTATTAATGAATTGAGTAAACCATAAAGTCATAAAAAGAAATGCATCATTATAATTGGAGTTAGGTACTACTGGCTGTGATACTGCTGTGGAGCTCAGTAGGTGTGCATCCCAGGTCATAAGATCAAAGGTTAAAGGTCAGGGCCTCCCACTCATGGGTAGTTGAGGTCATGAGAAACAACTCATGACATGAGTTTGAAACTGCAGATTGTAGGTCATCATGCCAAGTAAGTTGTTTCTAGGGTAACAGGATGGGTTAAATTCTAAGCTATAAGACTTTGTGAGGTCACTTCAAGAGAATTTGTTTTTCATGTATTATTTCCTAAAGCAAATTTTATTTCAAATATCTGTTTGTTCTTGCTTTGATTAGGTCTACCTGAGTACAAGGCGGGGAACATGGATCATCCATCGTTTGGCAGATGGAGGAATGCCTGTGGATATCTTTGCTATTCGCAGAATGTACGATTTTCTTCCAGACTCCATTAAAGAAATAGGAATGAAGGGTGCTTTGCAGTAAGTATTAATATACAAATAATACACAACAGTTCGTTCGTTCGTGTCTCCTTAGATCAAGATTAATGTATCTTGATCTTTGGAGTAGTTGTTACAACCGGCCATGTCAGACACGTTGCCCTGGGGTGCGAAATAGGACTCTTGTAGTGTGCCCCCATTTAAAACAATTATACTATAACAGTTAACATTACATTTAATTAATAGTATGAAACTATTATGAATCAATTGATTTGGTCGATCCAGTTCGATGGCGCAAGCACGGCACTTTTGGACAGAGATCCTAATAATTACAGAGCTTGGTCTTGTTGCTCTGTTCGCCAGCAGTTTGAGGATATGGAATCCCGCGGCACATTACTCACAAGAGTTCTAACAAGCCAAGCTTATACAGAGCCTATAATAAGTAATGTTGTGCATGTACCACCCAAAGAAGAAGAAAAAAGAAGAAGAAAAATGAAGAAAGAAAAAAGAAGAAGAAAGAAGAAGAAAAAAAAAAGAAAAAAAAAAGGTTGGATTGCCATTTAACGATACCTGAATATTATTCCGTTATTTAATCAGGAAACAAAGTTTGATTTTTAACCTCAATCGTAAGAAATTAGTACGATTGCGTTATCGTATCAACCTTATCAACCTACTGTCAATATAAAGAGACGTCACAATGATGACTGCGTAAAAACGCTAAAACTCTTGTCCAATCAGATTCCCGATGTGCTCTTAACATCACATTGCTTCTTCAGCACTTTCCTCCAATCAGCTTGCAGCTAGGGGCCAACGTGATCAGATTGATCTATTCAATCCTATATCATTTTTCATCATGCGATTGTACAGAAAAGGACGTTACTAGTTAAGTATTTATTTACATAAAATTACAGCCAATATGAATTATACCGAAAGGTGTCTGGAACTTTCAAGTATCTCTTTTTTCCAGATTGGATCACGTGGAAATAAAAGAGAAAATGAAACATAATTATGCGGAGGATAAACTGATCACATGGCCGGGCGCTGGTTAGACTGATCACATGGCATACATTCTCTACAACTTTTGTTTTGTTTTGATTTTCTGCCAGTGATAATATTAAAGGTGGGATCCAGATACACCAGAGGCCCTCAATTTTTCTTTTCGGGGGGGGGGGGGGGGGGGGGGGGTCATCCCACTCCTGGAAAATATGAAAAATACAAACGAAAAAGTATAGCAAATACTGACTAAAGACTGCAACACGCTTTTAGGCTCTGGAGGGCCCAATAGTGCAGCATTTAGACTAATACAAATGAAAAAATCTTCTCGCTCAGTCCCTTGCATATATCCTTCAAAATGTACGAATAAGTATTGTAGAAAAACCTGTTTTCCCATTTGCACTGTAATAAGAAACTGCAATTATTTATATTTTCCCTGAGGAAAGTTTTCAATCACACATTCACCCTATATATATATATATATATAATTATTGCAAATATTTGTTATTTATACAAACCTGTACTAAACAAATCTAATCCATTATCAATAAATTTAAAAAACAACAGGTTTTGATATTTTCTGTAGGACCCTACAGAGCAAATTGGAGAGGAGCTCGCAAGATACTTCACTTAGTATCCCAATTTGTGTTTGATTTATCGCAACTTCAAGAATTCACTGCTTCTATTAAAACCAACTTGATATCAGGGTGGACTTCCCCTTTTAGATAGATCACATGAAACACTTATGATTCTTGTCATGTCGTACACATTAAAGGGAAATCCAACCCTAATACTAATATAGCCAAACAAAATGTGCAGTATGTTATCAACCTACTGTTGATATAAAGTAATGTCACAATGGTGACTGCGTAACACTAAAACTTATACACAACAGTGAGGACATTAGTAAGAATTACCCACACAATGTACCCTTGGAACACACCCAAGGCGAGGCCGAGGGTGATTGGACTGTTTCGAAGGTACCGATTGTGGGTAATTTTACTAATGCCTGAACAAAATGATGTGTATTATTTGTTTTATGAGATGATTTATTATTTGTTTCATAAAATGAAGTTTATAACATGATTTTACTAATGACCGGTTATTGGTAAAATTACGTGTTAGGTGAAATAAATGCCTGGTCACGTGTACGCTCTCAACCAATCATTTGATTAGGATCCCCTTCATCATCTTATAAACTAAACTAAACTTTATGTCTTTATTATGTATGATAAAAGGGTGGACATGTTCTAGTTCTAGTGAGAGGTCAATGTAAAAGATGTAATTGTGGTTTTACAGACAGGTCTCGATCAAACACATGTATAATGTCTGGGGACCAACTTGAATGCCACCATCACGAGTCTATTTCAAACCTGTCAAAGTCAATTGGTAGGTGAAGACTGAGAAGTATAGACCACAAGATATCTTGATTTGTAAAAGATGAGATCTTTTAAATGTTTAGCATTAAAACAATATGAAAAAAACTTGTTAATGCAGTAACTGAAAGGCTTAGATAAGTAGTAAGGTATTCATGAGAGAGAGGGCCAAACTGACTCCCCTCTCCTACCCTCCCCCACTTTGTATGTCTAAGTGAATGTTTTAAATACTAAATTTTAACTCATCTTTGTCATCTCTATATATATATTTATGTGGTTTGTGCTTTTATTTAAATTATATTTCTTTTTAATGTTATTGCATACAAGAATGTTATTTTACTCACAAAACACTATTTTTCTTCCTGTAGAAAACGAGTCGATCACAAGTTTCTCGGTATCCAACCTAACCACTCACCAATGGCACAACATCCAACAGTCAATGATTTTCTGCCGAACTGCATCATGAATGGATCAATTATTATCAAACCAGACGTGAAGCACTTCACATCAACTGGTGTCGTGTTCCAAGATGGAACCACCGAGGATCTAGATGTTGTCATTCTTGGGACGGGGTATGTCTTTCAATTCCCCTTTCTTGAAGATTCAGTGATTAAAGTAGAGCAGAACCAGCTACCACTCTACAAGTATGTCTTCCCAACAAACCTTCCACATCCAACCATTGCTTTCTTAGGGTACATCCAACCTTTAGGTGCCATTAATCCTATATCAGAGCTCCAAGCTAGATGGGCTACAAGAGTGTTCCAAGGTCTTACAAAGCTACCTACAGCAGATCAAATGAAAGCTAACCTGATCAGCAAACAAGAAGCCATGGCCAAGCGTTACGTCTCCTCTCAACGGCATACCATCCAAGTAGATTTTGTTAAGTACATGGATGATGTTGCTATAGAGTTTGGGGCAAAGCCAGATTTCTGGAAGATGTTACTCTCCGATCCTATCCTAGCTGTGAAGTGTGTTTGTGGTCCATATACACCCTATCAGTATCGTCTGGTCGGACCGGGTCAATGGAGGGGTGCTCGTGATGCTATTGTTAACATCTGGGATAGGATCAATAAACCTCTGCAAACCAGGAAGTTACAGGATACAAGTAGCAGCTTCTTTAATAGCTGGATGATTTTTGTGGTTCTCATATCTGTTGCTCTCTACTTTTATTGGTTTTGAGATGTTTTGATGGAAATCATCTTTGATCTGTATACAATTATATTATGCAATAAAATCATGTAGTATTTAGCTAACATTTGAAATAAAGATGTTTTAAAGGTAAAGACCAGTATTGGAAACGACCCAATTTCAAAAAATGAAATAGAAGCTCTCATTACCAATCATGTGAAAGAATATGTTTTGACTAATACATGATGATAAAAAATTTGCAGGGAAACCGCCTACTAATTCATATATTTGGTAAATTTGTTTCTCTCATGGTCTGTGAGAGATAAAGGGTAGTCCCATATACATCTTTCTGTGTATAGTGCTTGTAACTTTACGAAGAATGGGCCAAATTTCTTATCATTTTGATGATTCCAGAACCTTGCAGATGCTAGATGTTAGATGATCAACCTTTTCTGATCGATTCCACAACATTTCTTTCACAATGCAATCGCATGACCATAACTGGTCTTTACCTTTAACATTCTGTATATTAAACCCGACATCAACGCCAGTAAAAAGAGAAAGAGTGTGAGGGGACAAAATAACGACAGAGAGCCAAAGATGGAGACATTCCTATTTAATCATTCAATTATTATGTAGATGTTTGCCTCTTAATCGAAATTGAACCTATTTCTTCATATTTAATGTTTTCTCTATAAAACTCATGTACAGTAAATCTTCATTTTTCTATCTAAGGTAACCTTAGAATCAAGTTATGATTTTCTAATTTATTTTATTTTGTATTTTTCATAAATAAATGAATGTGAGTCAAAAAGGTGAATGCTTGTCTATCTTTAATTCTGTCTTTGGTCCCTATAGCTTTGATTGAAGCCATATCTTCTGTATTTGTATTGCACACTATTAAAGGTCAAGCATACTCACACCAACTTCATCACTTTTCACAACAAGGTCATCTTTGGGAGCTTCTCCTTTCTCAATATATAGATTCATAATTTGTTTTAATAATGATTTTGTAAAGATAAGTTATGGAGGCCATAACGCTTAGTTTTAAAGAACTAAACTACAGTGAACTAAAAAGGTTACCCCAAGGAAAAAAATCAGACAATGTACATCGAAGTTTGTATGTCAGGAGAAATTAGGAGCTTATTATTATTATTATTATTAGGAGCTTACATCGAGAGGTAAAGAATAGAGTACAGAAGCTGTGACGTCATACAAATTCAGAATTTCTCAATTTTTTCTTCATTTTCCGAAAGAGCATCAAAAATAATGTACAAATGTCAAAAAACCAATTGAATATGTTAAGTATTGGCTGAGATATGACCATCTGAAATTCTAAATAAATATATGTCCTATAGGAACTCAGTGTTATATGCTCTGGCTCCTAATCATGATAGTACAATATCATTGCATCATACAATTAACAAAAATGAAAAGGATACTTGTGCATCAAAATTTAAGATTAGAACATATATTCTTATCATATCAGAAAATATTGATGGCTTTCAAGAGATTGAAGTTATTTACGAGACTTTAATGCCACGATATATACCTGTAGTATTTGTATATCACTTTGGTTCTTGTATTTTGCTACATTTTTTTAAGCCGTCAATTATTTATTTGTTTTTAATTTGTGTTAATTCTCAAACAGACATATTTAAACTTAACATGCCTTTTAAATGTTTAATCTAGTAGAAGGAAATTTACCTGTCTGAGACCATTGTGTATGTCTGACTACACGTATCCATCGTTAAAGGTATACACCAGTTTTGGAAACGTCCCCTCTCAAAAAATGAAATGGTAGCTCTTATTACCAATCATGTGAAAGAATATGTTTTGACTATGCCGGGAAACTGCCTAATAATTGATATATTTGGTAAATTAGTTTATCTATTGGGACAAAATAGATGATATGCATGTGTCGCGCACGTAGTCCCATGTACATCTTTCTGTGTACAGTGCTTGTAACTTTATGAAGACTGGGCAAATTTCTTATCATTTTGATGATTCCAGAACCTTGCAGTACACACGAATACTTATATGCTAGATGATCAACCTTTTCTGATCGATTCCACGTTTCTTTCAATGCAATCCATACTACCCTGCATTCATAGCAATTACATGCTTGCGTTTTTTTACCAATCGGAGACCAAGAATCTTCCTACATTTGGTAAATAATAAGTGAAACATGATATCACTGTGATGGCAATCTGTTCATTGCCGTAGAGAAAGAACACTCCTCTTGTTTTGTGACTTGTGAAATTTGTGAATGTACTAAAGCAAGGGTGTATGTGGATTAATCTTAATATGACTAAATTCTCATTATTGACCTGGTTGTTCCATCAGTGTCGGATCATCATGTGTAATTTTATATCTCGTTCAAATCTTGTATGTGTGAGTGGTTTGATAATAATAATAATAATAATAATAGCCTAATAGTCCACTCCAAATTTTTTTTGATATGGATATTATCATTGTTTTTAGCTTAGGAGATTGGAAAGGAGATTTGACAGTACTTTAGATTTCATGTCTTTCATTGATAATGTATAAAGAAAAATTGTAAAAGAGAACAAATTTGAAAGAGATATTTATGGCATCTAAGGAATCGTAGATGTTACAATTAATAGAAATTATGAAAATATTTTTGTGGGAACACAAAATGTAAGAAGCTAGTTTATAGTGTGGTAGTTTGGTTTTTACAAAGCTTATTCATTATTCATTTTTTAAAACTCTATGATTAGATTAGACCTTTTGGTATCGATCTCTTCTGTTTTAAATACTTAGATAGATATCGTGTATCCATCGTTTAATACATCTCCTGCTATCTTCCAAATTTGTTTGTTTTGTATTCATGTTTTCAAGAGACAATCCAAATGTATACACATACAACATTATCAAATACACCGTCATAGTGTTTTGTATAAACTTTGTGTAGACTAAAAAAAATCTTGCAATTATTTTATTTCAAGGATAACTTGAAGTTTCATAGTAAAAAGACAAGATTATTTTAAAATTTCTGAAATTTATAACCTTTTAACTTTAAGGTAATGTTCAAATTATGCAATTTTAATTCATATCTGTAAATACTTCAAATTTTTAATAAAACTTCAATTTTAATGTATATTCATACTCAGGTGTATTACATTGTCAAATAAGTATATTTTTGTAATGATTTACTGGTTTTAATTTGTACCAAAGAATGATTTAAATGTACATGTAGAATCATCCAAAAATGATGACATGCTTAACCAATATAAACTAAAACATAAACATGTGGTATTATGACATCTTTGGTATGTTACTTTGAATAAATAAACATGGCATTAAAAATGAACTATAATTTGTTGCTTGCATTTACATTTTTAGTCTTGGCATAGGGAAAGATTGCGATATAACTCTAAAACTTTTTCTCTCCTCTCTCTTTCCCCCTTTCTCCCTCTGACCACATGTGACCACACTTGTAAAGTAAACAATACAACTGCATAAACTTGATATAAAATATTAATTAATCTTTGTTTATTGTCAACACGTTATAATACAATTTGCTATAAAAGTATGAAAAATGTAAAAATTGGTCAGATGAGTTACACATACATGTATCACAAAATTAAAGTCATCAGGTTGAATGGATGACCAAAGAATGATTAGAGATATTCAATTATTGATAGAATCATGCAGATCATGGCAATCATCACACAATTAAATGGTACTCTGACATCACTTTTTAAAAAGTGATTTCAATAATCAAATGTTAGGTGATAATGTGTAGCACTAATGATATGTGTGATACAGTAAAATACACATGTCATAAATTTAAGGATATATTTCACATTTAAAAATGCTTCTTGTTTTTTAAGTCTGTTAAGAACACTTGGACAATACATAATACTGGTAAATGTTTTCATTATAAAGCGAACATGACTATGAGGTTAAATCCTATGCTAAAAAACCCAACACCTATAATTTATTTTGAAAGACATGAGAAAGAAGAAGATAGAGCCATAAGAGCATACAAGTCATTTTAATTATATGAGAAATAAAATCATTTAGCACTACATATTAAAATGTCAATGGTTTAAAACTGTTAATTTATGTCTAGAAATTATTTCCTTTTAGTATATAAAGAAGATGTCTAGAGAAAAAAAATAGAGTCAAATTAATACAGAGATTATATATATATATATATATATATATATATATATATATATATATCTATAGTTCCAAACATAGATCATGATTTTCATATTTTTGTGGTATTCCCAATAATCATATTTTTGCTTTATACCCTGTCCGTAGTAAAACAGAGTTAAAAAGTAATATATGCCAAATACAATAAAATACACATACATGTAGGTACACAGAGGGCACAATATTCATCAAATAATATATCATTACAAATTTACAAAATTTTCCTGGGAATGTATTAGCCACTATTGTTTGTGCATTATATTTCCAATAAATAGCATAAGAAAAGTTGTCTCTCCTCCTCTAGTTAGAAGTTCACAGCCAACCCACATCCTGGTAAAAGTCTGTAGAAGAAATAAGAACATTTCCATCATTATAATTTTGTTATATCAGTATAATTTTTGTGTCGTTACAAAAGGAGGGCTTATGTAAAAATAAGGAATATCCAGGGGGGGGGGGGGTGTTTAATCAAGACTAAGATTGACTTTAAGTTGGACTAACTATATCAGGCCATTCATGCAACTGTTTGCTCTCACCATTTACTGGCATTGGTCTCTCATACACGTACAAATCATGGTCACATTGGTCTCTCATACACGTACAAATCATGGTCACATTGGTCTCTCATACACGTACAAATCATGGTCACATTGGTCTCTCATACACGTACAAATCATGGTCACAAATCTAGAATTAAAAAATGTTGATAATTCATTATTGAAGGAAAAGACATTATCAAAAGATCATAATGGTGAGAGCAAACAGTGGCATGAAAGGCCTGCCATAGTTACATAACCATAATAACCGCATAGATTTATTGCATTCTTGCCCATCAATCAAAGTGTATAAGAAAGACGTAAAGCAAGAATTAAGTACAGTTTCTCAGCAAGACATGGGCATCAACATTTTCTTGATTGCATAACGTACTATGCTGAGTCGTTTATCAGCTAAATGTATTCAAATTTATGGATGCTTCCTTCCCAGGTGTTTATGGTGCTGAATCATTTCATGCACCTGCTATTATCCTTTGTACTGCAATTGCCAGAACGCAAGTTGCATAAATAAGTTGGTGCTGTTCTGTGTTGAAGGTTTCGCATGAATGAAATAGATTTTTCAACTGTTATATTTAATTTTTTTTTAAATGAATGAGTTGCAATTGTTACCCTATTATATATATTTTTCACCAAATGTAATTTTTGCCCTCTAGGCTATGATTTTGAGTCATTGAAAAATAAATGTTTTTGTTATTGAATTAAAAAATCTTTCTAATCAAAGCTTGGTGCATAATACATGTACAACTCTGCCTGGTACGTCACATTTTCAAGAAAATGGCTGCGCCCATGTCATGCTAAAAGGCATTAAATCTTCCTTTATATATCTATCTCTTGATACATTTGCATGTTTGTAACATTTATTGTACATCAAAGGGCTGGAATTTATCTTATTTTTCAAAATAACTACACTTATTCTTTGGGGTAAGTTCTCCTTTATGTCCAGCTTAAATTCGATCTTAGTCTTTGTGATACACTCCCCTTGTCTTCCTTAGCACAACACCTCATCATGTTTATGAGTAGACATAAATAATTCAAAATGGTAGTTATAGAATCGGTGTAATAAAATTAGCAGAATCCTTTTGTTCATGGTCGACTGAGCACAAAATTAAAGACAAAAAGACCATATTTTTAAATTCACAAAAACAATGTCATTCATTCATTTATTGAAAGGCATTAAACTTTCTGTTCAATAATGTGTGCATTAACAACACTTGTTATTGACCTCAATACAAAAGGCATGTTCAGAAGGGGCTGTGACTGTCTTAGTAGGTGTAAGTTTAGCCCTGCATTTATTTTCAAACATTTTTTGGGGAATCCCCACTGCTTTTTATTGCCCATTTCCTCCAACACTAATAATTTCTTGTAATAATTTCAATCCAATTTAAGTGATAGAAATCGAAACACATCTTTCCACATTAGGTCAAGAAATTCACTTGAGGTTGGACATTATTTACTTCTCAACTTGACTTCAGTAAAGATTTGTTGAAGAAATACAAAAATAGATCGACCTTCGACTGCGCGCAACGATGCCTCTGCCATAGAGCCATTTTACAAACCAAAATGGAAGCAATCTTAAAAAAATTAAAGTTTGATTGTAATCCTTAACAGGTTCTCAGAATATATCGTGATTACAAGGTATTTTTCATTAGCATGTATAACTCTTTGATCTTTGACCTCGTGACCCCAAAATCTAATCAGTTCATTAGCTCTGCAAAATACATACATGACCCAATTTTGTCAGGAATTTATCGATCGGTTCTTGAGATAACGCGATCACAAGAAGGGGACGTATGGACAACATAATGCCTCCGGCTACTTCGTAACAGAGGTATAAAAGGGAAACATTAGGACAGTGTACATGTATGTTCCGGCCATTGTACTGCAACAGAATACAAAGATCCAACTTTTTTCTAATTTTTTTTTTAATGAGCTAGGTACCCTTTGCAACGTTGAACGCAATTTTAGAGGCACAGTCAAACTTGTCTATTGTATGGAGCGCCAAAGGGGCCAATATCAACAGTCACAAAAACAAACAAAGATGCATACAAACAAACAAAGAAGCATACAAACAAACAAAGGACAGAGCAAAATAGACAAAGTACCCAGAAGAAAGGACCAATTAACAAAGAATAAATCAAAGGTCAGAGCAAAATAGACAAAGTACAGGTCAGAAGAAACAGAGGGCGTTTTGGTTTACGGTAAGCAAATAGACATCAAGCACGAAAACGAGAAAGGACAAACTCAAAAGGACATCAGCTCAGCTACGAAGTGACCCTCAAAGGACAACAGAGGGCGTTTTGGTTTACGGTAAGCAAATAGACATCAAGCACGAAAACGAGAAATGACAAACTCAAAAGGACATCAGCTCAGCTACGAAGTGACCCTCAAAGGACAACAGAGGGCGTTTTGGTTTACGGTAAGCAAATAGACATCAAGCACGAAAACGAGAAAGGACAAACTCAAAAGGACATCAGCTCAGCTACGAAGTGACCCTCAAAGGACAACAGAGGGCGTTTTGGTTTACGGTAAGCAAATAGACATCAAGCACGAAAACGAGAAAGGACAAACTCAAAAGGACATCAGCTCAGCTACGAAGTGACCCTCAAAGGACAACAGAGGGCGTCCTCGAGGTTTTTTTCTTTTTAATCTAGGGCCTACTCCAATATAATACGCTGTAGGTCAATACAACAAATATGGGCTTTCATCGAAAGGGTGCGGTGCGGTGCGGTGTGGTGTGCTCAACGCACCCATTCGATAAAAGAGGGGGGCCTTTTCTCGAAAGGGTGCGTTGAGAGCGGAGTACCATTTTAACACACCCTTTCGATGAAAGCGGGGGGGGGGGGGCTTTTCTCGAAAGGGTGCGTCGACTAGTCTTTCGCATCAGTCGTTTAAAATGAGGATCTCGGACAGAAGGTAATAGTTGCCAATTTAAGTATATCGAAAATGTATTAAATGAAATGGAATGGTCTTGATTACAGAGTGGTCTCTTTGATGGGGGAGACAGAGAGAAGGAAAAAAGGGAAAGGGAAGATAAAAGGAAAGAAAGAAGAATAAGAAGAGAAGAGGGAATAAGGTGGGGGGCGAAGGACTCTTGCCCCCCCCCCCCCCGCCAAAAAATAAATCAGAGAGAGAGAGAAAGAGAAGGGAAAGGGAAAGAAGATAAAAGGAAAGAAAGAAGAAGAAGAAGAAGAAAAGAGGTAAACGGGGGCAAAGGGCTTTTGCCTCTCCCCCCCCCCCCCGCCAACAAATAAATAGGAGAGAGAGAGAAGGGAAAGGGAAAAGGAAAGAGAAGATAAAAGGAAAGAAAGAAGAGGAAAAAGAAAAAAAGAGGGACACGGGGGCGAAGGGCTCTTGCCCTCCCCCACCCCCCCCCCCCCCAGAAAAAAAAGTAAGAGAGAGAGAGAGAGAGAAGGGAAAGGGAAAGGGAAAGAGAATATAAAAGGAAAGAAAGAAGCATAAGAAGAAAAGAGGGAAAGGGGGCGAAGGGCTCTTGCCAACAAAATAAATAAGAGAGAGAGAGAAGGGAAAGGGAAAGAGGAGATAAAAGGAAAGAAAGAAGAGGAAAAAGAAGAAGAAAAGAGGGAAACGGGGGCGAAGGGCTCTTGCCCTCCCCCCCCCCGCCAAAAATAAATAAGAGAGAGAGAAGGGAGAGGGAAAGAAAATATAAGAGGAAAGTAAGAAGAGGAATAAGAAGGAAAGAGGGAAACGGGGGAAGGGCGAAGGGCTCTTGCCCCCCCCCCCTGCCAACAAAATAAATAAGAGAAAGAGAGTGAAGGGAAAGGGAAAGAAAATATAAAAGGAAAGAAAGAAGAGGAAAAAGAATAAGAAAAGAGGGAAACAGGGGCGAAGTGCTCTTGCCTCCTCCCTCCCCCCCCCGCCAAAAAATAAATAAGAGAGAGAGAGAGAATCTGTTCTGATCCTGGTCCTGATCCTCAAGAGGGATATAAAGATGACCAATAAGAACGTTATCGTTCGAGAGAGAGTGTTTGTTGCTTCTAGAACATTTTAGAATTAAGTCCCATCACATTGCAGTTGTGGGGAGGGACTATGATTATATTACCCCCTTGGATGGCTTCCCATAAGAGTCCGGCTTTGAAGGTTTCGACTGCGTCGCAGGCAAAGATGCTGGGGGGGGGGGAAGTAAATTCCAGGCCCGTATGGTTCTTGGAAAGAAGGTGAGTCGATATATATCCGTCTTGCATCTTATGTTGGAGAAGGAGAGGGAAAGAGAAGATAAAAGGAAAGAAAGAAGAGGAAGAGGAAGAAGAATTTGTGTTCTGCCAGTGTCACAAATAGATATAAAAATATGCTCATCTGACCGTTATTTATTGCCCAAAACCCCTGAGCTTCTGGGTGCTCCACCCCCTGGACCCCACGCCAATTCGTGACCCCTGTGTCACAAATAAGGTATAAAATAATAATTATTTAATGGACAAAACTCCTGAGCTTCTGGGGGCTCCGCCCCCTGGACCCAACACCAAATTGTGTCCTGCCACTGTCACAAATAAGGTATAAAATTATGCTCATCCGACGTTAATTTTGATGTTTAATACCCCTGAGCTTCTGAGGGCTCCGCCCTGTGAAAAAAACGTGTAAAAAAACACGTTAATTTTTACCGTTTTTGGGAGATACCCCCCCCCTGGCGTTCAAGGGGGGGGGGGGTACGATTTTTCAAATTTTTGAGGGCCCCAAAAAAGATTAGTGCTCTCTAGTAATTTCGCGACTACTCCGGAACCGCGGCAGTTTTTCTTTCATGACTTTTTTCTTTCGAGTCTTACGCATCTTTTGAAACATATTTTTGTTGAAAATCGGACGTATAATTGCGGAGTCACGTGACCTTTTGTTTTTGCATGTCAAAAAAATCTAAAATCGCTCATTTTTGTGATTTATGTACCAAACATATGGAAATACCATTTATTCTTTTAAAAAAAGAGAAAACATTGGTTATTTGGTCTTGTTTCAAGTAAATTTGTTTGATTTGGGGTAAAAATAGTTGAATTGTGGTTAGAAATGAAATGAAATAACAAAATAATATAATACATAAATACAAATAATCAAAACAAGAGATAACATAGGGATAAACTGGCTCTTCCAACTTTGTTGTCGTATTATTATTCTAACGAATATATGAAGTGAAAAAGAACGCTCGAATATGAATTATATATGATTTATGGGTAAAAATGTGAATTCTCTGACCTTGTTTGCATAAATTACCATAAATATGCATTTTCGCGGCGATCGGCTGTGAAACGGCCGAGATCTTAGGAGGTCCCCCCCCCCCACCCTCAAGTCCACTCCAATCACATTGAAAAAAAGTATGACTTAAATCATCTCTCTCATCATTATACCGCTATAGTATTCATGTTTTTAATATTATTTATTTTCCATTAAACAAGTTCATAGAGAAAATACTTATCTCTCTGCAACATTAAAAAAGAATCTTCATTAATATGTCTTAATTTGTATTGATAGCCTTGTGGTCGCCAACAGTGGCGAAGGCAGGGGCGTCTCCAAAGGGGGTGTGGGGGTGCGACACCCCCCCCCCACCTGTCAGGATATTGTCGGTAAAATTGCGCTGCCGTCGGGAAAAAGAGAAAAGGGGGAGGGGGAAAAAGAGAGTAAAAGGGAAAGAAAAGAAAAAAAGAAAAAGAAAAGAAAAAAAGAAAAGAAAGGAAAGAAAAGAGAAGAAAGAAAAGAAAGAAAGAGAAAAACGAAAAAGCGGGAGAATAGGAAAGAAAGGAGGCAAGAGCCCTTTGCCCCCGTTACCCTCTTTTCTTCTTCTTCCTCTTCTTTCTTTCCTTTTATCTTCTCTTTCCCTTTCCCTTCTCTCTCTCTCTTATTTATTTTTTTGGCGGGGGGGGGGGGGGAGGAGGGGAAGAAGGGCTAGGAGGCAAGAGCCCTTCGCCTCCGTTTCCTTCTTTTTCCTCTTCTTTCTTTCCTTTTATCTTCTCTTTCCCTTTCCCTTTCCCTTCTCTCTCTTACTTATCTTTTGGCGGGGGGAGGAGGAGGAGGCAAGAGCCCCTCTTTTCTTCATATTCTTCTTCCTTTCCTTTTTTATTCTCTTTCCCTTTCCTTTTCCCTTCTCTCTTTCTCTCTTATTTATTTTTTGGCGGGGGGGGAGGCAAGAGCCTTTCGCCCCCGTTTCCCTCTTTTCTTCTTCTTCTTCCTCTTCTTTCTTTCCTTTTATCTTCCCTTTCCCTTTTTTCCTTCTCTCTGTCTCCCCCATCAAAGAGACCACTCTGTAATCAAGACCATTCCATTTCATTTAATACATTTTCGATATACTTAAATTGGCAACTATTACCTTCTGTCCGAGATCCTCATTTTAAACGACTGATGCGAAAGACTAGTCGACGCACCCTTTCGAGAAAAGCCCCCCCCCCCCCCCCCGCTTTCATCGAAAGGGTGTGTTAAAATGGTACTCCGCTCTCAACGCACCCTTTCGAGAAAAGGCCCCCCTCTTTTATCGAATGGGTGCGTTGAGCACACCACACCGCACCGCACCCTTTCGATGAAAGCCCATATTTGTTGTATTGACCTACAGCGTATTATATTGGAGAAGGCCCTAGATTAAAAAGAAAAAAACCTCGAGGACGCCCTCTGTTGTCCTTTGAGGGTCACTTCGTAGCTGAGCTGATGTCCTTTTGAGTTTGTCCTTTCTCGTTTTCGTGCTTGATGTCTATTTGCTTACCGTAAACCAAAACGCCCTCTGTTGTCCTTTGAGGGTCACTTCGTAGCTGAGCTGATGTCCTTTTGAGTTTGTCCTTTCTCGTTTTCGTGCTTGATGTCTATTTGCTTACCGTAAACCAAAACGCCCTCTGTTGTCCTTTGAGGGTCACTTCGTAGCTGAGCTGATGTCCTTTTGAGTTTGTCCTTTCTCGTTTTCGTGCTTGATGTCTATTTGCTTACCGTAAACCAAAACGCCCTCTGTTTCTTCTGACCTGTACTTTGTCTATTTTGCTCTGACCTTTGATTTATTCTTTGTTAATTGGTCCTTTCTTCTGGGTACTTTGTCTATTTTGCTCTGTCCTTTGTTTGTTTGTATGCTTCTTTGTTTGTTTGTATGCATCTTTGTTTGTTTTTGTGACTGTTGATATTGGCCCCTTTGGCGCTCCATACTATTGAGGTCACTCAAAGGAGACAAAGAAAGTGGCCATTGTAGACAGGTGGCCTTTCTACACAGGTTCTACATGAAACATTCCATTCATGAGAGAAACAAAATGCATGGTCACGATAGACAGGTGGCCTTCTTTAGAAAGGTTGCTAATAAGACAGGTTTGACTGAATAATGAAAGAAGACTTACCAGGTCTGAGCCTAAACTGTGATAAACTGCCATTCAGCAAAGTAGTAAGGTGTGTTGCTGTCATCATTATCAGTTACATAGAGGAAAGACACCATAGTATCCGATGTGTAGGTCGCACTTGCTGGTAAAGTTATATCGTTGCTACAGAAGTTCGTCTCTCCTGCTACATTAGCAGTCAACTGTAGTTTAGAAAAATACAAAGTGACAGAAATATTAGGTAGTTGAGTTTGCTCCAGATACAAAGGTCAGTTTGTACATGTATAGTTACAATCTACGCATCTGTACAAAACTATAAGATCCACTAAGACAAATACACGTTCATCATAGTCCATTAATCATTATTCAATTATGCATCGATGGTATATTCTATGGAACACAGTAAGTGGAAGTATTTCTCTTAAGAGGGGATAAAAAAAGGTATTCATGAAACACGTCCATCACTTTGATAATGAATATTCTAAAATGCACAACGTGAGACATCTCCATGTTTAAAAGATCTCTAGATATTTGGGGTCTTTTGTCCAAGTGCTTTCCCTGAATTGGTCTATTAATTGCTACTGGCCGCATGTCAAGGTTTGTGAATAGGGTTGTTGTGTGTTACGTTCAGGCCCAATTGCACTCTGGGAAGTTCGCTGACTAAGTCGCTTCCGGTCTATTTTCGCGCAGCTGTGTTGTGCATGCCGACATGTGTATATTTTCTGACAATAATTACAGTGATATATCAAACCATTTTCAAGTGATTTCAAGAGTGGATCATTACAAAAACATATGAAAATATTGTTAAACATACCTGAAATAATATATTTAGATGTGTGATGGGCAAGAGCATGTAGATATATAAACATAGGACAACTAAATAAAGCAATAGGTTAGTGCATTAAAACTGAATTAGGCTAGCTCTTTTAATTAATCTAGGAGATACATGTTTCTTTCACTTATCCCCAGACTGACGAGTCATGTTTATAACATATTACAGTCACTTAAAGGGGCATGAGAGCATGGCTATATAAACTAAAGCAGAACATGGCTATACAGTTGTTAGGATAAAAATGTGGGCTTAATACCTATTAAAGCCGCATCATCGAACAAACTCCACACCGATTTCAAACTTATCGATTCTTTTCCATTTGGGGGTAATGTAACTATTTTTTGTTCCATCTGTTGTCTAGAGTCTGTCTGGAGTCGGTGTGGAGTCGGTGTGGAGTCGGTGTGGAGTCGGTGTGGAGTCGGTGTGGAGTCTGTGTGAAGTCGGTGTGAAGTCGGTCTGGAGTCGGTCTTGTGGGTGAAACTGGGGTACAGTATTAGACTAAAACTAACCTTAATATACTCCGAGCAGCTAGCATCGAGGTTGAATTCAACGATCATGATGTTCAGCACAGTCCCTTGGGGTATGATGAAAGTAATAGGACAGAATAGTCCACTGGGTGATGAGTTAGGGTAGTTAGGACTTGAGAGGTTTCCTGAGACCATGGATGCTCCATCGATGGTGTAGTTACAATCTACATAGAAATACAATCAAACCTTCATGACTACTCATTCTTAATAAACAGTGCACACAGAAAAACAATCAAACCTTCCTCCCTCTCCCTCCCTCCCCCTCCCTCCTTCCCTCCCCCCTCCCTCCTTCCCTTCTTCCCTCCCCATCCTTCCCTCCCTCCCCCTCCCTCCTTCCCTTCCCCATCCTTCCCTCCCTCCCCCTCCCTCCTTCCCTTCCCCCTCCCTCCTTCCCTTCCTCCCCATCCTTCCCTCCCTCCCCATCCTTCCCTCCCTCCCCCTTCCTCCCTTCCTCCCTCCCCATCCTTCCCTCTCTCCCCCTCCCTCCTTCCCTTCCCCCTCCCTCCTTCCCTCCCTCCCCCTCCCTCCTTCCCTTCCCCCCTCAGAAAAAGGGAAAAATGTTTGACTGGTAAGTACGGTAAAGTAAAATGTTTGCTCTTTCATTAACATTTTATGAGAGAATTGTAAAGCAAAGTTTTTGTTGGGGTTGCAGGGGTTTACTTGTACATGTTTCTTTGCGATTCTGCTGTTTTTATGGGTTTAAAAAAAATAAAAATAGTTTTTTGTTTTTTAGTTTTTTATGAAAAATCGTATTTTAAGATCGTAAGATCATATTTCACTCTTAATATCGTACTAATACGATTTAATCGTACTGGTTGGCATCTCTGCCGTTTTATAGGCTGAAGGGGACGTTGCATCCTCCCATGACCTTGAGGCGCGTCTTGGTGGACGGCATCCCATGACCCCGAGGCGCGCCTGGGTGGACAGCCTCCCATGACAGATGGCTAGATTTCTGAAGAGAGGTTTATAATATCTTGTATGATAAAATTCACTTACCAGACACAACTACAAAGAAGGTGCAATATTCTGTATTTCCTGCATCATCACTTGCAGAGTAGGTTACTGTGTTGTTTCCAATAGTGAAGTCATCTCCAGGATTGTTAGTGGATGTCAGTGTCTGGTTACCAGAGTTATCTGTTGCTGTAGGTGGTGTCCAGGTTACTACAGCTGCATTCCCAATGGATGTGGCGACATTCTGATCACTTGGGCATCCACTAATGACTGGATTCTCATTATCTGTGAGAAAGATTATATGAGATAGAAAAATATTGCAGTTCTAAAATCTGATTCCAGCTCTCACTAGAGATTACCAAACTGTTTTTCAGAAGATGAAGTGTAGGAAAAGCACTTACCAGACACAACTACAAAGAAGGTGCATATCGGTTCTAATGATAATGCGTTCACAGGCTATTTATAGGTATTCACAATGAGCCCCATGACCTTTGACCTCATGACCCCAAAATCTAATCAGTTCATTGGCTCTGCAAGATACATACATGGCCCAAGTTAAACGGGAATCCATCAATCTGTTCTTGAGATAACGCGATCGCGATAACGGGACTTACAGACGTACGGACGGACAACCCCAAAACATAATGACTCCGGCTACTTTGTAGCGGAGGCATGAAAATGTAGCATTTCTAAAATCTGATTACAGCTCTCACTAGAGATTACCAAACTGTTTTTCAGAAGATGAATTACAAGAGAAGCTCTTACCAGACACAACTACAAAGAAGGTGCATGTTTCTGTATTTCCTGCATCATCATTTGCAGAGTAAGTTACTGTGTTGTTTCCAATAGGGAAGTCATCTCCAGGATTGTTAGTGGATGTCAGTGTCTGGTTACCAGAGTTATCTGTTGCTGTAGGTGGTGTCCAAGTTACTACAGCTGTAGCATTCCCAATGTCTGTGGCGACATTCTGATCACTTGGGCATCCGCTAATGACTGGAATCTCATTATCTGTGAGAAAGATTATATGAAATAGAACTAGATGGAACTTCGAAAATGATGCCTTCGTCATAGAGCAATTTCACAAACCAAAACAGAAGAAATTTTTCAAATTCAAGTTCAATTGTAATCAATTAACAGGTTCTCAGAATATCGTGATTACAAGCAATTTCTCATATACATATATGACCCTTTGATCTTTGACCTCATGACCCTAAAATCTACTCAGTCCATTGGCTCTGCAAGATGTCCTGAGTTAAATAGTAATCCATCTGCCAGTTCTAATGAGAATGCGTTCACAAGCTATTTTGACCTCATGACCCAAGAATCTACTCAGTTCATTGGTTCTGCAAGATACATAAATGATCTAAGTTTGGCAGGAACCCATCAATCTGTTCTAATGATAATATGATCACAAGCTATTTTTGCATACATAATGAGCCCTGTGACCTTTGACCTTTGACCTCATGACCCCAAAATCTAATCAGTTCATTGGCTCTGCAAGATACATAAATGACCAAAGTTTGGCAGGAATCCATCAATTAGTTCTTCAGATAACGCGATCATGAGAACGGGACGTACGTATGTACGTACGGATGGACGGACGGACAACCTGAAAACATAATGCCTCCGGCTACTTCGTAACGGAGGCATAAAAATATTGTATTTCTAAAATCTGATTCCAGCTCTCACTAGAGATTACCAAACTGTTTTTCAGAAGATGAAGTACAAGAGAAGCACTTACCAGACACAACTACAAAGAAGGTGCATGTTTCTGTATTTCCTGCATCATCACTTGCAGAGTAGGTCACAGTGTTGTTTCCAATAGGGAAGTCATCTCCAGGATTGTTAGTGGATGTCAGTGTCTGGTTACCAGAGTTATCTGTTGCTGTAGGTGGTGTCCAAGTTACTACAGCTGTAGCATTCCCACTGTCTGTTGTGACATTCTGATCACTTGGGCATCCACTAAAGACTGGATTCTCATTATCTGTGAGAAAGATTTTATGAGATAGAAAAAGGTTGCATTTCTAAAATCTGATTCCAGCTCTCACTAGAGATTACCAAACTGTTTTTCAGAAGATGAAGTGTAGGAAAGCACTTACCAGACACAACTACAAAGAAGGTGCATATCGGTTCTAATGATAATGCGTTCACAGGCTATTTATAGGTATTCATAATGAGCCCCATGACCTTTGACCTCATGACCCCAAAATATAATCAGTTCATTGGCTCTGCAAGTTACATACATGGCCCAAGTTAAATGGGAATCCATCAATCTGTTCTTGAGATAACGCGATCGCGATAACGGGACTTACAGACGTACGGACGGACAACCCCAAAACATAATGGCTCCGGTTACTTTGTAGCGGAGGCATTAAAATGTAGCATTATTAAAATCTGATTCCAGCTCTCACTAGACATTACCAAACTGTTTTTCAGAAGTTGAAGTACAAGAGAAGCACTTACCAGACACAATTACAAAGAAGGTGCATGTTTCTGTATTTCCTGCATCATCACTTGCAGAGTAGGTTACTGTGTTGTTTCCAATAGGGAAGTCATCTCCAGGATTGTTAGTGGATGTCAGTGTCTGGCTACCAGAGTTATCTGTTGCTGTAGGTGGTGTCCAGGTTACTACAGCTGTAGCATTCCCAATGTCTGTTGTGACATTCTGATCACTTGGGCATCCACTAAAGACTGGAATCTTATTATCTGTGAGAAAGATTATGAGATATAACTAGATGGAACTTTGACTGCGCGCAGTTGAGAATGATGCCTCAGCCATAGAGCGATTTTACAAACCAAAACGGAAGCAATATTTTTAATATTTAAGTTTGATTGTAATCCATTAACAGTTCTCAGAACATCGTGATTATGAGCTATTTTTCATATGCATGGCTCTGCAAGATAAATTCATGTCCTGAGTATGATAGTAATCCATCTGTCGGTTCTAATGATAATGCGTTCACATGCTATTTACAGCCATACATAACGAGCCCCATGACCTTTGACCTCATGACCCCAAAATCTAATAAGTTCCCTGGCTCTGCAAGATACATACATGACCCAAGTTTGGCAGGAATCCATCAATCAATTCTTGAGATAAAGCAATCAATTCTTGAGATAAAGCGATCACAAGCTATTTTTGCAAACATAGTGAGCCCTGTGACCTTTGACCTCATGACCCCAAAATCTAATCAGTTCATTGGCTCTGCAAGATACATACATGACCTAAGTTTAACAGGAATCCATCAATCTGTTCTTGAGATAACGCGATCCCGATAACGGGACTTACAGACGTACGGACAACCCCAAAACATAATGACTCCGGCTACTTTGAAGCAGAGGCATGAAAATGTAGCATTTCTAAAATCTGATTCCAGCTCTCACTAGAGATTACCAAACTGTTTTTCAGAAGATGAAGAGTAAGAAAAGCACTTACCAGACACAACTACAAAGAAGGTGCATATCGGTTCTAATGATAATGCGTTCACAGGCTATTTATAGGTATTCACAATGAGCCCCATGACCTTTGACCTCATGACCCCAACATCTAATCAGTTCATTGGCTCTGCAAGATGCATACATGGCCCAAGTTAAACTGGAATCCATCAATCTGTTCTTGAGATAACGCGATCGCGAGAACAGGACTTACAGACGTACGGACGGACAACCCAAAAACATAATGACTCCGGTTACTTTGTAGCGGAGGCATGAAAATGTAGCATTTCTAAAATGTGATTACAGCTTTCACTAGAGATTACAAACTGTTTTTCAGAAGATGAAGTACAAGAGAACTACTTACCAGACACAACTACAAAGAAGGTGCATGTTTCTGTATTTCCTGCATAATCACTTGCAGAGTAGGTCACAGTGTTGTTTCCAATAGGAAAGTCATCTCCAGGATTGTTGGTGGATGTCAGTGTCAGGTTACCAGAGTTATCTGTTGCTGTAGGTGGTGTCCAAGTTACTACAGCTGTAGCATTCCCAATGTCTGTGGCGACATTCTGATCACTTGGGCATCCACTAATGACTGGAATCTCATTATCTGTGAGAAAGATTATATGAAATAGAACTAGATGGAACTTCGAAAATGATGCCTTCGTCATAGAGCAATTTCACAAACCAAAACAGAAGAAATTTTTCAAATTCAAGTTCAATTGTAATCAATTAACAGGTTCTCAGAATATCGTGATTACAAGCAATTTCTCATATACATATATGACCCTTTGATCTTTGACCTCATGACCCTAAAATCTACTCAGTCCATTGGCTCTGCAAGATGTCCTGAGTTAAATAGTAATCCATCTGCCAGTTCTAATGAGAATGCGTTCACAAGCTATTTTGACCTCATGACCCAAGAATCTACTCAGTTCATTGGTTCTGCAAGATACATAAATGATCTAAGTTTGGCAGGAACCCATCAATCTGTTCTAATGATAATATGATCACAAGCTATTTTTGCATACATAATGAGCCCTGTGACCTTTGACCTTTGACCTCATGACCCCAAAATCTAATCAGTTCATTGGCTCTGCAAGATACATAAATGACCAAAGTTTGGCAGGAATCCATCAATTAGTTCTTCAGATAACGCGATCATGAGAACGGGACGTACGTATGTACGTACGGATGGACGGACGGACAACCTGAAAACATAATGCCTCCGGCTACTTCGTAACGGAGGCATAAAAATATTGTATTTCTAAAATCTGATTCCAGCTCTCACTAGAGATTACCAAACTGTTTTTCAGAAGATGAAGTACAAGAGAAGCACTTACCAGACACAACTACAAAGAAGGTGCATGTTTCTGTATTTCCTGCATCATCACTTGCAGAGTAGGTCACAGTGTTGTTTCCAATAGGGAAGTCATCTCCAGGATTGTTAGTGGATGTCAGTGTCTGGTTACCAGAGTTATCTGTTGCTGTAGGTGGTGTCCAAGTTACTACAGCTTTAGCATTCCCACTGTCTGTTGTGACATTCTGATCACTTGGGCATCCACTAAAGACTGGAATCTCATTATCTGTGAGAAAGATTTTATGAGATAGAAAAAGGTTGCATTTCTAAAATCTGATTCCAGCTCTCACTAGAGATTACCAAACTGTTTTTCAGAAGATGAAGTGTAGGAAAGCACTTACCAGACACAACTACAAAGAAGGTGCATATCGGTTCTAATGATAATGCGTTCACAGGCTATTTATAGGTATTCACAATGAGCCCCATGACCTGTGACCTCATGACCCCAAAATATAATCAGTTCATTGGCTCTGCAAGTTACATACATGGCCCAAGTTAAATGGGAATCCATCAATCTGTTCTTGAGATAACGCGATCGCGATAACGGGACTTACAGACGTACGGACGGACAACCCCAAAACATAATGGCTCCGGTTACTTTGTAGCGGAGGCATTAAAATGTAGCATTTCTAAAATCTGATTCCAGCTCTCACTAGACATTACCAAACTGTTTTTCAGAAGTTGAAGTACAAGAGAAGCACTTACCAGACACAATTACAAAGAAGGTGCATGTTTCTGTATTTCCTGCATCATCACTTGCAGAGTAGGTTACTGTGTTGTTTCCAATAGGGAAGTCATCTCCAGGATTGTTAGTGGATGTCAGTGTCTGGCTACCAGAGTTATCTGTTGCTGTAGGTGGTGTCCAGATTACTACAGCTGTAGCATTCCCAATGTCTGTTGTGACATTCTGATCACTTGGGCATCCACTAAAGACTGGAATCTCATTATCTGTGAGAAAGATTATGTGATATAACTAGATGGAACTTTGACTGCGCGCAGTTGAGAATGATGCCTCAGCCATAGAGCGATTTTACAAACCAAAACGGAAGCAATATTTTTAATATTTAAGTTTGATTGTAATCCATTAACAGTTCTCAGAACATCGTGATTATGAGCTATTTTTCATATGCATGGCTCTGCAAGATAAATTCATGTCCTGAGTATGATAGTAATCCATCTGTCGGTTCTAATGATAATGCGTTCACATGCTATTTACAGCCATACATAACGAGCCCCATGACCTTTGACCTCATGACCCCAAAATCTAATAAGTTCCCTGGCTCTGCAAGATACATACATGACCCAAGTTTGGCAGGAATCCATCAATCAATTCTTGAGATAAAGCGATCACAAGCTATTTTTGCAAACATAATGAGCCCTGTGACCTTTGACCTCATGACCCCAAAATCTAATCAGTTCATTGGCTCTGCAAGATACATACATGACCTAAGTTTAACAGGAATCCATCAATCTGTTCTTGAGATAACGCGATCGCGATAACGGGACTTACAGACGTACGGACAACCCCAAAACATAATGACTCCGGCTACTTTGAAGCGGAGGCATGAAAATGTAGCATTTCTAAAATCTGATTCCAGCTCTCACTAGAGATTACCAAACTGTTTTTCAGAAGATGAAGAGTAAGAAAAGCACTTACCAGACACAACTACAAAGAAGGTGCATATCGGTTCTAATGATAATGCGTTCACAGGCTATTTATAGGTATTCACAATGAGCCCCATGACCTTTGACCTCATGACCCCAACATCTAATCAGTTCATTGGCTCTGCAAGATGCATACATGGCCCAAGTTAAACTGGAATCCATCAATCTGTTCTTGAGATAACGCGATCGCGAGAACAGGACTTACAGACGTACGGACGGACAACCCAAAAACATAATGACTCCGGTTACTTTGTAGCGGAGGCATGAAAATGTAGCATTTCTAAAATCTGATTACAGCTTTCACTAGAGATTACAAACTGTTTTTCAGAAGATGAATTACAAGAGAACTACTTACCAGACACAACTACAAAGAAGGTGCATGTTTCTGTATTTCCTGCATAATCACTTGCAGAGTAGGTCACAGTGTTGTTTCCAATAGGAAAGTCATCTCCAGGATTGTTGGTGGATGTCAGTGTCAGGTTACCAGAGTTATCTGTTGCTGTAGGTGGTGTCCAGATTACTACAGCTGTACCATTCCCAATGTTTGTTGTGACATTCTGATCACTTGGGCATCCACTAAAGACTGGAATCTCATTATCTGTGAGAAAGATTATGAGATATAACTAGATGGAACTTTGACTGCGCGCAGTTGAGAATGATGCCTCAGCCATAGAGCGATTTTACAAACCAAAACGGAAGCAATATTTTTAATATTTAAGTTTGATTGTAATCCATTAACAGTTCTCAGAATATCGTGATTATGAGCTATTTTTCATATGCATGGCTCTGCAAGATAAATTCATGTCCTGAGTATGATAGTAATCCATCCGTTGGTTCTAATGATAATGCGTTCACATGCTATTTACAGCCATACATAACGAGCCCCATGACCTTTGACCTCATGACCCCAAAATCTAATAAGTTCACTGGCTCTGCAACATACATACATGACCCAAGTTTGGCGGGAATACATCAATCAATTCTTGAGATAAAGCGATCACAAGCTATTTTTGCATACATAATGAGCCCTGTGACCTTTGACCTCATGACCCCAAATTCTAATCAGTTCATTGGCTCTGCATGATACATACATGACCTAAGTTTAACAGGAATCCATCAATCTGTTCTTGAGATAACGCGATCGCGAGAACGGGACTTACAGACGTACGGACGGACAACCCAAAAACATAATGACTCCGGCTACTTTGTAGCGGAGGCATAAAAATGTAGCATTTCTAAAATCTGATTCCAGCTCTCACTACAGATTACCAAACTGTTTTTCAGAAGATAAAGTAAAAGAGAAGCACTTACCAGACACAACTACAAAGAAGGTGCATGTTTCTGTATTTCCTGCATCATCACTTGCAGAGTAGGTCACAGTGTTGTTTCCAATAGGGAAGTCATCTCCAGGATTGTTAGTGGATGTCAGTGTCTGGCTACCAGAGTTATCTGTTGCTGTAGGTGGTGTCCAGATTACTACAGCTGTAGCATTCCCACTGTCTGTTGTGACATTCTGATCACTTGGGCATCCACTAATGACTGGATTCTCATTATCTGTGAGAAAGATTTTATGAGATAGAAAAAGGTTGCATTTCTAAAATCTGATTCCAGCTCTCACTAGAGATTACCAAACTGTTTTTCAGAAGATGAAGTGTAGGAAAGCACTTACCAGACACAACTACAAAGAAGGTGCATGTTTCTGTATTTCCTTCATCATCACTTGCAGAGTAGGTCACAGTGTTGTTTCCAATAGGAAAGTCATCTCCAGGATTGTTAGTGGATGTCAGTGTCTGGCTACCAGAGTTATCTGTTGCTGTAGGTGGTGTCCAGATTACTACAGCTGTAGCATTCCCACTGTCTGTTGTGACATTCTGATCACTTGGGCATCCACTAATGACTGGAATCTCATTATCTGTGAGAAAGATTTTATGAGATAGAAAAAGGTTGCATTTCTAAAATCTGATTCCAGCTCTCACTAGAGATTACCAAACTGTTTTTCAGAAGATGAAAAAAAGCACTTACCAGACACAACTACAAAGAAGGAGCATGTTTCTGTATTTCCTTCATCATCACTTGCAGAGTAGGTTACTGTGTTGTTTCCAATAGGAAAGTCATCTCCAGGATTGTTAGTGGATGTCTTGTTAACAGAGTAATCTGGTGGTGGTGTAGGTGGTGTCCAGTATACTACAGCTGTAGCATTCCCAATGTCTGTGGTGACGTTCTGATCACTTGGGCATCCTTCTAAAAAAATGTCAAGAGAAAATTGATTGATTCAATGTTTATACCTTAAGCTGTATAAGCAGGGTCTAGTTGATACACACCGTTTGCCAATTGACTGTGGATTACATGTTTCATGGTTCAAGTCCTGCCGCAGCATTAATATCCTTTGACAAGACATTGATCCACATTTGCCACCCTCCACCCAGGTAATAAGAACAATTTTCTGGTAGGAAGAAATTCCTTGAATGCCAAAGCGCCTTTTCAGGGTAACTAGAGACATCAGTGTATTATGCGCTATAAAAAGTGCAATTTATTATGATATTATCATTATTTGCTATAGATACATGTACTTACCTACTGGACAGTTGTCTATATAGCATGGCAAAAACTCAATAGGGCGCACATCCCCTGCACATTGATCATCAGATACAGTGTCGTTGGTGTATCTGTCCACACAAAAAATGTCACGTCTCACTTCCCCTAAGCCACAAGTAACAGAGCACTGCACATGAAAAAAGGCAATAAATGAATAATTAAAAGGAAAGTTGTCAACAAGAAATATATTAGTAAATAATTTAATAGCATAAATCTTCAAAATGGAAATCAATAAAATTTTAATCTATAATTTTTCATCCTACAATGTTATATAAAACTTGTTTGATGTCTGTATCACATTGGACCCCTAATAGCAGGGAAATTATTGAGAATTCAACAAATTCATCTACTTTTGAATCAAAACACAATAAAAGAGTTTTAAAGGCATCGTTTAACAATGTTAAATCTGAGATGCACGGCCCTACGTGTTATCAGTGTCTGTGATATGGTGTAATATTGAAGCCCTAAAAAAAATGTGCTTCAAAATGATCAAGAAGTCCCTCAAAAAAGTAAAAATCTTTGAGTGACCGGTTTTGCCATACTCGTTTTCCCCAATAGACTGTAGTGTTATGACAACCAATCATAAATATCTTGATAATCAGACAGGCGATCGGCTTGTAAAATTCATGGAGTTCCTGACTGACCTAAAGGTTTACAAATATCATTGCAGCATGAGCTAAATCCAGGATTTCGTTTTAGAATCTGAGACAAAGTTACCTGATCCCTTTAAAAAAACATATATAATTGTATATTTCCACTGAAACATACTTATGGAAAGTAACTTTCCAATCCGAGATATTACATTTGGTAAAGATGTACCATCCAATCTACCACTCTAATGTCAATAAAAGGAATGTTGTTTGAAAAGGTATATTGCACTTTATAATAACAACAATATCAATAATTTAGGTGCACTTAAAACTAAAAGTGCCATAGCACTTACAAAATCATAGAATGTGAGTAGATCACATACTATTACTGAGGGAAAAACAGTATGTTACAAGAGATCTTTTGAAAGGGGCAAGATACTGTAAAAAGTTTTTCATGAGATGAGAGTCTGGATTTGGGGAAAATTAGTTTATATTTTCTAGTTGTTGAGCAAACTTATGAGCTGGTGTATATATTGGGAGGGTTTCATTAATGCTACGGTCACAAACGTTCGTAGGAACGATAATTTCGTACAAATCTCCGTTTGTCCATTGTCTTCCCGAATTTCCATTGTCTGAAAATCGTTCGTACGGCGTTTGTAGCAGTTCGTAATGGCATTTGTGACCGAGGCTTTAGACATTCAGGTTCCATATAAACAGAATATTATAACTGGTCAGAAAGTTTTACCTCTTCAAATGGTGTCACCAAATAGAAATATTGCTGACAGTCGACAAAAGTTGAATAGATCTGATACCCAGGATAAACGCCTTCGTCATTGGAAAGGAAACTCAAGACAGCCAAATTTTGAGTAGAGAACCAGAGAAAGTTCTCTTGGTTCCCACAATAGGCCTGGTCCAAAGCAAAGTATGGATCTTCCGCTAAGATGAGGTCAGTGATCTGAGGGGGAAGAATGTAACATAATATTAATTAGTTAGTCTGAAGGTACAGACCCTTGACAGTATTTATGTGTAACAGTGTCTGCACTATGAGACTACATGAGGAAGAAAGTAACACAATGTTCATTAGTTAGTCTAAAGGTACAGACCCTTGACAGTATTTATGTGTAACAGTGTCTGCACTATGAGACTGCATGAGACTACATGTCAACATTATAAAATCTAATCCTATTGCAATTTCTTTTAAAATATTTGATATTTTCATAGCACACATGCTATGCATGTTCGCCTTGATTCGTAAATATGTTTATTTGTTCATGTTATCACATGTTAATCATTGTTATACTATTGTTATATTGATAGTATGTAAATATGTTTGTATTCTCATACCCCAAGAGCAGGTCGATAAAGTCAATAAAAATCAAATCAAATCTAATTATCAACATACCGCGAGAAAATCTGATGCAATACAACCAGCATACATGTCCGGTTCTTGAAGCTCAAAAGAGATGAAAAAGAGATTGATACACATCCCCTCTGGAGCGACAATGATTGTGGTACAATTCCCGTCATTGTCATATGGTTGTGGGTAGTTGGGACTAGAGATATACTGGGCATCTTGGACGATGAACGTATCGCAAGCTGCAAACAAATCAGGATAAAAACATGTCATTGTCATACGGTTGTCATGGGTATATACTGATAATAAAATAAAAACTAAAACAACAAAAATTCTGATCCTAAGGGAGTTTTAACTATTATTCTTTTGAATCAATTGGTAATTGCTTGGTTAAGATATTTTACAGTCAAATACAAAAGACTCAACGAGCAATTTACCTAAGGAGAAGTCACTTCTCTTTTTAACATGAGATGGCTCTCCAACAAAAATTTATTCCTAGAGACTGCTTGAGCAGCCATACTGAACTATCGGAAGTTCTTCTTTTTAACCTTCACATGAAAGCTGAATCTATCCCTATGCACTCTGCAACAGTCATGTTCGAATAGTTGTTCCTTCTCTTTAATCCTAGGATCCTAATTTATCCATGTACACTGCAACATTAGTCATACCAAACTAAGAGATGTTTCTTCTTTTAAATCTGTATAGTTTGAATCTGAAACTTTCACTAGGCACTGCTGCAACATAGGAGTTCCTTCAATCACGTTGAAGGTTGAAGATTGAATCTGAACCTTTCACTATCAATTCCTGCAAGTCATACTTAACCATGACAACTGAATTCTGTAGTTCCAATGAGGTTAATTCAGTGACCACCCAGTTTCCATAGGCAATGTGTTCACTACAAAGAGCTTCTTAACATAAGAGAGAGTATGTGTGTGCTTACATGGGCAAGGTTCCCGTCTGCAAGGCTTTATCTCTGAAGGTCTTAGTTCACTACAAAGAGAATCATTGACAACCGCTCTGGTCATCAGATCTTGACACGTTACATTTCTGTACACTACTCCTTCACCGCATGTCGCTGAACACTGCAAAATGATAAAATTAAAGAAATTATTCCATGGATATTGTGCAGGAAAGTGAAAAAAGTGCACTAAAAACTCAGCAATTCAAAACACAAAAAATAAACTTTTATATCAACTCTGGGTAAAGTGAAAAGCCTAAATATATTAACAGTATGTCAGATCAGGGATGCTAGTTGTCACCCATGTCTCTGATAGGATACTTCAGATTTTTGGAAAGCTACTTTGTATATATATATATCACAAGTGATAAATTGAAATATCCATATCCACAGATCTTTTAAATATGGAGAATGTCATACTAGTGTAGTTTAGCATAATTACTTGTGATAGAAGTGCTTCCCTTCTACCAATGTATCACGCCTTGTTTTCTTACAAAAGAATAACAGTGACCTAGCTCTAATGAGTCATGTTCATTATTGTCCTTACTAAGTTTTACAGTTTGGTACAAGTAACCTACCGGTAAGTGTGCTCATGAGCATGTATTTCTCAACTGGCTTGTTTTAAAAGGGAAACGTATCTTTGTCTCAGATTCTGAAACAAAATCCTTGATGTAGCTCATGCTTCAATCAAATTCATATATCCTTAGGTTAGTCCGGAATCCCATGACTTTTACAAGCCGATCGCCTGTATGATTATCAAGATATTTATGATTGGAAATTAAAATTTCAAAAACCGCTTTCCTAACAGTTTTTTTTACACTACAGTTTATTGGGGAAAATCAGTATGGTAAAACCGGTCACTCGTTACTTTTTTGAGGCCCTTTCACTATGAACATGACTGACAAAGAAAGCGGACAAAATATACTGTTCCTCAGTTAGACAAAGGAACATCCCTTCACTGCTATTATGTAAAAAGGTGAATATGCATGTGACACCTGTTCTACACGTTTTTACATAATAGCAGTGAAGGAATGTTCCTTTGTCTACCTGAGGAACTGTATATTTTGTCCGCTTTCTTTGTCAGTCATATTCATAGTGTTTATGATCATTTTGAAGCTTTTTAGGGCTTCAATATTACACCATATCACAGACACTGATAACACGTAGGGCCATGCATCTCAGATTTAACATTGTTAAACGATGCCTTTAATATTTTTCTGTAACGTTAAGCTAAAAAATAACAAATCCATGAAGCAGAAGAGGTCAATGATAAACTGTTATTATATGCACTTTCAATGCCCAGCTTGAGTTCAAATTTTATGTACATTCATATTAATGTGAAAATGAATAGGTCTGAAAGAAAGGAAACAGAAATACTTCTTGATCTTACCTCTTCACTGTATGGCCCTGTCAGGAATCCATACACAGGGCAGGCTTCACTTCTAGCCACGGCACTGAATCCCCTGCCACTATACTTATCATCGGAAAAGAAGGTAATGCGAATGGTTCTAGAGAAAGACAGGACTGGTGAAAACTCTTGACCACATGCTATGTAGGGTTCACGTCCTGCAAAGCCTACATCCTCAACCTAGTGTGAAGGTTTGACATTGAATGGAATATAATCGAAGGTTTGACATTAAATGGAATATAATCAAAGGTTTGACATTGAATGGAATATAATTGAAGGTTTGACATTGAATGGAATATAATTGAAGGTTTGCCATTGAAAGGAATAGTATCAAGGTTTGACATTGAATGGAATATAATCGAAAGTTTGCCATTGAATGGAATATAATTGAAGGTTTGACATTGAATGGAATATAATTGAAGATTTGACATTGAATGGAATATAATTGAATTTTTGACATTGAATGGAATATAATAGAAGGTTTGAAATTGAATGGAATATAATTGAAGGTTTGACATTGAATGGAATGGTATCATGGTTTGACATTGAATGGAATATAATCGAAAGTTTGCCATTGAATGGAATATAATTGAAGGTTTGACATTGAATGGAATATAATTGAAGATTTGACATTGAATGGAATATAATTGAAGGTTTGAAATTGAATGGAATATAATTGAAGGTTTGACATTGAATGGAATGGTATTGTAGGTTTGACATTGAATGGAAAAGTATCAAGGTTTGACATTGAAAGGAATAGTATCGAAGGTTTGACATTGAAAGTAATGATATCAAAGGTTAGACATTGAAAGGAATAGTATCAAGGTTTGAAATTGAATTGAATAGTATCAAGGTTTGACATTGAATTGAATAGTATCAAGGTTTGACATTGAAAGGAATAGTATCAAGGTTTGATGTTGAAAGGAAAAGTATCGAAGGTTTGACATTGAATGGAATATAATTGAAGATTTGACATTGAATGGAATTTAATTGAAGTTTTGACATTGAAAGGAATAGTATCGAAGGTTTGATATTGAAAGGAATGGTATCAAGGTTTGAAATTGAATTGAATAGTATCAAGGTTTGACATTGAATGGAATATAATTGAAGGTTTGAAATTAAAAGGAATGGTATTGAAGGTTTGACATTGAATGGAAAAGTATCAAAGGTTTGATAATGAATTCTTTACGTATATTTATCTCTTTCTCTCCCTCTCTTTCTTCTCTTTTTTCCTTTCCCTTCTCTCTATCTTTCTCTCTTTTACTATCAATTTGTTCAACAATGAACATCTCTCTCTCTCCCTCTTATCTTCTCTTCTTTCCTTCTCCCTTCTCTCCAACTTGCTCTCTTTAACTATCAATTTTGTGCTCTATAAATGTATATCATTATCATCATCATTATTATTATTATTATTATTATTATTTTCATTATTATCTTTCTCTTTTTTACTATCAATCTGTTCAACAATGAACATCTCTCTGCCTTTTTACCTATCTACATGTATATCTATGTTTCGTAACACACGGATCTCATCACATGGAACATTAAACAAACATCAAAAATACTTACAAAGAATCTATCTCGACATTGGTCATTCTCCTTATCCTGCAAATCAAAGTAATAAGCGGTAATTCTCCAGCACTCATCGTTTATGTTATAAAAGTCATAGACGCATTGCAGGTTCTCAGGATATTCACTAGGAAACCCAGGTGATTCAAATAATGCAGAATCGCCGAAAAACATGTTGCAATCTGGCAAGAGAAAATAATGACAAATAAAATGATTATGAGAACATTCTATAATTCATGTACCTATACTGAATTTAAAGGAAAACATGCTTCGGAAAGCTATCATGGACCAATACAAGATGTAAAGATTTTAAAAACGATCAACTTAATCTACCAAACTCATTCAAACATTTGATTTCATCAGCTGCTCACTATAAAGACCTTCAAGTATCCATCTTTCAACAAGCCAGTAAACTATTTCAAATGACTATGTCATACATGTATGCGCACCTCCTTTCACAAGCATGGACTTTGTGGTAATTATAGAGTGGGGCCATTTTGTGAAATTTTGTGACCTAAATTTCATAAATGAAATATAAATGACTATTTTTTAGCAATTTCTAGTTGGGAAGGGAAATTTAGTCTGCATTGCGTTCGCTCGCGTGTGGAATGCCTACTTATTTCTTAATCCCCCGTTTCCTGAGTGTGAGCACTACAAATATGATCGTGTGTTGTTGAGCAAAAAAAGAAAAAAGGTAAATTTGTGGTTACCATCATTAATTATAACTTTAGTCTTTTGTATATTCATGGGAAGTAAAATGATGTCTTATTTCTTATTTCCAATCTAAATGGTCCGTATGCTCTAATAATTGAACAATGTTGTTCTCATGGCACTGCTTTTTATCGTTGTCCAGTCACAACAACATACAAATAATGACAGATTTATTATGACATTCCCACCACAAGTATGTCCTGAGCCGGCGTTCTCAGAACAAAGGTGCGTAACAATGTTAAATATACTCTGTGTTTTGGAACTTTGGTGTTGATTGACATGATGCCTCATTTTAGATAATCAATCAGCCTATACAGTGCGTCCCAGAAAAAACTAAACCACCATGTTTTATCCTAACTTAATCACAATTATAATTAATAAATGACACATATTTGTAAAGCAAGTTAATCCCCCCGTTCAGCCCCTTTCATCAGGAACGCATACTTCATGCTTGAATTCTCTAAATAAAGGAGGGTACGCGATGAATGGAGAGGGTTTTAATACACCGTACCTCATGCGTTCTTCACGCTCGCATTCTCTAACAAAGCAGGGTACGCGATGAATGGAGAGGCTTTTAATACACCGTACCTCATGCATTCTTAACGCTCGCATTCTCTAACAAAGGAGGGAACGCGACCATCCGGGACGCGGGAGAATGCCAAGTGGAATAAATTTGCCTTCCCTTAAAAGCAGTGTCATGTCCCTCACTATACATTACACTAACTCAACATGAAAGCTTTCAACTTTCACACAAAATTTTCGAAAAATCCTAAGAATATTTACAAAATGGCCCTGCTCCATAATTTCCAGCGGTGTGCATCCATGCACAGAAGCCACAAACTTACTCCAATGAACAATCAAAAGAGAGTGATCAAAGAGATATTACCATATATAATATATCAAGATTAAATAATAATCATACGTCATCTCTTTAACAAACCATAGCAGGTACATGTAGTTCAGTGTTTTCTAAAGATCTAAATTAATCAGTTTTTCCTCTTCAAATTGGCATTGGCAAATCGACATATTTTCCAATCCATTATAGTTTAGAAAATGAAATGTATTTTCAATTACACAATGTGAATTAAAAGTATAAAAAACTCAATTAGATATTGCCAATTTCCACACAAAAAAAAGGGATTATAAATTTCACTTTGCATTGTAAATTTAGAGACGTCAATAATTAATTTGTATTAAATTTGATTTTTTCTCTTCACAAGCACATTTTTTTTATTCAGAGCATTCTAGATCAAGAGATAAAAATAAAGTGTCACTACAAAAAGGTGACACTAAACTGGTATAGAGTCAGAAGGGTGTCTTACAAAGATCCTTAATAAAACTTAACTCCAAGTTGGACTTAAACATTATAAAGAGCCATTTGTAGCCTTAACATAAAATAGAGTCAAAATCAAAAATTCAAATATTTTAGACTTTTCATAAATTCCACATCAAGAACATGAAATGTCCTTGATAATAGAAAATATGAATGATTTGAATCAACATTTTATGCCATTTAAAATAACTTTTAAAAAATATTTTCAAAGATACTAACAGCTTTCCATAATCGTAAAGTCCAACTTAGAGATAAGTTCAATTTAGGTTCTTTGTGAAACATCCGTAAGAAGGAATATAAATGAACAGTTTCCTGGCTCACAGCAGACGGTATGAAATTCATCATACTATTTCCTACCTAAGCATGGTTGTTCATTGCAGGGTTCAATGTTCGGTAGGATCTCGTTTTCATCGCAGTTATCACGGCTCACATTCTCCCCAGTCTCCAGTCGAGTACATAACACATCACGAGTACGGAACCCTTCTCCGCATGACACAGAACACTGGTACAAAGGAATTCAAGTAAAGACAAAGATAACAAGAAAAGAATATATTGCACAAATCATTACCTAAAAATTACTTTAATACCAGTAATCCATCTGCTATTACAACTTTAAGTTTTTCAAAGATTCACTTTCTCATGTAGATTAGATACATCTTCCAATATGCGTGTTTTAAAATGTATAATGCATTACCGCTTAGAAAATCAGTATTATAGTGCTCTGGTTCATAACATTAGGAACCAAACCAGTTCCCATGGGACATATATTTATTTATTCAGATGGTCATTTCTCATTCAATACTTAATATATTCATCTTTGTTTTTGACATTCAGACATATTTTTGATGCTCTTTTGGAAAATGAAGACAAAAAAATTAAATTTTTTTTTTTACTTAAATATGAATTATTTGAAATTTTATGCCTTTAAAAATGTCTTTCACAAAATATTTTTGAAGATGCTAACGGCTTTCCATGATTGTTAATTCCCACTTAGAGATAAGTTCAACTTAGAACCTTTGTGAAACACCCCCAGGTGTATTAACAACCAGAGTACATACCATCTATCAAGAGCAAGAAGGATGTTAAAGGTAAAGACCAGTTTTGGAAACGCCTTACGCAATTTGATATGATGAAAAATTGAGGTTCGAACATTATTTATAGGCAGGGTGGCCAATTAACAGGCCCCCAAAAATGAAATCCTCTGAATATAGTCAGTATTTTGAAGTGAATATTGACCAAGAATCATCAGAAGAATATTTATTATTAATTGTACCAGGATCGATAGCTTGAATGAAATATGAACAAATTAATTTTTAAAAAAATGATTTATTAATTCTCATATTAAGTTGTGAAAACATAATTTAAGTCTACTGACCTAAAATGACTTTTGACCTTGTGACCTGGAATTTGTGTCATATGATTTGTGATACTTGATAACCCTTGGGTACAAGTTTCATGGAATTTGAACAAACAATTTTGAAAATATGCTAAAAATTCAAAATCTTGATGTTGATGCCACAACAAAGTCTAAGTTTGTTGTCCTTTAACCTTAACTTAGTGACCTGAAATTCTACTCACATGATTGGGGATACTTGATAAACCTACAGTCCAAGTTTCATTGACTAAGAACTTATACTTTCAAAATTATATAAAAAATTCAAAAACTTAACCTTAGGTTAAGTTTTCGATGATGATACCACAACATAGTCCAAGTCTGTTGACCTGAAATGACCTTTGACCTTGACTTTGTGACCTGAAATTCTACTCACATGATTGGGGATACTTGATAACCCTATAGTCCAAGTTTCATTGACTAAGAACTTATACTTTTAAAAATTATATCAAAAATTCAAAAACTTAAACCTTGGGTTAAGTTTTTGATGTTGACGCCGCCGCCACTGAAAAAGCGGCACCTATGTCTCGCTTTTTGATACGCAGGCGAGACCAAAAATGAAATGGAAGCTCTTATTACCGATCATGTGAAAGAATATGTTTTGACTAATATGTGATAATCCAATTTTTACGGGGAAACCGCCTACTAATTGATATACAGTGTGTATTTGGTAAATTATTATATCTATTTGGACCTGATAGATATCGCGCACGTGTCGCGCACATGTCGCGCACATGTCACGTTGTCCCATATACATCTTTATGTGTACAGTGCCAATTTTCTTATCATTTTGATGATTCCAGAACCTTGCAGTGCACACCAATACATATTTGCTAGATGATCAACCTTTTCTGATCGATTCCACAACGTTTCTTTCACAATGCAATGGCATGACCAGAACTGGTCTTTACCTTTAACTATATGTTAAAGTACATGAGTTAATGCCCTTCTGGCTTCTGTTCCATCTCCACATGAGAGTAACCATAAACGCTACTCACCTCTGAAAAATTAGAAGCGATAAAGCCATATTCTGGACATGTGATAAATACGAAGAAAAGCTGGAATTCTCCTCCTTGATCTTCATCGTCCGTTTTAAAGTAGATCAAAGCAGTTGAACCATAGCTTTGAAGTTGACCATTATCTCGACCACAGAGACTGATAACTCGGAATGGGTATGCAGCATCAACAATCTACAGATATAGAGAAACGTATCAAGATTATATGCCACTGCAAGCAAATTTCATACATTACCTTCATAATCATTATATTCACATGATGATCGATGGTAATTAACACATCATTTCATGAAGTCTTACTTTTAAGAAGCATTAGCTTTTAAACAACTTTCAATATTTACTCTACATGCATGTATGTAGGCTTGTTGCCACATAAATCTGTTAATGACCACTCAAATAGTCCAGGGCCGGTATTCAATTCAATACTTAGCATAAATAAGAAATTTACTAATTAAATGGCTAAGTTAAGTAATTTACTTATCTCGTATTTAAATCGCATTTTAGATATATACTTACGTAAGACAAAATCTAAGTTAAATACTTACTGATAAGCATTGTGACGTCACACGGTCAATCAAAAATAATGCGCAATTGATGCATTGCAATAAATGCGCGCTGATATAATTGTGCACAGGTTATAATACTGCGTAAGAAAACCATATGCCTACCAATCGAGACCTCCAAATAATTGGCTTAAGTCTGGTATGAAGTTGGCTTAGATTTAGGGTAAAATGCTTAGCTAAAAGTGTGAACTGAATACCAAAATTGGCTAAGTATTTTATCTAAGCCAAATGCTAAGTAAAAAACTTAGACTTTGTACTTAAGTATTGAATTCAAATTTTTGGAAAAGTATTTTACCCTAAATCTAAGACAGCTGCCGGCCAACCAGACTTAAGTCAATTATTTGGAGGCCTCTATTGGCAGGCATATGCTTTTCTTACGCAGTATTATAACCTGCGCACAATTATATCAGCGCGCATTTATTGCAATGCATCAATTGCGCATTACTTTTGATTTACCGTGTGACGTCACAATGCTTATCAGTACGTATTTTACTTAGATTTTGTCTTACGCAAGTATAAGTCTAAAATGCGATTTGAATACGAGATAAGTAAATTACTTAACTTAGCCATTTACTAAGTAAATTTCTTACTTAGTCTGAGTATTGAATTGAATTCGGGCCCAGGAGTATAGCAACAATCGCTTAATGACAATGTTGTCCTCCTCTGTGGAGCACTCTCTTGGTGCTTGTTCTACAAAGTCTCACTAATTCCATGTTCTTGATTAGAGGTCCATCTTTGTTAGCATTATTATTCTTGATCGATATATGAATCACACGATGACATATGCAAAAAAAATATAACAGATGCTGATAATAATGCTGTATTTGTGTATCTTTAATACTACATCCTCTCGCAGGTGCATTTTATAAAGTGATGTAGTACTTCATGATGTAACAAGCTAATATAATAGAATTACTTGAAAAAGCCGTATGAGTGAAATATTGTTTACCCTATATACATGTGAACAAAGATCTTTAAGGTCAATTTATTCCAAGTGTTATGGAATGACATATCCACAGAATAATCAATTTTGAATTTATAAATCAAAAAATCTACAAATGAATAAGATATGATATATTAACTAATATGTGTTACTTTCACAACAGTGGAGTTTCCTTTCCACTATTCATCAGGACCCTGTTTCATAAAACTTGATATCGATAACAAGTTACAAGCTACTGTTATAAGCTACTGAAATCATGGCATCTGATTGGCTGAGAGCAAATTTGTCATAGAAATTTAGAATTTGTTATTGATTAAAAGTTTTATGAAACGGGCCCCTGATTCATAAAACATGGAGTTTTATAGTTGTTACCAAATTACCAAAAATTAGCCTTCTTGGAATTGACCTTATTCTGTTGAGAGTTGTAACTAGATACATACCGTGATAGAATCACCCAGACATTCACCTCCTTCTCCGCTTGGTAAAGGAGAGAGATCCCAGCTACCAATGATTCGTACACACCGTCCTTCTGGAGCCGTCACATTGTACAAACATTCTTCATTTTCCATGAAGACATCTCGCTTAATTGTACCAATAGGGCTTGTGTAGGTTTCATCACAACCTGCCAAACAATAATCAATGAATATGTGGTTACAGTATCATGTACATGTACTATATTCTAGGCAATTATTTGAAAAATACAAACAGTACAACTAATTTCTTGATTGTGTAATAATGATTCATTTATAAAACATGCTTATAAATGACATAGTTTTTGTAACCAGGCATAAATGTTAATTTCTTATTCTGCCTTATTTCTGTTACCTTTCTTTAAGCATATAGGCTTTCTTTCTAATAGTGATATGCGCTATATAAGCAATGTTCATTATCATAATTATTATCATAAACTTTGTGACCATTTTTAAGGAGGGAAAGTTTTAACAAAAATATTTAAAAAACACTCTGTGTGTTTGCTATTCTATGCCAGTATACTATATTCAAGCATTAGCTTGATATAATAGTGTTATAGAGAGATATTGCAAGTTGAAATGCTCATCAACGTTTGGCAGTAATGTTCGTGGGCCACTGAGCTGCTCAGGGACACCATGCACGCACAATGCCTGGAGTTCCTGGTATATGCATGGTAAATACACGTTCATGATCAGCTGGCCCTACGTAGCACAAACATTACTTCAGAACATCCTTAAATAACTTAAAATCCTAAATAAAGGTAGCACTGATGTACAGGTAAATGCACTCGTACATACACATGTACAGAAATTTATCATGAAGATATTTCATTAGACACTAGGAATTTTCCCCCTTTTGCTATTTAATCTTTAATCATTTTGATGTCTTTCTGTGAGAAATATAAATAAAACAATATCTTTTGAATCATCATCACCATCATTAAAGGCAAATAAAATACATGTGTGGCCAATTAATCAGACATTGGCAACTAATAATCAAGATAAAATATTACAAGAATATAGGGATAGACAGACCATTAACCTCAGAGATTCTATGATTAACAATAACACTTTGTGCACTTCTCAGTGGGTTTGGGAACTATTACCCAGCTTATAAACACATTACATGTGAATGAATGTAATCAACTTACTAGCACATGGTTCTTCATTACACTCTGTGGTGCTGGGAGGCATGGGGTCCGTACACAGTCCCATAGCTACACTTTCTTGTGTTGTGAGATCAGTGCATTCCACTTCACGCGTCTGAACACCGCTTCCACAAGACACATCACACTATCAAGAAAACAAGCTCAGTCAAGTTAATACGTGAATGCTCTTCAGGCCTATAAAGTATTATTACAAATAACGGAGCACTAAGTCACTGTTTCATAAAACTTTCATAAATGACTTAAGTTGCAATAACTGTTAGAAGCTACTGAAATCATTGAATTCGACTGGCTGAGAGCATTTTAAAGGTTTTTATCATTCAGTGAAACGCAAATTGGTAACACTGTGACGCATCTTGCGAGGTCCTCTACAAATATTTTGTAAACTTTTATTTTCTTAGTTATTGATGATGGAATAGACGTCTTTCTTACAGGGATCCATATTTGTAATAATCCAGGGTGCATGTATGATTGAAAACTTCTTTAGGGAAAATAGAAATTTCTGATATCTTTTAGTAGAGAGCAAGTGGGTAGGAATCTCCCAAGAATCTTGTGTTGGATTGATTGCAACATCAAAAATTTATAACTTTCTTGTTTTGAATCAGAATTTGCTAAAAATTTCACCGAGCTGTTTCTCTCATTTTTCTGCTTCTATTAAAACCATATTAACATCAGGGTGGACTTCCTCTTTAATAGCACATACAGAGTTCTAATCGTGTATTTGACAACAGTTCTTTTTCTCCTCACCTCTCCATATTCTCCAACAGTGAAGCCATACTGCGGGCATGGAACAAAGGCCAAGTAAGCAGAGAATCCCCTGAAGGTATCTACTCCATCGGTGTAGAGAGTGAGAGATGACTCATTAGACCTGGAGCGCCATACAGGTGGCAAGCTGCCACCACAGTAAGTAGCATCAAGATACTCCCAATTCTCGTCAGTAAGCTGGATAAGAGGAAGAGTGTTAACATGGTAAGCATCAAGGCTGGTATAGTACACAGATGAAGCAAGGGTTTTACTTAGCATTTGGCTTGGCTAAGTAAAAATGTCTTAAATCGTATTCAGATCATATCTAAGCATTTTACTTTCACAAGCCAACTTCAAGGCAAGTGACTTACTGAAAAGCATTGTGACATAATTTGGTCAATAACATATAATGAGGATGTGCAGTGGATCAGTAGTAGAACCAATATAGTACAGTCAAACCTGCTTTAGTGACCACCTGTCTAAAGGGACCACATTTGTTGTTTCCCTTGAAAATGGTTTCTCATTGAATCATGTACTAAAGGAACCTGTCTACAAAGACCACTTTTTGTGTTTCCCTTGGGCGGTTGCTGTAGACAGGTTTGACTGTAGTAGCTGTCTGCCACGAAGCGACAATGACCGCCTTCACTTTCACTTTACAGCTGTTCTCCATACAGCTCGCCTGCCTGCAGCAGTTGTCCAAGTCTTGATTTCGATTTGCCTCCGCTTAAGGATCAGTGGTAGCATCAATATATAGTAGGGAATTCTCACTGGGAATTTGACATCACTCAGGTATTCACCGGAACACATGTATTGTCAATAGAGTGGCCTTCACTTTTACAACTAACAGGTGTCATATAATGCTTTGCACTCACCACCAACTGAATCATCATAAATGTCATTCATGCAAAGACTCTGTGGGATCGGGACAGGGATGTATTTCTTGCACGATGGGACGTCTAATTTGCTGTATGTTAAACTTGTACACCCATTGATGGTATTACCACCAAGTTTGGTGCCAGTGATGTACTGAACATGGTGACTGCCGGCCATATCGCTTTGAATATTATTACCTTCAATTCAGCTTAGAGACTTACAAAGGACCAATCATTAAAAAAAAATCATTTAAAAATGTTCCGGGTTCCAAGCTGGTACTGCAGTCAGAATACCATACACTAACATTACTTTTGTATTAAAACAGAAATTCTCACTGTAGATATTCTCTAAAGTAAAGGCAAACAGAAGTAATGAAGGACTACTCAAGGCAGCCATATGTGCTCTTTATGTTTAATGTTATCAAGAGATATGACAAGCCATTGACTGCATGTATTGAATAGCTTATATAGCTTACACGGAGAGACACAAACACTAATGATGAATGAAGCAAAATTTGTGATTAGATTTAGCTTGTACATGTATTATAAGTGCATGATCCAAAAGAAGCAAAAAATTATATTCGTCTAAAATGATATTTACCTCAATATAATCACCAGCTTCACAATCACCATTGGTCAGTCCAAGTTCAAATCTTCCAAGGAATGAGACACGAATACATTGGTCTTCACCAGAGATGAGAGTATATTCACATTCCATGTCGTCCTCATAGTTCATTGGACTATTAGGACTGGTAAAGATTCCCTCCTCAGTCAGTACCATGTCACATGCTGTACCGACACAAACACAGATTTATATTATATTATTTATTATTATTCTGCTTGGGTCTAATTTCATCCTATCTAAATTAACTTTACTTCTCATCTTGCCTTTCTCTCCCCCAAGTTTCCTTCCTCTCCCTCTCTGTCTGTCTGTCTCTCTCTCTATTTCTCTATTTCTCTCTCTCTCTCTCTCTCTCTCTCTCTCTCTCTCTCTCTATATATATATATATATATCTCTCTTGTTTCTCTCTGACCCTGCTGTTTATGTATTCTCTCCCTCTTGTTATTGTACATCCAACAGTATACAATGCAAGTCATACATCACAATGGGGTCGAATTCACAAGATCTTTAAATAGATCTTTAATCTGATCCCCACTCAATTTATGTTACTTGTGCTGTCAACTACTGATTTTACTATGTCCATCTTTTTATATTTGTCATACATGTATGTGTTTACACGCAATTTTATGTATCTGTTTTTATATTGAGTGAATAAATTAATTAATTGAATACAAGAAATCTTTTAAAAGTCATTTTTGCATAAAGATATTATTTTGTAAAGTTTTTAAAGTGTATCTTGGGGGCATATAATCTGTAGTTTCATATACCCATCTAAACATGTATATAGATGTACACCTTTACATCGGATTCCTGGAAGGCACATCAATTAACATTTCTTCTCTGCTAAAGAAAGAGAAAAGAAGAGTATGTTTAAGGACTTACATGGGCATTCCGGTAAGCTACATGGTCTTGAATCAGATGGCCTTTGGTCATTACAGAAGTCATCGGTGACCACTTGACTATCAGACAATCGTGTACATCCTACACTACGGTATTCAACACCTTCTCCACAAGTCACGGAACACTAGAGAATAAAACATATTCCAAAACATGAATGTGATTGCGTATGCTAGCAGATCAAAGTTCCATTGAACATCTTAATGCTGTGATGTTAGAAAGCTTTTGTATGTCTTTATTCACTGGTATCTTTACAATCAAATCTTTCCTGTAAATATTCAGAAGTCAAGTATCCAGTATTCTTAAGAACACACTATACGATACAAATCCAGCACCTACATTATCCAGTAACAAGTAACTAAGCACAGTGCTTTACACTGTACTATTACCTTTCATTTAATTCATTCTTTACATTGCTAACAGCTAGCACATACTTCATTGAGATCATTAGAGCGTTCCATTGGTTCATTACTAAGACCACAGAGAGACTTCCCAGCCTACTTAGCACCTTAGAGGATCTTCAGTAGGGTTAGTATTTCTATCATTATTCCATCAATTTGCCATTTTACTTGCAACAAATTATTTCTATTTCATGGAAGGGCTAAAGCAATTGCATTCCATTTCATCTTTTCATAAATGATAGAAACATAACGTTTTTTGCTAGACTTGGTAACATTGTTGAAGGTTGGTGAAAAAAATTGCTTAATTTTTGTATATAATGTTACTACTATATTCCTTCTACTGTACTAACCCTCTGACATGCAAAAAATCCTTAAAAAATTCTCAAACCACGAAGATATCTATGGTTTTCTTTAAAAAGGTCGATGTATGACACCCTCTAACAGTGATTAACAGTAAATTCTCCCAACCATTTTTGAATTTTCCCAACCGTTTTTCTATGAAAAAAATACATAAAACAGGCTATAAAAAAATCTGTCAACACTTAAATGCATGGAATGGAATGTAGAGCCATTTTATTGCTTTGTGACGATTTCCATTCACCTAAAATGTAATTAAATTGTAATAATATAGTTGGGAGAATTAAGGAATCGATTCGATCAGTTTTTCCCAATTTGTACCATGAATAATGGTCCATTTTCACTCAATTTTCAGATTATCTTTAATTGTACATCTAGCATTGAAGTCACTATCTTAGCACCACTATCTCTCATCTCAACAATGTTACCAAGTCCCTTTAAGACATCCTCTCATCGGCTCCTCAGTTTCATGTTAAAATTGGAGGAATCCCCAAACTTGCAAACCATTACTGTTCTTGTTGGCTGTCTTCTTGAGTACGAGGATCAATGAGAATTGATGGGAGGTCATTGGGGTAAGATTTCATATAACTAAATAGGCCAATGCTTGAAAAACAGACTCTCTCACATTTTGGGGAAGGAAACCCTTTGGTGGTCTTGGGGGGCTAAGGGAAGCTTAGTCTAAAAAACACCAAACTTTAGACACCACGTTGTCACTTACCTCGCTAAAGTTACCAGCGCTGAATCCAAACTCTGGACACGTTCCAAAACCGACAAGGCCTTCAAATCCATCATTCCTTTCATCTTCACCTGTCCTAAAGACAACTTCAACGTTCGCAGAGCGAGAATAAAAGACAGGAGCTGTGGTGTTCTCAGGTAGCCCACAATATAGAAAATCTACACCTCCTTCTGTGTCAGTAATCTGATGGAAAATTGTATTGCACATAATTAACTATTGAATGAATATTTGCTCTCTATACTTTGTCATTAAAATTAATAAAAATTAATTTACATAAATGTTGCTAGCCAGGAAGCCATCCTGTCCACTGGTTGTCTGCAAGCTTTGAAAGATTTGCCCCATCTTAATATGTCATAGATAACGTATCTTAAACCTTTTACCTGTACAGTATACTATATGTTTTCATCTGATAAGGATTCTACTCTACTCTCTGTATAAAACTATTGAATAAATGTACATCCACGAGCAAGAGCTTCCTAAATTATCAATATAAAACAGATTTTACCATATATAGGGGTGATAGTGAGTGCTAAACAAAAAAATAGGTTTTTTGTTTTCCCCTCAACCATGCCTCCCTTGGGTAAAAAAAAAAGAAGAGGATTCGCGGGGAAAAAATGGCACTAACAACGTACCCCTTTTCGAGTAAGAAAATTGGGAAAATTGGGAAAAAAAATAGGGCAAAATAGGGAAGAATAGAGAAAATAAGGGGGGAATCGGGAAAATCAGAATAAAATAGGGAAAAAAAAAAAAAAAATCGGGAAAAATCAAAAAAATCAGGAAACCGATTTAAATCGGGTTTTTATCAGGCCCGCATATAATGAATGCATTGGACTCATCATGATATACTTTAAAAAACAAATACAAATACAAATACCTGACATTTTCATTTTCAATTTTTGTGTTCTTTTTCACTTTTGATTCAGCTATTTAAATGTATGACCATTCACAAATCTGAACCAATCGTAAAATTTGTAAAGCTTTCATGAACAGGAAAACTTTTTGTTATAACAGTAAGATTCATTTCATTTGTAGAGGTGTCGTGGACGAGTGGATACGTCGCCGGACTGTCGATCACAAGGTCCGCGGTTCAAATCCCGCCGCGGCACTAATGTCCTTTGGCAAGACATTGATCTACATTTGCCACACTCCACCCAGGTGAAGTAAATGGGGACTGGTAGGAAGAAATTCCTTGAATGCTGTGAGCACCAAAATCGGTAGCCTAGCAGAGCCGGGGTAATATTGGAGCGCTTTGAGCACCTTGCAGGGTGGATATGTGCGCTATATAACTATCCAATATTATTATTATTAAAAGGAAGTCTTACCTGGACATAATCGGAGCAGTTCTCGCTTGGTTGACCCAGGTCAAATGAGATGAATGAGACAGTGATGCATTCAGTAGAGTTAGGGTTTGTGATGTTGTAGATGCAATTGAGGTTGTTATCATAACCATCATAATTCCCATAATGATCTTCTGTACCGAAACCAGGGCTTACAATCACCCCAGGACGTGTCACATCCTCTGAACAAACTGCAAATAACAAACAAAGTATTATTTTTAAGCAAGATGAATCTGCATCTCCAATATGCCTCTGCCTATATATCGATCAATGATCATGTGACCTTCTTGATTCTTCTTCTTCTTCAGTACGTGTCGACAGACTTGTTAGTCCATGTCCAAGAATTATAGAAGAAAAAAAAATTACAAAAAAAAAGGGATATCGGTGGTATCGATTCCCAATATTGCATGTATCGTGTTGATAATAATAATAATAATATTCAATTTTTATATAGCGCTTATTACAATGTCTCTAAGCGCTTTACAAATATACTATTACTCCAGTCATTGGATTCAGTGCTTGCCCGCACACACTGTGTGCACAATCTCCACTCCCTGGGGAGCATTCCAGCCAGACGTTACATGACGCTCAAAAACTGTTTGACCAACAATGACGGTCGCATCCTACTGGGTACCCATTTAACACCTGATATCGCATGTATCCAGTAAAATTATCTTCACTGTAATTGACCAATCAGATTGCAGGGATTCTTCTACCCATTCTTTAATATAGATAGATGCACAAGATCGAGTGGCGCAAGAATAAACCTCATGCACATACTGTACTATGTCCTATTATACCGGCCTTACCAGGGCATTCCTCTGTATTACACTCTTCCATGGGTTCATAAAAGGGTGAGCCTTCACACAGTGCTTCTCGATCCGTTTGCCGGGTGGCAAGATTCATACAAAAAACATCACGGGTCCTTACACCGCCATCACATGATAAGGAACACTGAAACATAAAAATAACACAACTCAACATTCAGTCTTCCTCATACAAGATATCTATTCAAACGTATAATAAAAGCCATTTTGTAGATAAAATAAGCCATTTGGTAGATACATGTATGATAAGCCATTTGGTAGATATTATAAGTCAGTTCGTACATACATGCATAATAAGCCAGTTTGTAGATATATTAAGCCAGTTCATAGATATATATATATGTATATTAAGCCTATGTGAACCAGGACGTGGCTCTGTATTAAAGCCTATGTGAACCAGGGCGTGGCTCTATATTAAAGCCTATGTGAACCAGGGCGTGGCTCTATATTAAAGCCTGTGTGAACCAGGTCTTGGCTCTATATTAAAGCCTATGTGAACCAGGACGTGGCTCTATATTAAAGCCTATGTGAACCAGGACGTGGCTCTATTTTAAAGCCTGTGTGAACCAGGGCGTGGCTCTATATTAAAGCCTATGTGAACCAGGGCGTGGCTCTATATTAAAGCCTATGTGAACCAGTGCGTGGCTCTATATTAAAGCCTATGTGAACCAGGTCTTGGCTCTATATTAAAGCCTATGTAAACCAGGTCTTGGCTCTATATTAAAGCCTGTGTGAACCAGGTCTTGGCTCTATATTAAAGCCTGTGTGAACCAGGTCTTGGCTCTATATTAAAGCCTATGTGAACCAGGGCGTGGCTCTATATTAAGCCTAATGTGAAGTAAAGAAAACAAACGTCAATGGGTTAAATAGTGGGAAGGTCTTACCTCACTCCATGGACCAGGTATGAAAGCATATTGAGTACAGGATCCAAATGAAGGAAAGACTTCAAAGCTCTTGAAACGCTCAGCATCTTCTGTTCTTAGGGTCAATTCTACCGTGTTGCCAATGGTCTTGTAGGGCATGGTGTTGATGGCATTTCCACAGTAAGGCTCATTAGCATATACGTTAATAGGATCAAAGATCTGTGATAAAGAAACAAATCAAATACATCTAGACCACACTCATGTTCTATTGAATATAATAGTATACATAGTTTATTTTTTATTATTATATCTTTGTCATTTTTGTGACTCTGTTTGTTTTTTCTCATATACAGATCCGATTTCAGAGCATTTCAATTTGTTTCACTTTGATAGTTTCTTAGTCTTTATAATTCTTATGCTCATTTCTTTGTATTTCTTTTCTCTTTTCTTGTTTAGACATGATCCTATTCTCGAACACTATGTACATTTCCTCCCCTCCCCCCCCCCCCCCCGAGTCTTCTATACTTAATAGTGATCTAAACCCCTTACCGTAAGATATTTATTGTTACACCCGTCTTGCAAGTCCTCATTAATTACCAATAATAAGTATACTATCTCTATCCTACCCAGTCCCTCCCTCTTTCTCTCTCTTAATCCATTTAATAGTGAACTATACCACTTACCATTAGATAATCATTGTAACACGTGTCTCCCAAGCCCTCATCGATGTCCAGAGATGTAAAGAAGAGCATCATGCATCCATTCTCGTTGGTGATGGTCAGAGTACATTCATCGTTGTACAAATAGTAATCATTACTCATCGGGAAGGTGATTTGTGAATTACCCGCAGTAATGCTTACATCGCAGGCTGTCAACAAATTGAACAATAATTATAAGTATTACAAACAGGTAGATTGTGCTTCTTCAATTATCATGTTATTTTCATACATTTTATCCAGATTAAAACATTCTCTTCTGATAACCATCAACACAAATTGAATTCAAAGGTTTATAAAAGAAGTCAAAAATCAATTTTCCAATATTTCATAATTTACATGCGTACACTTGTGTTTTGAAAATAAAATAAGGAACTAAGCTATTAAGATCTAAACACTTTGGAGAATAATCATTTGTTACTGGCAAGTCCATCACCATCATCTACAAGCTGAGCTTTTCAATAGGTTCCTCACATTTCACCCTGTATAACCTACTATTCAATACAATTAATTTTGACATCTTTACAAAGAATTGATTATATAATGTGACACTTTTAGTTTATTTGATATTATGTTCTAATTTTGACAATTATGTGAATTCTTTTTGTGAAATGTGAAACAAAATAAACTTGAAACATAATCATTTGATGGTCAATTTGACCAGTCATTTCCCTTATCATCCATTACACACATCTATTATACAAACTTACATGGGCAATCTTCTATGAAGCAAGGCTCAGTAGTCGGGGGCTCTTCATCAGGGCACTCATCACGGCCGGTCAGTTCATTGGTCAACGCATTAACACATTGCAGCTCTCTGGTCCTGTTACCAACACCACAGATTTCTGAACACTGTAAACAAACAAGATAGAGAAGATTCACATACATGTACTTAGCAGTACAGGTTCAGCATCTCCTATAATAGACAAAAGGTCAAATGTCACGGAACCAATCAGTGACTGAATCATTGGAGCTGAGGACACTCCCATACAAAGGTGGAAGGTGTGGGGTACTTGTATACTCACTGTAATTAATGACTGAAAACCATTATAAAGAATAACATTGTTACAAAATAGCATTATATGAAAAAGGTAGTTCTCCAAATGCAGTCAGATTTTGAATGCATCATGCAATTAATTGTATATTGCCCAACTAAATTCTGTCCCATGCTTGTGTATTGATGCATGTACACAAATTTTGTCCATAAACGTGTGATATGCTTACCAGCATTTGTGATTACGACTACACAATTATTCCTATGTATTCAATAAAGCCAGGTCATACAATCTGCACATGAGTCATATGTACAAAACTGTGAAAACTTCTTCATGTTTAAAAAAACTGGATATTCAGGGTCATTTAATCCAGGTACCAATTATAAACTGGTCTATTATTCAGAATAACTTCAATTACCTCACAATCAGGCATTCAGGACATAATCTAGAGTTTTTCTGCAACAAAAAATAGTCATTATACCACAAGTCTTAACATAGAACTTACATTGCCGAATGGCAGTGGAACCCAGAATGCTTGTGGGCATTCAACAAATGTTGGGATAGCGATATAGCCCTGGCTGGAGTTTGCACCGTTGCTTGTAAACGACACCTTTACATTGCCTGATGCAGAAAGCCAGGGTGATTCTGGAGCGCTGTCACCACAGTATGTCCGACTTAGAGATGGATTGTTATAGTCTGTTATCTATAGAAGAAGCAAGATATAATTCAATTCTCTTTTAATTCTGTTAATGTGTATATTGTTCTACAGCACTGCATTTATAATCTTTGTGATTGCACCAGAAGTTTATTAATAAATATCAAAGGATGACTTCTACAGGTAAAATGCAAAGTATTGTATGATTTTTCAGTACATGTTATTTCCTACGGCTTCATAACTGTAAAACTTCCCACTAACTATCAATACCTTGAATGGATTTTGCATATCCTTTTAATATAAAAGTCCAAATTGCAAAAAATTGAAACATCCAGTATTGATACAATATGAGAATATTAATTTACTGAACTGTTTTCTTCAGGAAAGCTTTGCCCCCATCTTTAAGATAACTTACTGTAAGGCTGTCCTCCATACACGTATCATTCACATAGTCTCCGTTATCAATATCCATCATCAAGAACTCAATGCTGATACAGCCTTCATCGTTGGTGATATCGGTAACACACGTCACATTGTCGTCATAATTTGCAGGATAGTTTGGAGAATAGATCGGCTGTCCAGATGTGGTGATGTTACCTCCGCAAATATCAACTACAAAATACAAGCAAAGATAATATATTAGTTAGGATATCCTGCATATGAAGATTCTTGGCCTCTGATTGGTCAAAACTGCAGACATGAAATGTGCTTGTAAGTGCTGGGCAGTGTAGCAAAAAAATATTGACCGGGCATAGTTCTCCTCGCAAGTACAATGCAAGGAAGCAGTATTTGTGAGAGAAGTTTACAATGGATAAGTGCAGTAAGACAGGTACATTTCCTTTGACTTTACAAATAAATACATCTTAACAGGCATATTTTGTTTAAAAAGCATGCTGTGGTTTTGCCACATCAAATCTCAGAAAGCCTTAAAGTGACTCAGTAACATTGCCTCAGATTCTGAAACAAAATCCTGGATTTAGCTCATGCTGCAATCATAATTATAAACATTTAGGTCAGTCAGGAATCCCATGACTTATACAAGCCTATCACTATTTTATAACACTACAGTCTATTAGGGAAAATGAGTATGGGTGGTATAAAACCATTTGTTCATCATACGATCTACCCACTCCCATTGAGGCTGTGTTTGCACCTATCATACTCAGCCTGACATCTTGGTACAATAGCAACATGCATCATGTACAATGAACTCATACGCATGCATCATTCATATGCAATTTTACATGAATATTGACATCAGCCAAAAAAATACATGGGGGCAGGAAATACCATAAACAGCCCCCAAAATAGGCCCAAAATTCGATCAAATCGCCCCGTAATGATTACGAGCGGCCGCTCGCTCTCTTCTAGCTTCATATTCATTGTGTGCATTTCTTGGTTGACACGTACATGCGCGCTGAATCTCCGTGTAAAATTATATATACAAAAAATTGGTCGTAAAAAACTCTGACCATATTCCACACCTTACCTGGCTTACCATGTCGCACGTACATACGCCAAAACACATACATTTTCGCGGTTGCGAGATCGAGACGGAGCGTAGGGGCCGAGTTTTTTGTGGTCGATTTTGTTTGGATAGATCATATTAGCTAAACCTAGACCACTAAACATCGCTAAACTGCAATCAATTTCCATCACGATCACCGCAATTTTATAAAGTTTTCGTGAATAGAGGTATGAAATTAAAGCCTATTTTGTGATTATTCTCACCATGTTTACTAAATTTTAATAATCTTTCTTCAAAGTAAAAAAAATCAGACAAAATCGCTGCGACTGACACACGTACAATACAGTGCAGTAACGCTGCAGCTGCTGTGTATGTGACTGTGACTGTGAGCTGAGCTGAGTTAGAGTCAAAGAGATTTGACACTTTGAAATTGCTATCTGTTGGTTTGCATCATTATTGCCGTGATTTCAATATAGTTTTGTGATTAGATGTATGAAACCTGAGCTTAGAATTAGTAAAAGTATTTAATGTCTACGTTTTTAAACGACTGCCTGATTTTCTTGTGAAAATTTTACTTTGAAAAATGATAATCGAAATTCATGGCCAGAAATAATCACAATCTAGGGTCTTTTTAATATGTTACAGTTCTTGCATCAAATCAATGCATGAAAACTTAGTTATTGAACTAGAAAAGGGGGTTTCTTTTTTAATAGGCAATTATGAAGCAGGAAGCCCAAAACCTACTAAACAAATCTCAACAAACTGTATCCTTTTATGAATTAACTAGATGGAACTTCAACTTCGCGCAGTCGAAAATGATGCCTCCGTCATAGAGCAAGTTTACAAACCAAAACAGAAGAAATTTTCAAAGTCAAGTTCAATTGTAATCCATTAACAGGTTCTCAAAATATCGTAATTACAAGCAATTTCTCATATACATATATGATCTTTGACCTCATGACTCTAAAATCTACTCAGTTCATTGGCTCTGCAAGATGTCCTGAGTTAAATAGTAATCCATCTGTCAGTTCTAATGAGAATGCGTTCACAAGCTATTTTTGCATACATAATGAGCCCATGACATTTGTCCTTTGACCTTGTGACCCAAGAATCTACTCAGTTCATTGGCTCTGCAAGATACATACATGATCTAAGTTTGGCAGGAATCCATCAATCGGTTCTTGAGATAACGCGATCGCGAGCTGTTTTTGCATACATAATGAGCCCTGTGACCTTCGACCTCGTGACCCCAAAATCTAATCAGTTCATCGGCTCTGCAAGAAACATACATGACCAAAGTTTGGCAGTAATCCATCAATCTGTTCTTCAGATAACGCAATCACGAGAACGGGACGTACGAACGGACGGACAACCCGAAAACATAATGCCTCCGGCTACTTCGTAACGGAGGCATAATGAAAAAGTAGCCCCAGAAATGGAAGAAAAAAAGACCCCGAAAGTGGAAAAAGTAGCCCCCCAAAAAATTCCCAAAACTTTGTAATGGAGACCCCAAAATGAAAAACTTTGATTGACATAAGATGTTAATCCTGGTGGCAATTGCCCTTTTGCATGAGGTCTGTCATCTGTGTGCAATGTATTTCATCACAATGAACCAATCATTTGCACAGATTCTTTTTATGACGGATACAATAAACAATCTACTGAACACATTATGAATCCTGGAGAGGTACCTTCAGGTGAAACAGAGAAATATTGTAGAGTAAAGCCAGTTCCTTGTGGTGCCGGATTACCATCACTGACAAAGGTCAAGGTAACTTCATTGGTCAATGAGATGATATCTGCAGGAGTACTCTGACATAAGGATATAACTGGCTCTCCTGAACTCGTATCTTGGATCTGCAAGCAAATATCAGAGGCCAAATATAAGGTTATTACCGTGTTCTGAAAACAATGTTATCTTTTATGTTAGCAAACGATGTTAATTGTCAAACAAACTGAGGAACTTACACTTACCATTGGTACTTGCTTTGCACATTTACCGATCACTTGTCCAAATTTTGATTAGTTATGACAATTATGCTTCTCTCATATTAAAGGTAACATCGTTTTCAGAATACCATCCCAATTAGTAATCAATTATGAAGCTATGGGTTTGGAGTGAGCAAAGCTATTTCATTCTTCCTTTGGCTGAAGTTGGTGCCGTGCAAAAATAAAATAAACTGAACTGAACTCTTCCTGGATCGAATAGAGACAATATGAGATATGGAAGAAAAATCTAACTGTTATATATTAGTGGCACATAAATATGTGCATGTATTGTAGAGAAAAGTATTCAGATACATATGTTAGCTGGCAGTGTGTGGTTTAGCGGTTCATGCACTTGATTCTCAATACAAGGGTTTAGGGTTTGAATCCCAGCCCATCCCAGCCCGGCCCAGTACTAACATCATTTGGCAAGACATTAATAATCCACTTTTGCCACTCTCCACCCAGGTGTAAATTAGTGTACATCCAATATACCAAAGCGCTACATATTTGGCTGCTAGCTATGACCAGGGAAATAATATTGGAGCACCACATGATGGATATGTGCGCTATATATTAAGAAACCACCATTGTTATTAAAGGCATAGCCATATTGAAAAGAATTATAAAGTCACCCCAGTCTTTCGAATTCTCAATGTCTCCTCAGAATGGACAGAAGGAATGAAACACCAAGACTAAAGCTAGATTAGTATCTGAACCTTTTAAATTAATTTAAAAGGACTAACATAACTTTAATAAAACAGGCCATCCACACAAGCTTGATCAGAGGTGGGGCCAGAGGAGAGAGAGAGGGGGTGGGTGAGAGGGGGAGGGGGTGGGGTGAGGAGAGAGGAGGAGGGGAGTGGGGTGAGGAGGGGGTGGAGTGAGGAGAGAGGGGGTGAGGAGAGAGGGGGAGGGGAGTGGGGTGAGGAGAGAGGGGGTGAGGAGAGAGGGGGAGGGGAGTGGGTGAGGAGAGAGAGAGGGGTGGGGTGAGGAGAGAGGGGGAGGGGGTTGAGTGAGGAGAGAGGGGGAGGGGTGGGGTGAGGAGAGAGGGGGAGGGGATGGGGTGAGCAGAGAGGGGGAATGGGTGAGGTGAGGAGAGAGGGGAAATGGGTGAGGTGAGGAGAGAGGGGGAAGGGGTGGGGTGAGGAGAGAGGGGGAATGGGTGGGTGAGGAGAGAGGGGGAATGGGTGGGGTGAGGAGAGAGGAGGAGGGGAGTGGGGTGAGGAGAGAGGGGGAGTGGGGTGAGGAGGAGAGAGGGGGGTGGGGTGAGTAGAGAGGGGAAGAGGGTGACCAGTTGGCTTTCACCACTACTTATGATCAGAAACAAAACATGACATACCGTAACAGAATCACCCTCTTGGCATGGTACACCTCCATTAATAAATACAAGGAATCCAATCGTAAAGGAGATGACGTTTCCTGGTGGAGCACGGATGGTATTCACACAGGTAACATTTACAGGATATGAACGGGGAAACCTAGGGCTGGTCACCAATCCTGGTGCTAAGCGTAAAATGTTCTCTCCGCACGCTGAATACAAACAAAAAAAGAATTTAGAATAAATACCACACTCTATCAAGACTATCAAATCAAAAATGTTTGGGGATCATTCTCATCAAGCCGATTTTGGCTTTCGATTCCCCACTTCCTTTTATCTTATGTTGATAATAAACAAATATGTATATAATTTTGATGTTTTAAAAGAGATTGAAATAAATGAAATGAAATGAAATGAAAAATCTTTAAAAAATTAAATGAATTCATAAGTTTGCGGTTTCACCATGAGGGAAGTCCTTCAAAGGACTGTTCGGTTTGAGAAGGGATAGAAAAGACAGTGAGAGAGAGAGATAATTCGCACAATGGAGGGCTACTTAGTATTGTATGGATAGAGTTGGAAAATTAATCTTTCATGAGAGAAATCGAGAGAAGGACTGGTGAACCAGGGGGATGTTTCACAAAGATCCTAAGTTGAACTTACTGGTATCTCTAAGTTAGACTTATATGCATAAATGCTGAGAAATACCCATACACGTACTATTGAAATTGTACAATAATACATAAAAAACATACCAATCTGAATTATGCCTCAGTCACACATTTGCGTACTTGGCTTGCGTATTGCTGCGTATTTATGGCAAGCCGTTTTAACATTTATTCCTATTTCTTGATATCAAGAAATGATTATCTGTTGTAAAGCAATGGTAATTCTTGATATCAAGAGTTGGATTTCTTGATATCAAGAAATAAGAATAAATGTTAAAAAGGCTTGCCATAAATACACAGCAATACGCAAAGGTGTGACTGAGGCATTAATTCTATCACTTAGACTTTAATGTTTCTTGTTGTATATTCAAATAAAAGTTTACTTGAACTTAAGATTGATTGTTTGGATATTCATATTCTAAAGACACAAATTCCAGTTGCACCACCTTCTCCTTTTTGAATACCCATGAGCTGGCAATCTCCTGGCAGTACATACACAAATCAAAACCATATAATACAGAAAAGCTATTGATTTCAAATGTTCGAAAGTCAACATACATGCAAACATAAATTCTAGTAAAAACTTTATTTTATTAATATCATACTATAGTACATTATCTTTTGGATTTTATTTAGGAATTAGGAATCAATCTGTAGAAATCTGTTAAGTACGAAATTATAGTTTGTTTTAGCTGTATTGTTAGGTGCATCAAGACTTTCCAGTCTATTTTTTGCTTTAAAAGTCCATCTTGATTATTATAATCATTTTGAGTATAGCTTTTAAGAGAAAGAATGAGTTACCTCCAGGGAGAGGGCAGTCTTCCTGAGTACATGAACGGGTAGCAGGTGGGACTGGGAGACCAGCACACGTTGAAACGTCCACCTCGACACCTTCCTCGACACATGTCACGTCTCGGGATTCGGTACCCACTCCGCAGGTTACGGAACACTAATCAAAACAAAAAACAAAAACAAAAGATAGATAAGGCAGGGGTCTCTACATGAAGCAAATATGTGCATTTTAAACTGAATGTTTTCCAAGACATTAAAGCCCCCCTGCACTACTTATAGCTACATGCACCCTCTATATAGCTAACAATGCCTAATCGGTGACCGCTGGTCCCCCCATGATCCCCTTTTTCTTATGTTAATTGAGAGCCGATTTGATGAGATAACCCCTTGTCAGTGACCATGCTGGGTGGTCTAATCCCTCCTGGCCAAACTAGTGTGGATAGGCTTTAATAGGAGTTTTCATTACCTTCAGGATAAATATATGATCTGTCTTCTTTCATAACAGCATTCAAACAAAGTAAGGATAGGGTGAGGTTATTATTTGGTATTTACAATTCCATCGATATACAGGTAGTGGTTTTTCGTCATCTTGATAGTTCCCTCAATAGTTTAACAGTGTAATACAATCTTTCCGCTACTTACTGCCTATCATCGAGTTAACCGGTTGAAAACCAAGCCCGTGAAAAATCAGGATGAACAAAATTGAAACTCATCTCAAACAAGCTAAATGTAAAGAAAAAAATTGCATCCCTGTTTCTATTTCTTTCAATTTTACATCAAATGTTGAATTATCAAATTAGCTATGGCAATCCATGCCAATATTTTGACACACAGGTAATATATATCAAATGAATATCTTTAATGCACAATAAAAAAAGAGATAAGTTACTAACCTCTCCCCATTCGCCAGTCATGTAATCTAGTGACATAGCTCTGACTGCTTGGTAGGTAGCAGAGAAACCCCTCATATTCACAGTGGCATCAGTTAGAAAGAGCACCTCCAGCATTGGACTGGTTGATTCATAAACGTAGGGGAGAGCAACTTCATCACAAAGACTGTTAGCGCTGTTGGTTTGCAGATCAACAAGCTAGATAGATAAAGATTAAAGGGAAAGTTGAGTTCTGTTGCAGAGGGCGCTACACAAAATAATTTTTTGCGAGATATTGAAAAACTGAGTGTCAAATTTGAAAGAACATACAATTTAAATGATAAAATCATCTTTGTGTGATTGAAATCGGTTCAGAGACGGCTGAAATATCCATAAATATAACGATTTCTAATATTTGTGTACCACTACAAATATTCGATAATTTGACAAAAACGTTGAAAAAACGAAAGAGCGCCTTTTACATCATATTTTAACAAATGCCGATGTTTGCTTTTTTGTTGGCTTTTTCGTGTTGGTTATATTACCATCAACCAGCTGGTCCATGTATTGTTATTTTTACTTAAATAATTAATAACGGTCACCATATCTTTTTGAAAGTGGAGCTGAATTGATAAGATCATATTGGCTAAATTTCGCTAATTTATGGGTCTAAAAGTACCTTCATAGCAATTTTAGGTTCTAAAAGAGCACTAGAAATGTCATGGATAAGAATAAGAGCAATAACCATGCACTTTGAAGGCATTTGTGGTCTGAAAACAGAACTCGATCAACTATCCCTCTAATGTTAAAGAAAATGCAGGTACAAAATGTGTACCGGTATTCTGGTTAGGTGAAAATGGCTTTGTGGTTTTGCTTACATCAACATAGGATCATTCAAAGAATAAGTTTGTGTAGGCATGGAAACATATAATGTATCTCTGCCTTATACGGTCATGTATATTCAACCCACAAGAGTAATTCAGTGCAGAAATTTCCTTCAATTAAAACCTAAACTCACCAGCCTGATCGAAGGGTGCTAAACTTAATCAGTATATTTCCAATTTTGATCAAATTCATTCCCTTTTCAGCATTAAAGTAAAATCTCAAGACACAACTAAAATCATGTCGGTGAGTACTGCACATTGTTTGAGCTTCATAAACATGTTATGAATATTTTCTAGTTCAGGCACCAAAACAAAGACATATTCCTTCAACTCATGCAGCAAAAAGGAACATGTAAGATATCTTTAAACCTAAGATTAGGGTCTTGTTTGTGCAAGAAAGATTTTTTTCCTGTCAAACCTTTTTTTCAATGATTTCAAGTTTTCAGGTGGGGATAAAACTGTATAGACTTCGCAATGTATTGAAAGATAAACCATACTTATTAAAACAGGGGCTTATAGTGTAGCGATCACCAAAATTATATTTGTGTTGTATGTTACTAATTCCATGTATATTAAAAATATAAAGAGGAATTTTACAAGTTAAATACACTCTAAATTAACATAAAAGCGATCTGCGAGAAGATTGTTTGAAATAGGGCACACATACATTCTAGCTGTACACAAGTTATAACTTTAGCCGATTAATACACTTTAAAAGTGATACGAGGCTGACTGTGATGTTTCTAGCAAGCTTACCCTAACAGCATCATAATTACATCCTGGTTCAAGCAGCAAGTCAGTGAATGTGATCCTGATGATGAAGTCTTCAGGAGCTACCAAGATCTTACTGCATTCCAGGTCAGCAGGATAATCAGCTGGGTATCCAGGACTCTGCAGAGTGTAGGTGGTACTGCCCTCAGTGGGGTAACTCTGGTCACAACCATAAGGTAGAGGACAGGGATCTAGGTAGCACTCCCTCGACTCTGAGGGGCGGGTCATGTTAGAGCAGTCCATCTCGTCAATCACAACACCGGATCCTTTCCTGGTCACGCACGACACTCCACGGGTTTGGACACCAAGGGCACAGGTCACGGAGCACTGGAGATTGAAAAGATTCAAATTATATTTACATGTCCACAAAGATAGTTACATTTATGTGTATCATTCTTGTATTTCAACAGTCTTGCATCACGATAAAGCCTAAACTAAATAAGATCTTGTATTGCCCTCTTGGTGTAAGAACCTGGGTCGGTCAGTCAGATTTTTTTTCCCCCTTAAAATAGGCGACCGTTGCCCAAAAAAACTAAAAACCAGAAATGTCGCCCAAATCTTGCTGGTTTCTAGCCGGTGCAGTTCATGGTATATACACGTACATCAGGCTGGGGTCTACTTGTTTTTTTATGCTAGCAGGATTTAGAAACTAGGGCAGAAGAAGGGTGAGAATTTGGAAATTATTTGATGATTTAATGCATTCATATAAAAAATTTAAAAAAAATCTTTAAAAGTTTTTTTTTTTTTAATTTTATTTAAAAGCCAACTGTAGATTTTAAGATTTAAGTGTCTGTCGCAAAGGGAATTACATTTTTTTAAAGCATTTGTTATTATTTCCATCCTTTTAGTGTTGCTGTAAATGTAACTCTTCTCATAAAATATCATTTACAATCAATCACAACAACTTGCAAGGTTAACAGGTAGTTTTGTAGACTTATGATTGATAAAACACTGCAATCAATTGAAAGTGTCCCCAAAAAATACCAAACCTTCAGGTTGTGCATTTTCCTATGTGACCTATTTTTTACAAGTAGGGTAAAGCAAGATTCAAAATTGAAACACAAAAATGTTAATCAATGTCTTCAACTTAGGCATCTATAACTCTCTACCCAATAAATCACTCATATCTCCCTGTGATTTACCTGTGATCAGGGAGTCTAACTTTACATTTGATTATCAAGCTGGTGATGTACTTACTGCACTCCATGGTGTAGCTTCATAGACTCCTCCGCAGTCTTCTAGATCACAGATCTCTTCACTGGGTGGTTCTAACAAAGGATTACAGAGAGAACCTACGACAGGCTCAAAATTACCACCAGCAATGGCGTAACAGAGGACATTACGTACTCTGACACCGTCACCGCAGGTCACAGAACAATCACCAAAGTTCTCAGATACCCATGTGTAGCTAGAAAGAAAGGAGAGTGAATTGAATTGAATTGAATTGAATTGAACTTTATTGAATTGACTTAAACTTTATTGAATTGAATTGAATTGAACTTTATTGAATTGACTTAAACTTTATTGAATTGAATTAAACTTTATTGAATTGAATTGAATTGAACTTTATTGAATTGAATTGAACTTTATTGAATTGAATTGAACTTTATTGAATTGAATTGAATTGAACTTTATTGAATTGAATTGAACTTTATTGAATTGAATTGAACTTTATTGAATTGAATTGAATTGAATTGAACTTTATTGAATTGAATTAAACTTTATTGAATTGAATTGAATTGAACTGAACTTTATTGAATTGAATTGAATCGAACTTTATTGAATTGAATTGAATTGAATTGAACTTCATTGAATTGAATTGAATTGAACTTTATTGAATTGAATTTAATTGAACTTTATTGAATTGAATTTAATTGAATTGAACTTTATTTCATTCATCATAAAAACATCATAACAAACATATAAATACAAAACATAGCGTACAAGTTAAAGAGAAACATTTACAATACAATACAACAACAAAAATATATATGAATGTGGAGACAGCTAGGAAAGCCAAAGGCTTTATTTGTGCTGCCACCAAAACAGTAATAATGTATAATACAGTATTATATTGTTGTTAGAGAAGGTGCTTTAAAAAGAAATATATTTTTAAATAGTAAATAGAGGGGGGGGGGGGGAACAAAAACAAAACAAAAACCAGACCGTGTATAATAAATCTTTATAATCAATCTGCACGTTGATTGTGGATGTACATAGGTCACTCATTAGACACTTCAAATCATCAATTTATCCAACATCAAAATCAAAACAAGTGACCGTACATTGAATGTATTAATAATAATAATAATATTTAATTTTTATATAGCGCTTATTAACAAAGTCATGCAGTAGTTCGATGGAATATACGGTGGCAATAAATCAAATTATATATAAACATTATAAACAGAGGTGTTCAAGTTTAAGACATAAATAAGATTTAAGAACCGTTAGAATTTAAAGAAATCATCAGATGCAAGTAGTTTGCGGTGTGGCATTGGCGCACACAATGAAAATGACATTTAATGATTCCTTAACCTAGAGACAAGTTTGAAACAAAAATGACAGTTATATAACCATCACTCTCCATGTTTATGAATGTGGGAGTATACTTACGTTATGCAATCCCCAGGGTTACAAATCTGAACACTAGCTGGTTCTGCAGCAGGGTCACATGACGTTGAAGGAATAATGACATTAGAATCCTCAGATTCTACACAGTATACAACTCTGGTCTCTACACCATTGCCGCAGCTAACGGAGCACTGAAAGAAAAAAAGATTGGATTACTAAGGTGATGCAACATTATCAAAATGCAGAAAGAAGAGGTCAGGCCCGACTAGTTTCATGATGAAACCACCATATCACATCCAAATCACAAAATACATTTCAATATGTGAGCTCTATCATGTGCATTGTCAATTAATGCTTCATAAGACCTCCAAGCAATTGCAACGTTACAATCGCATAATGTGATGGTACTTGTGATCGTTATCAAACTCCACTTGTGGTGTGATTGACATCAAAACTCTTTCAAGAGACGGTGTCAGTATACTTACAGGACTCCATGCACCGATTCTCCAGACTGGATTGCAAGTAATTGGTGCTTCACAGGGTTGAGAATCAGTGGGTGGCTGTAGACCAGCGTCTGTACAATCCTGATCAGTGGCTCTTACAGGAGCTCCATTCATGAAGGTAATACAAACTACAAAACGAGTGCTGGATTGTCTTCTGCACAGTAGAGAAGGTGGATGTCAGGTATGTGTACCTATAAGATAAACAAAGATAAACATCATCATCTGTACAAGTACACAGTACAGTAATGTAAGCAAAACAACATGGACGGCATCAAGAAAGGCACTTCGCTTCTTCAAATTCCATCTTATCAGATTACCTTTTTCCTTAACATGAATGGAAAGCCTAGACTTATATCTGGACATATCTGTTGCATTAATCAACCAAGGCCAGTAAAGGAGTATAAACTACTTATTCTTGATACGTCATGTACAATGGAAATCATATTTGTTGTTTTATAGTGTATACTTAGTTTGTACATTCTTTTTCTCGAATAGAGTAGTGGACACATGGAATAGCCTATCTGAAGAAGTGGTTAATCCCCCATCTGTAAATGCCTTCACAAACAAACTGGATAACTATTGGGAAAAAATCACCTTCAGTATATGACCCTGAAAGTAACTAGAAGAAGTATGCAGAACTATTCCACCCTCCACACACCACCTCGACACAAAATCAAAACAAACAGAAGTATTGATGTAAAGGAACCATTCGATCAATGAACAGGCCCTGTCTTACCAACATCGATGGATTAAAGTAAAGTAAGTAAAGTAAAGTATGTGATATCTTCATTGAGAGTTTTCTATAGAAACAATTGGTTATAAACCTGGAGGACTAGCTGAGGGGTACTTACTCTGTGGGGCAATCTCCTTGATCACATAAGATGGCCGATGGTGGAGCAGCCTCAGAGCATTGAGTGTTACTCACTGTCTGGTTATCATTGTCAAGATCAACACACGCCACTGAACGCTGCTGAATACCAAAGCCACATGTAGCAGAACACTAAGAGATGACACAAATGACAGAATGTTACAAGATTGTCAAAAATCATGGATTTAGTAAAAATGAGTTTATTTATTTATTTATTTATTCAAGTTTTATTTGAAATAGAGGGTAGGTACATTCAGTTTAACAAAACTGTGCATCACTTGTGCATTTAGTTGGTCAAGACAAAAGTGGTAGATAATTTTTGTCAATTTGCTTGGACAACTAAAAGCATGTAATCGTTACCATGACAACGACCAAAGACGTCGTTTCGAAAAA